TCAGGATACTGCAGACTGTCAAAGGGCACGACTGGTTTTTCAGCCATGGGACCGGTCCAGCGTTCCAGCGCATTCAGGTCCAACCGGTCCAGTGAGGCATTGGGTGACACCCATGTCAAACCAGCCAACACACGTGAACCTGCATGGCGGGATGCGATATTCGACTGCGCAAGCACCGGAGCCATCTCTGGGTAGTTGGTGGTGTAAGGACTCTGTTTGCACATGAAGCGAGAGACATGAGTCTCAGTGGATGATAAAACAACGCTGGTATTATGTACCTAGATAAACGGGTCTAGGCTACAGTTACTTTGATTCAAGCACAAGCAACAAGCATACTCACCTTAGAGCGCCTGAGGTGTAACAAAAAGGACGCATACATAGACACCGATAATTACATAAGCTATGTGACAAAGGTTATGATCGAGCTCCGAATTTCCTAGTCCCGGCGGTCGTGCTACTTACAGTGCGTTGCATATCAAACTGCAGTGCGAATTTTTGAAAAATTTGGCCTCGCTGCCTTTACCGGGGCTTTTGCATCCAAATTAGGCAAAGTAGTGTCGTACTTCCCGCGCGCTTGACCACATTTAGATACAAGAGTCCCGGCAAAGGCAGCGAGGCCGAATTTTTCAAAAATTCGCACTGCAGTTTGATATGCAACACACTGTATATGCCGTAAAAATTAGCATCACTGCCAGGTTTTCCCTGTAGGTTAGGTGCCTGATAGTATGCTCTGCATAATCACCGACCACATTCAAAAAGTACCAAGACAGCATATGCCAGTGCGGCATTCCTTGATGACTCAAAGCCACACGCCTCATGTATCATAGATACAGACTGTATATGAAGCGAACACACTTACAAAAACCTTATACACTGCAGTCTATTTACAAAAATGTACATTTGCTTCTTGTTTAGTGACATGTGGTATGGCTACTCCTGGGCCCTCATGTCAATGATGTCATCGAGCATCGCATCATCGTGAGCCGCCTTAACGAGTAGTCCGTCTCTCGCATCATTTGGTCTCTTTATCTTGGTGTAATTCACGTATGGCGGATACCGCACGACCTCTTCTACCCCCGCCCAGTCGAAGTCGATGATCATGAACTTTGTCCTATCATCCTTCTTCACCAAGATGTTAGTATCGCGTATATCGCCATGGACCAGACGTTGAGCATGCAGTGTCTTCAGCTGTTTCCTGATGGCCTCGAACACCGATCGGGGAAGGCGATCGGTATTGGGCAAGTCGGCCAATACATCGTAGCCGACAAGTTTATCCATGACTACCATGTACCAACCTCCAGGGAGCTTTTCGAATCCTCGTAATCTAGGGGCAAAGCCTGACGAAGCACAATGCAAATGAGCATCCTGTGAATAACGTCGGACAAATTTGATGCAGATCACAGGTCCTTCAGTAAGGGTCCCGAAGAAGATAAGTCTTTTCGACATTCCCTCATCTTCATCGAGCTGTTCCGTATATTTGAAACATATCTTGCTGTCGTCGTCGAGAGATGTGAAGCTTGTGGGATATGGGAACAGTATAGGGTGAGATAGCGTGTTGGTAAGTTCAGATTCAGGAGGGAGCGTTTCGTAATATCTCTCGAGCAATTTAACAGCTTTGCGGAATGCAGCCATGTGACGTGCGGCGGCGATCTGATTTTCGGTATCGGTGGAGTGATAATTGAATACCAGAGGGCTCGAAAGGATTTGCACAGCAGGGCGCAAAGTCCAAACAGCACCAGCGAAGACAATGTATGGCCCTGGAGAAAAGAGTAGTTCACATGTCATATTCTAAGCCTGAGGAAATCTCGCCACTGACCGAAAAGTATGAAGAGAAAACACGGTAGAGCGGACCCCGACATCCTACACGCGGATGTTCTGGTTGACTCCAGGTAGTAAGCGACAGCCTGCATATATGGTTCCGAACTGGAGGTCGCCGCTTCATTCTTGAACTCGGCAATCACATAAGGGTGATGACTGTTATGGACGTCGACGGACATATCTGCATCCGTCACATATGCAGTTCCTGGGACCTTGGCGTTGAGGCGAAAGCTGAGGCGGTACTTTGCGAGCACCTCACTAACCGCATCCATTCGCTTGTTTTCAGTTTCATACAGGGCTGACATGACATTCATCAGTTCATCGACAAGATTGTTATCTTCTTCTGTTACTGTATGAGTCCGGCAGTCATCGATGAATTGGCCGAAGACTGGATGAAGCAGTGTGGCCGGAATAGTTTCCTCAAGATCGCGAGGACGACCACAGGCTATCTGTAACTTTTCGTCCCGCTGTCGTTCACGGAACGATGAAGGATGCGAACTATGAGAAGGCGAATGTGATCTTTTTGATCTCGACTGAGATTTCTTTTTTTTAGAATGGTCGTCGAAATTTGCGAGGAAGGTGGCCCGTGCCACTTTAATCGGGTCCTCTCCTTCGACGACGCGGTTAACCCGCCGAGGAGGATTCGTCGACCCTGCCAGCCGGAAATCAGTATAATTCAACGAGGCCATACAATCACTCACTATTGTTGTCAGAGGAAACTTGGACAACGACCAGGAGACTCTCGAGAACCGGTACACACAGGAAATAATCAGATGGACGTATGAATCGGGTCACCTCAAGCAAGTCACCCGCATTGAGGGTATCAAGACTCTCCCGGAGTTGATCCTCAGATTGCGATATCCTGTATAAGCGCATGTGACTTTGGTCCACACTGTTGAGTTGTGATTCTTCCCCCTTCATCTTATTTTTAAGTTCTCCCATTGATGCATCTGATCTGATTGAAATGTCAAAGCGGTCCTCGCCAGTGCTTCCTCGTAACCAGCATTGAATCTCCAGGTACGGCGCATCTGGAGAACGAGAATCAATTGCAAGGACAAGCTTTGGTTGTCGCCGCTACATACCTACAATGATATGGATGTGCTCTTCGAGCGGTGCTTCTGTGAACAAGCGTGATAGCTTACGCGATGCTGGCAATGGTGCCCCAAGCTCAGATAGGCTAACACCGCGAAGATTCTCAGCATAGGGTTCGGCCACGGGCTGCGTGGGCTGGTAGAGTCGAAGACTTGAAGTGGGTACATTGATAGCCTGAGATTCCTTCAACAACGTTTTCAGGGTATCGACAGTTTCAGAGCATGAAATTTTGACACCGAAATGTTGGTTGATGTTGGTACCCTCGTACCCAGCAGTACACCGTGAAAATGTCAGACATGGTGATTGAAAGTTGAGATCGAGGAGTCGCAATTGCCGCCTGGCAATTGCCACTGGCAGAACTATTTCATTCTACCAACCACTCTGTCGACGCCACAATTTGGTCCCACTGTGCTTATGTAAGCAATTCAACACTTCAGGAGGAGTATAAGGGAAAAGACTAGGGAGCGGAGAGCCACAAGCAAAAAAAAAACACATCGACTTTCGATGATGAGAGGGACATGAAGGAATAAGAAAAGTGAAGTGAAGGAAGAAGACAAGGGAAGCGACGGTCAAGATATACGACGAGGTGAGTAATAGTCAAGGAATAGTACTCGAGGCTAACGGTGTTGAAAACCCTCGAGAACCCAACTTTGAACGTCCTAAACGAGCAGTCTCAGAGAGTCAGTCTCTCAGAGGCCAGTCCAATCATCCAGCATGAACAGTCATCAAAATATGACGCTGTAAGGTGGACAGAAGATCCAACTCAGATCCGATTATGAATCAACATAGGAAAGAAATACTCTGCAGTGGTGTAGGGTTGGAGTGGAGGTAACTCTACCCAAGCCTCTGTAGACCGGGTTGCGGCCGGGACCAGTGTCCATGCCAGTAGTGATGCAAATGTTTGCGCCGGGCAAGATGGTGTCGGCTGCTACATAACATATTTACACATTCTGACGCTGACAGTCAACCCCGAAGGGAGGTGTTAAAGCAAAAATTGGAGGCGTATGGCTTTGGTGATAATAGGAGCCTGCAGGTTGACAGACCGCCCCATACCAAAAACATTGGATACTCCAGGCTACCCCACTTGAGATTCGCATAGTCGCCAACTTGTGGAGACCATGTCACCTGGCAGTGTTATTGCCCAAGGGAGTGTCTATGATAGCGCGTCTAGCTTTGGTAACAATAGGCCTGCGGGTAGAGAGACTACCTCACACAAGGAACGTCAGATACTCCGAGCTACCCCACTTAAGATTCACATAATCGCCAACCTGTGGGGACCATGCAACCTGGCAGTGTTATCGCCCAAGGGAGTGTCTATGATAGCGCGTCTAGCTCTGGTAACAATAGGCCTGCGGGTTGAGAGACTACCTCACACAAGGAACATCAGATACTCCGGGCTACCCCACTTAAGATTCACATAATCGCCAACCTGTGGGGACCATGCAACCTGGCAGTGTTATCGCCCAAGGGAGAGTCCATCTTGGTGGGCATTGCCAACTGACACTTGGAACCTGGAGATCTTGGAGACTCTGCCTGAAATTTGAGTCGATCGGTTTATGGTAAGAAAACGGTCTACCATGCACCGCCAAGTGTTGTGTGACCGTGACCAGTGTCTGTCACAGATTGGTAAGGCGAATAACAACACTTCTGGATCGCGATGTCGGGCTGGTTCCTCGGAGTGCTTCTTTGCGCCCTATATTATTGCTGAAATTAGTCACCAGAAGGTATTGGAACATGGTCCTCATCTGCAAATATTCTCTACAAAGTCAACTTGGCGATTTGGAGAAATTTGAACTCTGCATTTTTTTCCATTACGCATCAACTTATCTAGTTTTGTACTGGTATATACCCGTGGTGTTGCCACTCAAAATTTAGAATTCAGGAGACTTTTCCATATTTGGTGATAACACCCGTAGGTCCCGGGACGCTCCTGAGATTCTCGGAGGGAACTGTGGACTGACCTTTGGACGGATTCGTTACGCGTGGACGCGTCACGCACGTGACCGTAAAACGGCTACTTAGATGGCAAAATATACCAGAGTCAGTTAAGTTGTGAGCACTAACCTGCCGTTACACAGAAGCTCGGAATCATGTCAGATCTCATGCAGTGGCAGGGTGCACCTGGCACCAATGCTGGCGATGGTCATGTGGTCAACATGGGCGCACGATTCAGGGCTCCCAGTGCCAATCGGGCTCAAGACTCGGAGGAGGACGGTGATGACAATGGCGAGGATGAAGATGAGCCTGATGATGGAGAACAAAGTAATGGTGATGACGAGGACGAGGACGAGGACGAGGATGAAGGCGATGGCGAAAGAGCAGGAAGGGACCATAGTAGCGGGGCTGCAACCACAACATCTGCTGTTGCACGAGGTGGAAGGGGCGGAGGGGGCGGGAGAGGTGCAGGAGGTGAGAGAGGTGCAGGGGGTGGGAGAGGTGCAGGGGGTGGGAGAGGTGCAGGGGGTGGGAGAGGTGCAGGGGGTGGGAGAGGTGCAGGAGGCGGGGGGCGCGGAGGGGGAGGAAGAGGAAGAGGAAGAGGAGTTGCCAGGGGGGGCGCCCTAGAACAGCTACCTGTGGCCCAGAGCCGGGCTTTGAAAGGCAGGTCACGCCCAATATTATGTGGTCAGTCCGGTGTGCAGTAAATTCTGGCAATCCTCAACTTTTTTCTTCCAGGCGCCGATGACATGATGGGTAGGCTGTATAGAATGATTTCGCTGGACCGCACGTGTGGCTGACACTTCCATGATTAGATGTCGACAGTGATGTTGTGGTAGCTGCTGGAGATGGGCGTATCGTTCATGGTCGAAGTCAGACCATTGACACTGGAGGTAGGTCTTGATATCAGTCATATTCCGGTTGTTCCCCTGTATGCTGACCCAATGTTGGACAGAGGGGTTACCTGGTGGGTGTCCAGTTTACCTGGCATGACCTGACCAGTTGGCAACATTCTGACCACCGGCGCATGGTCAGCTGATCCCAGGTCTGAGGCATTGGCCCTGGAGGCGTCTTCACTGGTGCAAGATGATGGCGCCGCGAACAAATGCAGCAGTTGCTCCGATGTTGGCCAGTTGAAGAAATGTGCCCGACCAGGTTGTCCTCACGCTCTGTGCTTCCAGAAGTCGAATTTGCACCCTTGTGTCAGAAATATAGGCCCAGGTGAATTTTGGTGTCCCCCATGCTGGAGCCGCAGGTGCTCCACTCCGTTGCCTGTGAGCCGGTCTCCTAAACGAATCCTGGATTTGTCGGTGACTCTGACATGTCGGTAGTACTCAGTGGTTGCACAAGGTGCCTACCTTACTGGCCGAAGTCACATCCGCCACCCACTCGTGTTTCACACGATTGCCTTAAAACTTGACACATACCCTGAACGTTTGTTGCGCTGTCAGTTGGAGGAAGAATTCTCGCATTGCCAAAACGTGGTATGTGTTGCTTCAATTGAACCTAAAATGACACAGGACTAAGGTCAAGTATGCGGCAGTTGCAATGCACCAACATTGAACTGGTCACTGGAGCTGCTTGCCTGCCCAATGTCCGCGCCCGCGTCCGCAACGCCCTGGCCTTTGTGAAGGCCCAACCAGAGACCGATTTGCTGGTTCTGATAGATACACACAGTGATTATGAGAATGGTGAGCTAGTCCACAGTGTTGACAAACACGGAGATGCCTGGACTCAAAATGCCTCGGAGGTGGGCCTCGGCTGACTCTTTCCGATTTCTTTTATTGACTTGGATCTCAGGTGGTCCGCCATTACTTGGGTCCGGAATTGTGGAAGCGTTCCCTGGACATGATGGGCACCAAAGGAATGATACTGCTGGCGTGTGGTCCGGCATTCACGAAGCAATCGCATTTTGAAACAATCAAGACACTGGTCTCCAGGTATGATACCCCTCGGCCCTGGTGTCTTTTTAATGACATTGGTGGATTCAGCAAGCGCCTGCTGTTTGTCATCGGATTTACTGCCCATTCGGTTCAACCCTCTGTGGTCATGCCCTTCATGCTGCGATTGATCATACAGGTCTACATCCATCAAATGCCTGTCGAGCAGGCCCTGGAACAGGAGATTGCTCACTGGACTCTGTTGAACCATACCCCTGTGGTATTGGTTTGTTGGAATCTACAAGGAGATCTGATTAGCCGGAGATACATAGCTTCCACCCCCTCTGGTTGTGTCTGGGGTCTTCCCCCCCGGTGTGGCAATAACCTGTGCAATCCTGGGCCTGGGGACATTAAAGCCAAACGATCCTCTCGTCAAGGCTCCAACTTCTTTAGGTTCCGGTGCAACCGCTGCAGCTGGGATTCAGGCGGTTACATACCCAAACCCAGCTGGCTTCTTCCATTCTCCTCGCAACATTCTTTGTTTTTTCATCACTTTCCACTCACTGCAGAGCAGGAGGATTACATCCGTCTGTATCCCGGCCGTCCGTCTGGCCGAACTCCACATTCACCTTGAGTGCCACTTGTACGTTCAAGTTTTCAGATACTCTTGTCTAACAAGCGCTTCGTTCTGTTCACCTTCAGACGTTTTCTACCCCAAATTACAATAAGATATGTTTATACACTATGTTTGCCGTTGTCTTTTTCTCTTCACCACTTGCAAATGGTGTTTGAATGTTCCACCGACATCGCACTCTTGAAAATGTGATGCATGGCTGTCAGTGTGTGAACGAATCTGTGCGCAGGTCGACCATGACCTTTTCTAACATCAGCCCTAGTTGCTGCGACGTGAGAAGACGCATGAGGGCAAAACACACCGCAATGTGAATACAAAGCAGACTCGTGAATGGGGGCGGGCAAACGTCATGGAAGTGTTGTAGACTCGGACACACAAGGTTGAACCATCATATAACATAGACGACCGTGGTCCAATTGTAAAGAGAATGGCAAGAGCCACACACAACACCATGGGATGAAAGGCAAGCTTGAAAAATTTTCAGGTGTAGAAAAGATTTGGGGATGATAATGAGGGTAATACAAAGGATCATAATAGGCGAGGACTGCAAGGTACAATTCAAGGCATACCAATCGTGGATGTCATAATGGAGTGGTTGTAGTTTACAGTTCAAGACACGAGATTTGAGACAAATGCTGGCCAGCACAGAGGACAAATGGACAGACTAAGACTGGCATCCAAAGTCTTAAGGCTACTTTCCCGGTGCGTTCTGATCCCAGAAACAGTGTCAAATCTACTGGGAAAGGGTCATATGACCATCGGCTACCGGAAAGAATTTTCCACGCATGGCGGCTTGACATTTATTTTTCTACGAACCCTCTCTTGGGTGTTGGATATGTAAGTTAAACTTGGATTTATTTGTTCATTTTGACTTTGTGTCCAATACGGCCCCGATATCATCTGGATCATATCGCCATCTATGGTTTCCACACCCGTCACGTATCATGGTAGGTTTGTGTGAGAACATCTAACAATACTGCTTGACACACCTGGATTGTAGGAGCCCCGGTCCTGTATGAGTTTCAGTTGCCTGTACTGGACTCTCAGCCAGAATTTCAGGTTCAACAAGAAGTACAGACTGAACCTACCCTGCCTACACCGGCGATGAAACAGGCCATGCCTAAACATAACGCGCTTGCTGAAAGCTTTCTTCGATCGATTCAGGCAAACTTCATATGCCCCATGTGAGGAATTTCACAGATCTTCCGGGATTGCCTTATTCATGTTATGGCCAGATGTTGGGACGTCCTGTCAGCATCAGGTCCTGGTGTCATCAATTCGGCTGACTAATACTTGATTAGTGTAGCGCCGGTGACATACTGCCCAGAGGGGCATGCGGTCTGTGTGTATTGCTTGCTGCAAACATCCTTGCGCCAAGGCTTTGACAGATGTCCGATCTGCCGGTCAAACAGTTCGGTTCCAGGGAATTGTCCTTTCATCTATTTGAGGGGGACCCAGGATGCTGCGGTGTCCTTAATGGAAGGAATTGCCCGGGAGTTTCGCGATGTTTCCGAGGAAGACAAGGATTCCCAGGATGAGGAGTTGAGGTCCTATGCTCGCGGAACCATATGGGATCACTGGAAAGTTCGATCCAGGTGATCCCAAGTCCCACCGGGTGTTATTGTCAAGTTAGGATTTTTCTGACCATCGGCACAGGGTTGGTTTGGCTGTTTTGCACGACATTCGGCAAGTTCGGCGGGAAGTAGACTTTGTGGACGTGGGTCGCGTTGTTTCGTGGGCCCGCGCCCAGCTGGCAGCCTCAGCCCAGCCAGCAGCCTCAGCCCAGCTTCCATCCACGGTCGGAGCCTCGGCCCAGCTTCCCATGTAAGATGGTATACCAATTTTATCTGGCGTTGAACTCATTTACCAAACTTAGCGTGCTCGATTAGCTGCTTACCATCTGGAGGCAACTTCTTACAGACACATCTATAATCGTCCAATCGCAAAACTACCAGCCAAGGTCAAGCCACCCTCCCTCGTCCAACAGTCTTTGACCATACATGCCTCTACTATTCTGATTAATAATGCTGGTATCGACAGAGTTCTAGAGCCTAAGGGCTTGCACACCCATATTATCACGTCACATGTGTAATAACCCATTCGCGATCCGGCATTCTACAGCTCCACGCGAGGTACAGAAAGTGCTTGGTTGATCTTGAGTGTGAGATATACGCCAAATATTGCATGTTTTATGACAGCAAATCTCACAGACATTTACCACACTTCTTTCTTTTATATACTTTTACCTGCCAGGGGCCTCCGATACTTGATATGTTTATTTCCCTGCCTATATGCAGTTGTTGGCGATGATGACCCAACCCCCCTGACTTTGTGCCCTGCTTCAATGATCACTTCAGATCCCATGCCTTTGTCTGGCCTGATTGTCGACAACTTTGTGATTTGGTCGGTACTACCTTAGCAAACTCACGACCGTGTATTCAACTTGATGATCAGCGTCGCCCTTGTGAGTCAGACCTCAGTACGGATATAATTCTGCACCCAACTGATTGATACCAATCCGCTCAAGGTGCCGCCACTACTTGAGGGTCAGCAAGTCATTGTGGACGCCGATGCTTCTTCCCCTTGGAGTCCAGATGAGTACGGCATAGTGTTGTTGCCATGAACAGACTCTCAGCATGTGCCACGGGTCTCCTGGCTGACCTCTGCAGCAAGACTTGTGTGAGCATCCGGGACTGGGACAGGCTTTTCATCATATGTGACCTATCTGGAAGGCATTTGTGGCGAGGTTGTTTCTAGCACTGTGCTACGAGCGATAATGATCTTATGTGAGGGATAGTGCCGTCCATGGACGCTTTGTATTAGGATGACTACCCTAATGGATTCTGCAGTGGAAAGAATATAATCCATTCAATATTCAACACACAAATTTGCGATTATCTGATGGAGCTATTGGGATGCCCGGTGAATTATGGACTCCAAACTGCATATAATAACTCCTTGTGGAGGGTTAAGGCCGGTTTCATTGCGGCGGTTACCGGAGTTTCAAAAGTGAACAGAATTGAATCTGAGTTTGAACGACGCTATAATAAGTTTCAAACTGTCCACATCTCGACTTCAATACCCTTAAATCGACTTAATATTATGCACCACTTGTAACCATTACCTAAGTCGTACCGGTGGGAGCAGGCCGCCTCTATGAGTCCTTCCCTGGGCGTTTGAATGCCTTGATTATTTCTATGTCCAAAGAGCTGCGCCCCTCTGGGGCCAGTGGGACCAAGCCTGGGGGGGCGCCTCTCTGAGGCCTCTACCTGGGCATTTGAATGCCTTGATTGTTTCTATGTCCAAAGAGCTGCGCCCCTCTGGGGCCGGTGGGACCAAGCCTGGGGGGGCGCCTCTCTGAGGCCTCTACCTGGGCATTTGAATGCCTTGCCTTCTATGTCCAAAGAGCTGCGCCCCTCTGGGGCCGGTGGGACCAAGCCTGGGGGGGCGCCTCTCTGAGGCCTCTACCTGGGCATTTGAATGCCTTGATTGTTTCTATGTCCAAAGAGCTGCGCCCCTCTGGGGCCAGTGGGACCAAGCCTGGGGGGGCGCCTCTCTGAGGCCTCTACCTGGGCATTTGAATGCCTTGATTGTTTCTATGTCCAAAGAGCTGCGCCCCTCTGGGGCCGGTGGGACCAAGCCTGGGGGGGCGCCTCTCTGAGGCCTCTACCTGGGCATTTGAATGCCTTGATTGTTTCTATGTCCAAAGAGCTGCGCCCCTCTGGGGCCGGTGGGACCAAGCCTGGGGGGGCGCCTCTCTGAGGCCTCTACCTGGGCATTTGAATGCCTTGCCTTCTATGTCCAAAGAGCTGCGCCCCTCTGGGGCCAGTGGGACCAAGCCTGGGGGGGCGCCTCTCTGAGGCCTCTACCTGGGCATTTGAATGCCTTGATTGTTTCTATGTCCAAAGAGCTGCGCCCCTCTGGGGCCAGTGGGACCAAGCCTGGGGGGGCGCCTCTCTGAGGCCTCTACCTGGGCATTTGAATGCCTTGATTGTTTCTATGTCCAAAGAGCTGCGCCCCTCTGGGGCCGGTGGGACCAAGCCTGGGGGGGCGCCTCTCTGAGGCCTCTACCTGGGCATTTGGATGCCTTGCCTTCTTCTATGTCCAAAGAGCTGCGCCCCTCTGGGGCCGGTGGGACCAAGCCTGGGGGGGCGCCTCTCTGAGGCCTCTACCTGGGCATTTGAATGCCTTGCCTTCTTCTATGTCCAAAGCGCTGGTCCCCTCTGGCACTGGTGGGAGCAGAATCTCCAGCCATGATGTAAGGTTTTCAAATACAAAATCTTGAGTGTGGCATGCTGCACAAAGCCATCTCGGTAAATTTACTAATGTGCTGCAACAGGAGAGGACATGGTATGTTTTTTAAATCTTAAATTTTAATGTTCTTTGGAGAGTTACGCTCTAAGGGGGACAGTACAATCTAGTCTATGAGACACCTGTGTCCCTAACACCTCTCTGGGCTTGTGAATGCCCTGGTATGAGGTGTACCCCCATCAGTCTGCCCTTCCTGTTAATGAGTGCCCACGGTTAACAGGAGGGCCCCCTTTTTTCTGGCTGACTGATACCAATAGGGAGCTTATACGACTCTGTGTAGGCAAATGTGAGGTGGTGTTACATGATGATAGGGAGTGGTCCAGTATATTACGGTGGGGTTTCAGGGTGGGTGGATGCAGGTAGGAGCAATGGTATCGGTGGCCTTCATGTTTCGATCTATCTGGGTAATATCAGTTCGGGATAGCGGACAGGGTATGTTGAGATGCGAGTTGGTTCATTAGTACCATGCCCAGGCATCGTCTCTTCAACACTGTCTTTGCAATGTTCGCATTGCATCACATCTTTGCATCAAACCACGTCACAGAGTGCAATTTCCATATTGTCACAAAGTGCAAACTGTGCATAGCAACCACAAACTTTCCATTACCTTGCGGAGCAAGATCATGATGTTGTTGGGCTAATCTGTCAGTCACCTGACATCAACATCATGCTGTGCAATCACGCGTTTTTGCACCAACCTCACGCGTTCCTGACCAATCATGCGTGCCATACCAATCAAGTACAAAATTACAGAGACACCTTTACACCCTACTGAATACCACTGAACATGTACCATCAACACGTTGTCAACACCGATAGGGTTCAATACATATCTGCTTGGCCAAAGACTGAGTACAACTTGAAGACGCAGTATTGAATGTATTACCGTAGTCCGCGATTCCAAAGCCACATTTGTCTGTTTGACCATGTTTGTGTGTTTGGTTTTGTTGAAGATTCGTACTGATACAACGTTTTAATCAGTGTGTCAAACACGATCAAAAGCTGTTACGACCAAACTGAAGACAACATCGAACAAGCTGAAGACCAACCTAATAAATTGCTTCAAAGAAAGCCTTATTGATTGAATGTATTGCATATGTCTTTTTGGGTTGGTTGAAGCAGCGCGAAAGAGCGAGGAACAATAAGCGTACACATGTACAAATATCCTTGAGAAATTGCAATCGGAGCAAGGTCATCAGTTCGCACGGCAAACCCCTAGTGATTCACTGAGCGCAACCAAATCTGTCTAACAAAGTCCATAATTATGTCATCGTAGTGGCGGCGAGCGCCAGTCCCCGACTCCGCTGTCCGGCCAATTGCTTACATAAACTGATACCTTTGTTACCAGGGGTTTGCCGTGCGAACTGATGACCTTGCTTTTCACATTAAGGCTATTTGCACATGTGCACGCTTCTTGTCTGTCGTTCTTTGGCGCTGCATTGGTCTTTTTTTTTTATTCACTGCGATAAGGAATTTTTTGAAGCAATTTAACAGGTTGGTCTTTAGCGAGTTCGATGTTGTCTTCAGCTTGGTCCTAATAGCTTTTGATCGTGTTTGATATACTGATTAAAACGTCGTAACAGTACGAAACTTCAACAATACCAAATAGACAAATGTGGCCTACCCAACTCTTTGTAATCTAGCGAGAAAGATGGTACACAACATATCCACACCTGCCTGTGTAAGGTACATTGCACGCCGACGAGCGAAATTAGCGAGAGCGTTGCAAGACTTGCGATGCGACCGTGAACTGCATAGATTGTGTAGAGATCGGGGTAAACCTTGGATACAAGTGTGAATGTCGTTGCTCAGGAGCCTCTCCAGCTGACGAGTTAACTCATCAAGAGGAAGTGAGATCCACGACGCAAAGGTGTCATTGAAAGCGCGATTCAACGCGTTGTCGTTAGATACATTGATTGGGGGACGTCGAAGGGCTGCAGCGACTTCAGCGCCATACATCTGGACAAACCCTGCGGAAAGATGCATGGCTCTTGACTAAAGACAATTCTGAGGTAAATGATAATCCATACATTCTGCAATTACATCGTCCGACAATAGCGAACATTCAACATGCACCGCATCAAAATGACGGATAATGACGTCAATGCCGAGAGCCTTGACGCGTGTCTGGGCTCGATCACAACCTGAAGTTCGAGCCACTGTGCAATGTTAGCAGGTAAGAGAGACAAAGCCTCACGAGGGTGGTCAACGGGGTACGAGAACCAGGGAGGATCACGACCAAGGGAAGAAAGCAGACATGTCTGCACAGAGATGAGGCGCTGACATGTCCCATAACGGTCAAACACGCTACAATGTCAGTCGGTAGCCGACTCGAAGTGGGCCGGAGAAAACGACATGAAGGTACCGTCGACAGAGACAGTAATATCTAAGGCATCCGAACCAACAGTAATGACGCACGGGCCCAAACAACATTTCGAACACAACTTGTTATGAGAGACAAGTGAGGATTCTAGCCACGCACAAAATCCTTCACATGTTGCGAATACAGCAGGATGGGCACTCGGATAGTACAAAGGATCGTAAAATAAAGGATAAGACGATGTAACATGTAAAAGGTTGTGAGGTGGGCAATCATTGACATCGAGTACACGAGGATTCGTGGAAGGGCGTTTGCACAAAAACGCTGGCATGATTGAATGAAAGGACAACAGCTGAAACCAATTTAGCGAGAGATAGCGCGAGCGAATGAACAAACTCAACAAACACAGCGACAACGCGCAAGTTGAAGGTGAGACAACGTGATGGAATCCCAACGCACAACACCTGCCAGACAAAATCAGCGAGAGGTAAAGTGAGCGAGAAAACTCAACAAACGCTGCGAGAAGGGGGATGGAAGGCGAGCGAGTGAGGATACTGGTCAGCGGAATAAGTATATAACGGACGGTATGGAACATCCTGGTCAAAAAGGGTACAAGACTTTAAAGGAATAGATGCCCATGTGATTATAGACGAAGTCCGACCGTCCGAGTCGATGAGTCCGAGAGAGCGCGCAGATAAAACACAGTGAAATTTAAACAGGGCTTGGCATTTGCCATTTGAGTGAAAAGAGACAAAGCCAGTGTTCAAACAATTTGTCTGTCGTCGAAATTGGGAGGGTCTGGAACATCCTAGTCAAACAGGGCAACTTTGTCTCACGCTGACATTTTTTGATACAGGTGCCTGCACGCCGAGGTCTGACAAAACCCTCCTCCCAGTAATCGTGGGAGTAGGGGATTGCAAGCTATGGAGGCAGTGTGGCACCCTGAGGCCACATAAATTGTTCAGGCCAAATATCTGTTGTCCACCTTTCTTCCTACCATCATATTCCTACCTCTGAGTTAAGGATCATGCCAATCTCCTCCACCGGTTCTGCTTTGTGAGCGCCTCGTATGTCATTTATCCGAAGGTATGATCGTACTAACCATGGGTTTGGAACGGCTGGATGATTGTCATGTTTAGTTCTGTATCACAGGGATCCTACTGTACCGGGATGGGGTGAGGTTGCAGTATGTCAGACCATCATTTTCACGCACAAATATTCAAGTCTATTGCAGAAATTTGATGAGGAGATGATGGAACTTGTTGGACACTTTTTGACAGAAACCCAGCTTCAGTGCGAGCTAAGACACCAGTTCACATGCGCCCACTTATTGATGAACTCATTTACACCAGAAACATGAAACCAAGGCTACTCCATTGGTATGTGGCTTTTGTTTGCTGATGCTATTTTAACCATTTGCTCACCGCGGGCAGCCTTAGACGTCCTGGACATTCACATTTCCTACACTATTTTCATGCCACCGTCCTTGTTTTTGACCTCTTTTTGTGCCGCTTTTGTACCTCTGCTAGCCGCACATGTATGCCAGCTATTATGGTGCCCAATATTATTCAAGCATATTTACACACATTTTCAACTGTCTGGCAAGGGGAGCAAGTACGTGCGTTCAGATGCGCAAATATGTTTTACATTAAACAAAGCGCCTATGCACACCAGGATATCCCAGCCCAGCCGATGTGTGTATAACGAAGTGTTCATCACATTATGCGCCTGAACATCAGGGCAATTAAATAATCTAATGGCAGGCCATCAGGGAGGCCTGGCTGGCACCCTGGAACAGAATGCATCCCAACTCTGATCTCCTTGTTTTTCGAAGCGTTCTACCTCAAAGACCTGTTCCTCCTGGGTCCAACCGTCCGTTGTAGCAGAGGTTAACATATCATTCCAATATATTGTGGATGACGCGGTCACCTCACCGAGTACAGATGTGGCAACGTTCCCGCCACTGGACGAAGGTCCGGGTCCAGACCCCAAGGCATCTGGGAATGAAAACTGATACCCTCAGGCGTGGGGAAGAAATGAGATACAGGAATATTTTTGCTCACCTGCGGTCCAGACCCTGATGGCCCTGCAGACTCGACGGCCTTGCCTTTCTCCTTCTCTTTTCCTTTTCCTTTTCCTTTTCCCTGTCCTTTGCCTTTGCCTTTGCCTTTGCCTTTGTCTTGGCTGGAAATCGGACCAAGGGGTCTCCTGTCACTCTCACCTTCAGGAATTGACTGCACCCAACGGCGTGATGAGAAAAAAAAGTGGAAGGACAAGAGCCATAAACGCACCTTGCTTGTTTTGGCTCTCTTGGATTTCCGCACATCAGCAACTGCAGGAGACTGGTCACTTAGTTAGTTTACAGTCTTATCATCCGGATGATAAACCTACAGCCGGACGCTTGGAGGATCCGGGAATCGGAGGCTGGGTATCCAGATCCATGGGGGTTGGAAACTCGGTCTCGGCTGCAGCTTGTGCCGTGCCGTTTGTGGCGGCTTCAGCCTGAGCCTTCTGGATATTTGCTTCCAGCAGTTCCAGGGCGATCCTCAGGCACTTGCGCCAGCTTTTCACATCCGTCTCCACCATCGGAGCTCGAGCGTTTCCACTTAGTGTGGCCTCCTGGTCCATCGTCAGCCAATCCATAGACTCGCTGGTCTCATCAGGCAAAGAACCATATAGCGATCGGATAACGGGATCGATTTCAGGCGACATAGACCAACTTGCCCAATCTGTGCTCCTGTTCATAACAGAGGCAGGCTGAACAAATTGGATGCTCACCAAATATTGTGGACACAGTTTGCCCATTTTTTGGTTTAGGTGGCAGCCAGTTTGAATCCGGCGGAGATATCCTGCGATTGTGATATGTGGCTTGTGCCCATGAGAACAGGACACTGGAGAACCATTGGCGCGTCATTTTATTGCATGTGGGTGCACCCTGGCCCTGGCTATGATCTGAAGAACCATAGAATTTTTCCCGGACTTCGTCAAAAAAGGCCTCGCGCAGAAGGTGCAAATACACGGATCCTCGGAAGAAATTCGATCTGGTGTACTCGTTGAAGCGTCCGGAAAGTGACATGTACCACAGGGCATACATCGCATGTTGCAAAAACCGAAAGATAGGTTTTGATGAAGCAGGAATGTATATAATGTAGGAGTGGGATCGCAGTACCGGAAAACAGTCCAGAGATCGTTCATAAGCACCGCAGTGATAGAGTTCCGGTTCCCAATATTTATCTTTCGCCATCTCACCGGCCTTGTTCCAGTGATAGTTGAGATCTATCAGCTTGAGAGAGGGAACGGGTGCCTGCATTGTGCTTTGGAGGCGGTTTGACGCGACGCGATGGAAGGCAAATAGAAACACGTACCGTAATTACCAAAATGGTGTGGCCAGCTAGGGTTCCAAGATTGTGTTAGGGTTTGGGGATCAGTTTGTCTGATCCCGGTACCATGATTTAAATTTTGAACACACACAAATTTTAGCTCCTACCCTTGGATCAGATGTTTGAAAATTTTAGTAGCAGTTGATCCGGGGCCCAGGGCCACAAATTAATGTATGTAGGCCATCATTCCGCTGTTTTAAGCTATACTAAGCATCAGTTGCAGCAATTTTCCCAGATTTTTTACCTGCTGGATACGGACTTCATTACTGGCATGGACCTTGTGAGGGAGCCCCGTAAGTGTATCATGAATTCAAGGCTACACAGTGGACAAAATGGAGCAGAGCCTCAGGAGGATGTCCACACCACTTGCAGCCTACAGCTACGAAATGAAATAGGTGTTTGTAGTATGATCACTGGGCCGAGATATCCTCACCAACTTGGACCAGACATGTCCATCCCAGGCACCTTGCCAAGGCAATCCTCCCGAAACATCCATGAGGCGGTCACTGGGTAGGTACTAGTGTGAAGGATTCTGGTGATAGTCCTTGGAAATGAATTTCAGGCTCCGAAAAGAATTAATTATGTGTCAAGTTAAGTCATAGAAGCGGCAACAGAAGCGACAACAGAAGCGACAACAGAAGCGACAACAGAAGCGGCAACAATTTGTATTCGCCGTCTATCCTATTCAATAGAATCGGGGTCTGTTGATCTAAAATGAAGGTATCTTACATATATTATGTATGTATGTGCAGGGTGAGGCTGAGTAAATGGACAATCATATCGGAGTCAACGTGGGAATTTTAAAACCTGCACGGCAACAGCCACAGGCGCAAGCCTTGGTAAAATGGTTAGAAGGTGGAGCCTAGACCGAACCAAAAAAAATATATGGCAAAACAGTTCCACGAATCAGTCTGATGCTCACCCGTGGCAGGTCAGTCCAAGACCAGTCCAATGTTCCCCATGCATAAGGTCATTCTACACGATCTCCATAGGGCGGTGCCATATGTCATTTTACTGTACATTATAATTATAGTCCCTACCAGTAGCCACCAGTTAGATTCTTTTCCTGTGATCGGGCCTGGATCTGGGATCATATTTTATTGCGAGCTGATCCGGGCCTAACTTAAACCACTCCTTTAGAAGCACAACGCACATGGCAAACGCGGCCACTCGTGCGTGTCATGTACAACAGCGAGCCCGGGTGTTTTGTTGATTTGCAGGCTTTTCCTTGGCGCATTGTTGCTGTGTCTGTACATGTATACACAGTGTGGTCCTACAATCTCAAACCCCTTTCAGGCATGTAGGGATATTCCTGTGGTGTGACCAGCAATCTCCTGCTCCGAGTGCAGGAGCTGCATTGCCTTGCGCAGTGACACGTTTTGATAAGTCACCAAGACCACACAACTGGCGAGTCAAGCCTAAGGAATTAAGTATAAATATGATGGGTACAGATGAACTGGGTGATAATGTTTGTGCACGGCCATGAATTATGAGACTGCATGCCAGAGACTAAAAATGTGAAGTGATCCTGTCGGAACTATGTCACAGGTTCTATTAAGCGTTCCATAGCCAGGCAGGTTTTGGTCATCCACTTGGAGAATGAGCACCCAAATTCATCAGCCAGCCGCAAGGTCCACCTTGGATTCCCGGCGGTAAATAGACCAATACCCACTCCGCGTTCCACCTCGTTGATAAAATAGCCTAATTGTCCATCAGGACCATGCATGACACCAATATCCAGTCGGACCATCAGCCTCAAGGAGCTGGGTGCACCCAGCAAATCTTCCTCAACTTCTATGAGCTGACTCAATACGGTTGTCGCAAAGGACTCCAGTTCTTGATCGGCTTGGCGGCGTTCGGAGCACGTGCCCCCTACAGGATCCATGATATCATCAAAGACGTAAGGTTCCCTAATACGCAGGCTGGGTCGGCCTACAGGTTAAGACCAATCGGATTGTGACGGAGGGTCAGTTGAAGAACTCACGTCATTTCTGCCAGAGACAGACCTGCATCCCGATGCAAAAAGACCAACTCCTCTCGCCTATTTCCAGGAGCTGTGTGCACCACCCACAATGGTAGACAATCTACCAAGATAATTCGCCACTCTCCCAGCTTCCGAAGGGTGGGTACATATGACTGCTTTAACCACCTGAAATGACCACAGTCTGGGGGTAGATTCAATGGATCCACTTTTCCTGGTAATAAAACATGACGGTTGCAATCACTGCCTTCACGCTTCAGAATCCAGCCTGCAAAGGATTGTGAGACATCATTGCGAGAAAGGAGTGTGGTCCGTGGTCTGGGGGAGTTAACCATTCTGGATGCAATTTGGTCAAGGTTGATGATTACATTGAATTTTATGGAGGCGCGTAGGATCTCTCTGGATGGAGGCCATACCGGCACAATGGACTCCAGCATCTGTAGGCCATATATGTATTGCTGCAGCTGGGCTGAGCTGCCCCAACCACCAGCCTGCTCACTTATCCTGATTGTCAATGGTTTGAATAAGGTAACCGGATGCTGATCACCTGCCTTGGGTCCACCATAAGATCTAGGCCGCCACAGACCGAGTGATATTGTTGAAATGTTTGTTTGAAGTCAGAGTTTGGTGAGATCAGTATATCCCGAAAATTTTCAAACTTCATGAACTCTACAGTTATTCCTTTGTGCCGAATTCTAAGCCAAAATAATAACTTATGGGTTACAGGGATCAGTCTGGAACCAGCAGCAGTTTTCGACATCCAAACCTTTTCATGAAGCCGCACTGGCACAAAGCCTGGTCGCTGTGCAACAAGGTGGCCGGATTGTCCAGGAAAGACAAAGCCGCAAAGGGTCGGACTGTCCAGGAGATCGGCAGCCAAGAGAGCAGGATAGTCATGGGTCACCCAGTCGATACATCCATAAGAATCCCGCACCAAAGCACGGGAGAACTGAGGATCTAACACCACCAACACCCGGTAAGACATTATTAGACCAGGACGTACTTGACTGATTTGGTATTGTCAGCCTTCAAGGCTTCAGGTATTGATCTGGGTTTCTAATACCGGACCATGCCGATGCAGGTTCGCCTAAGGTGATGTTAACAGTAATTAATATTGCCTACACATTAATATTGTAATTTCCTTGACCTCAATTTTAGTTCTTACAGGTGCTTAAAAATAGTTCTGACAGAGATCTGGGCTTCATCAGCAGGAAATGTCAGGCAGCTCACCCCATGTAAATGAGATCCATAACTGACATGTCATGCACAGTCAGTACATGCACATTATACAAGGGATCATTCATGTACTGTCAAAGTCTTCCATCCAGAACCTCAGGCATGACATCCCTCCCGGTTTGCTGTACATATAGAACATCTATTACTTAGTCTGCGTATTTGACACTGGTGTGCATTTACTACAGTCTCAAAAATAATAAACAGTGAACAACAGGTGTCCGAGTTTCCATAGTCAAGAGGGTTCAACCACTCGGGAGTTGCCGGATGATCTGTACAGTTGGGTGCACAGAAATGTAGAGGGACATCTCAACATTTGTGTGCGAAAAGCTCTGCTCCCATTAACTGTGGAGGTCAGGGATGCATGTCATTTTCTTTGTCTGTATGGAGCCACGCAACAAGTTTGTGCTGTTCCACACAGACAAAGAAACCAATGTGATACACCTACAGAAGGATATTGGAGTGAGTGGAGTAGGTGACTCGTATGGAAGGCATGCTTGGTGTGATTGCAATACCAAAAGGTTCACAGCACACAAAGAGAGGTGACACTTTCCTATTCTCTTTTGTTGTCTACCACGAAACTGATTTTTTTTTGACAAACAACCGCTCGATTTCTCGACTCACATCCCCCAGGTACACTCCTTCCACCACCTGCACCCATTCTTAATGTTGTAGTTCCAGACCTTGATAGGCCATAGTTGGTTTTCACATTTTCATGTCACTCTCTCAATGTCTCATCGTCTGTCAATCACCAGCTCTGCCTCACATGTTGATCATCGAGATCTCCCCCAATTAGGGATGAGCATGGGTGAACCCGTGGGTCTCTGAAGCTACACCGCACCCATACCCACATACACCGCACCCGCTACGGTATGGTCAACACCAACCCACCAATTCTGCAGGTATGAACAGTGTTTGCGGTATACCGCGGTTTGTTCACAGACCCGCGCGTCATACAGTATTTGAGAGACCTTTGTATACACAAGTAACTTAACTACTGTGCTTCCTCTTCTTTGTCTTCGTCACCACCCTGAGGAAGTCCTGCGTATCTATGAGATCATGGCGAGACCAGGATGACATTGTAGTATCAGCAAAAATCTTACGAAGTTCCGCATCCAGGTCCTCTTCATTGTCAGACTTCATTGCCGTGTCAATGGCATCGACATCAATTACTGATGGTTTGAGCGATGATGACGATGAGCGCTTCTTTTTGAGAGCAAGGCGGTTTTGACTCTCTTCAAAGGATGGGTAAGCACATCCACACTCTTCTTGACTGCCTGACTGACAGACTTCAGAGATGATGCTAGCGAAGATGATTTTGACGAGTATGATTGGATGGAAGACTCATCAGCCTTCTTTGAGAGGTGCATGAGAGGAGGGTGAGTAGTATTCTGCATTTCTTCACAACCCATTGGCCTTTTAACTCATACAGAACCTGGGCACCACGAATTATTGCTTCTGTCCGAGCTCATGGAATATCATTCCACTGGCAAATCAGCATAACTAGTGCCGTCGATTGTCACTCTGAATCAACATTGCTACTTGATGAATTTGCGGTCAAAGCGTGCATGGTAACAGCTCCGACTCGGGAGGCTCTTTATAAGCAATAAAAATTTGACCCTCGCACCCTCAGACAAAAGATGCTCATCTTAACCATGCCTTGGATAAAAGGAGGCACAATGGATAATACAGGAAGATGTACATTAATGAGGTAGACTCAATATTCTACAAGGTGTAATAAACAGGTGGGAAGAGGATGAGAGAGTTATTGGAGAGAACAAGTGTGCAACTGTTACAACAGACGGAGACCTAACAAGGTGCACAGCACATAAAATAACCAAGAATGCCTTTGTCCAAGCAACAGCTCTGAGCTCCAACAATGAGCTATGACAAGGCTAACAGGTGGGAACAGGAAGATAGAGTTCTTGGAAAGAACAAGTGTGCGACTGTCACAACAGACAGAGACCTAACAAGGTGCGCAACACATAAAATAACCAAGAATGCCTGGTCCGAGCAACAGCTCAGAGCTCCAACAAGGAGCTACGACCAGGCAAACAGGTTGAGAAGAGTACGATGGTAGAGTGAGAGAGAAACGAAAAAGAGAACGAAAATCAAAAGTCAACCATTTGAACCATCATGTGACGTTCCCACGCCACGCGTCCATCGCTTACAATGCTACCTTTATACAATATTTGTCAACCTGACATGACATATTACAGTAGCTAAAATATATGTATTATGAATGTATGTATGTATCAATCAATGACTGATGGCACGCACTGAAAGGAAGTAGTATCAGAGGCACTGAGGCAGCAGGCTCCATATCAGTGAATGAAATAGTTTTTCTTTAAATGCAGGACACACTGAACGCTGGAAATGAAGATCCAGATTGTGAAATATGGAACACAATGAAGACACATACAGTAATGGCTTCATTTGTGCCTATAATGCAGTGTGCCTCAACAGGTGACTTGCAACCGGCATTCAATCATGCCACTTACCTGCATGTCATATGATAGCCCATACCTGGTTTGCATATACTCTATGAACCCCAGCCAAAACTGCACAGACAACCAGTTGTAATCCAGACCTATAACATTGGCCTTGACTGGTAGCTCTTGGTGATCCCGCCATGTGTCTGATGGTGTCAACATGACACCACCCCCTGTGAGATCATGATGTGCAGTGAATGTATGATTTCAGCCATAGCATATGTCATTAGAGTCAGAGCTCCTATAGGAGTGGATGTGGTATCGAACATGGTGGCATGATTCTACAGCGCGGTGTCTCAGCCAACATATGCTAATATTGAATACCACCTACAACATATCTCCAGGGAGGACTGTAATTACTTCAGCATCACAATTCCACGTTACTTTCGGACTGCTCTTATTAACCTCTTTCCCCAAAGGTCCAATGGTCAAATCTTTCATGCTGGCCGCTGTCATGCTCGGCTACACCACAACAGATAAGGTTTATGGGAGATTGAAATATAAGCCGGAATATTACCGTAGAATGTGTCAGTGTGATGCTGATTGTGAGTTGAATAGCTTTGCCAGGATTGTTATTATTGATCATCAGTGAAGTTGTACTTATGTCGAGGATTTTACGCCGTTTTACGGTCACGTGATCTTCGGGTTCCGCCGGATTCCTTCCCACACGGTGCTGTTTCCCTCTAGCAGTGTTCTTGTTCTCTCAATGACGCGCTGCGTGTCTCTTGAAAACAAATCGGATTTGCGGAGGCCCAAAAACGAGACCTTCGGTGTGAAACGTACGACAACTCTTACAAAAGCAAAAACTACACAACATCGAAGAATGCAAAGTTCGAAGAAAGATACAGATCCAGTTGTGTGTGTGGTTCATGCCGGCCCAGCGACAGTGAGTGTGTGCTACAAATGTGGATGGGGTTGATACATGGACAAGTGTTGGTGGTATGCGGACCCAGAAATATGGTGATGTGGGGCCGTGGTGTTATAGTCTCAGCGGGAGGAGGATGCTCGAACTTCTGGGCAGCCGTTCTTACTTGCTCGTCCAGTGATTTCTCCGCATCCCTCGCGCTGGCGCTGAATCGCATCGAAAAGTGGCTTGACACCGCGGGTCGCCTCAGGGTATGCTTCCAGAAATACTCCCTCGTCCTGCTGCAGCCTGTCGAAGCCTGTGATGAGTTGCAAGCAACCAAGCGCCGCTCTTGAACCCACAATCGGCGTGAAAGGCTACTCACCGGTAGAACTCGACAGCGATCACCTTGCGGATGTTCCGCTTCACGCCAGTGACCGTGCGCATGGGGCCAGTGTACCACTCTTCGGGCCAATCCTTAAGTGCCTTGCCGCCGATGGATGCAGCAGGGTCTTCCCACTGCTTCACGGCAGTGCACCACGCCTCTGGTCCACGTGGGAGGTCTGGGATGCCGACGCCAGGGATGGGAGCTGCCTTTTTGCTGCAGCGCTATGCCGGTGGCTGTTGGAGGGTGGCACCTGTGGTGTAGGAATGGCGCGAGGCGAGGGACAAGAGGTCGAGTCCATGGGAACCGGGGCGGGTGTTGTAGAAGGAGCTGTGGCCTGATGGCACAGGGTTGGCTGTAGATACTGGGAGGAAGAGACTGAGGTCGAAATCAAGATTGGAGGTTGTGATGGTGGCGGCGATGGTGAGGAATACGAGGATGAGGCTGGAGCATGTGTTAGTTTGTTTAGGACTTCCTCGGCGCTACACACTCTTCACTTCGACATCTCTTTCCGATTCAGACCCGAAACCTAGGATTGCAAGACTGATCAAGCTAAGCCGGTCTTCGCCGCGTGCGCTGAGGTCGATATAAGGTTGTGATTGATGGTCAGACAAAAGATAATGGAGAAGAGATAGATCCCCAAATACGCATGCTTGGGGTGCTAAGCCCGAATCGGGTGACAGCGAGTGGGATATGAGACTTGAACTCGGATACAAAGGATGAAGATCAGGCTCCGGGGAGAAATCCAGTGGTCCAAGTGATACAGGGACCATCGTTATGATAAAACGTCTGGGTCACTGTCGGGTCACTTATAACAGTAGAGCAGCAATAACCGTTGCCAGTTACCGCATCGACCACCAGACGGGACCTATCTTGTCCTCGCGTGAAGACCGCGAAACGAAAATATGGGGCCACAGAAGAACTGGAAAAGGACAGGTAAGCAGATGAGTTAAAAAGCAACGACGAGCTACAAACCACGCCGACATCAGTTTCGGGGTGCTTTTCAACTATAGAACCGAACACCCTGTCCCAGTTTGGCCTGCCGAAATGAGTGGGAGCACGCAAAGAAGGGATAGCGTCTTTCTCTGCACCGACATCTTGGACCTAAGGAAAATACAATTAGTACGGAAACCACTGAGAAAAATGGGTACCGCGCACTATAATGTTGTTCATGTCATCCTCCTTGATCTTTGCAGTGAGGTAGATGTTGATCCTGCTCTTCGATAGCCTGCAGTAGTGAATGGAACCACTCGGCGCTGCCAAAGTCGCGGATGACCCAAGTGAAGTAGACCTTGGAGAGACGGGTAGGCTTGGAGTTGTTCAGGTTGTCCATGCGGTACCAGATCGACTTTGGAATACTGAATGGATATGGTTAATGTCGTCATCGAGTAAATGAGAGATGTGATACGCACGAAGCGAAGGGTGTGACACCAATACCAGCACCAACAAGGTAAACAGTCTCGTAATTTAAGAATTCCTCACTGGCACTACCAAACGGACCGTCAACCATTGATACGAGGGAGCACCCGGTTGAACGGCGGATTTGCGTTCGTGCCAATAACCTTTCCACCACTGGCGTTGACATCCTTGGAATCCTTAGAGTCAAAGTTACAGCCGACAGCCTTGGCGAGCGCAGCGGTGAAGTCACCGACGACACGGATGTGCACAGAAATATAATCTTCCTCAGGAGCGCTGTGGCATTATAAAGATGTATTGCCCTGCCCGCGTAGTGGTCTTCTCCTTTTTGATTTGATTTCAATGACTTGGATGTGGCGGGAGTGATGGTAGACTGTGGGCATTATGGAGGCCAGGACTGACGGTATAGGTCCCATTGGAACTCCGAGCAAGCGGATAACCAGTAGCTTTAGATGCCAGGGCACTTGAGCGACTTAGACTGAAAGAAATCGTGTTAAGTATAGAAAAATATGAAAAGAACCATAAACGTACCGAGCATTAACCTCAATGCCACAGTATTCCTTGACATTGGGGTCCTACTGCCCCATATTTTGCCCCAACCAAGTGTTTTCAGTCGTGGGCGAAGAATACTCCTCTGGCGCATGTCCAGTATTGTCTGAGCTGTGGGATGAAGCCGGAGTATCCGTAGAAGTGAAAGAACGTTCTGAGTGGAGATGTATTATATACGAGCCTAACGCCATAGGCTGCAATCGAGCCTGGCGAATTAAGTCAAGGAAGAGGGAGACGCCCTGCCGAGACTACAAGGAGATCAGACGACAGTAACGAAGAAAGACAACAAAATAAGCTAACTCTTTGAACGTGAGCCTTGAACCGAGCGAGTCCATGGCTCTCAATCCGTTTCGTCATTCCCCAGCCGAACTTGGAGGAAGTTCATTGTCTGAACATGTGTAGCCCGATATTAGCCCCGCGGAGGCTTGAAATCGAGGAACTCACTCTTCTGACTTATTAGAGCTCCTCGCATTTGCTTCGAATGTCTGTATCGCAAACGTGCGATGCCTGTGAAGGACTGCGTGGTGCATACATATCCTCTAATGAACGTTCCTCTGGCTGCAACCTGGCTGTTTTCAGGGTGGGGGCGTTCTTGAGTAGGTCATGTGCTTGGGCGGACCGTATCAGTCTTTCAACTAGGGCTCGGTCGTCTATGACAAGTGCTTGGACGCGCGAGACGAATGCTTGGACGCTGAATGTGCCTTTTGTTTGGTCTGGGGGTGGAGGACTAGTTGCTGAAGTAGGAGTAGGAGGAGGTTGCAAGTGATTGGCGAAACAGGAACCGAGACCACCAAGAGTGAATGCAGACCGAAGGTTGACGGGATAGCCTATTTGCTCCGCTGCATCCAAAGCGGCATTGACATTAGATGCAGCTGTGGACTGGCGAGCACCATTCAGTCATACTAAGCCGCAGTAATGAACAAGACCGCGATAGAACTGAGTTGTATGGGGTGGTGTCGAGGGCCGTTGGTGTTGAACAAATTGTGCGGCTAGATCTAGTCTTAGTGCGGGACAAAGAGCAACGCGATTGTGACAAACGGTCACACTGCCTCGTTAGGGCAGCCCCTGGTCTGAGTGTGAGGCGCGTTGCAACATTTAATGAAAGGGTAAGAACTACACACCTCTAGGAACATTCAGAGTAGCAGAAACCGTAGTGAGAATGTAAGGCTACATTTAAAGCAAAATTTTGAGGGAAGGGAACCAGAAATGCAAATTTTCGCCACGCTGCGCGCCGCATTTTACAAGAAAAGAACGGAAAAGTCGGGGTAAAGTGCCCGCCGCACTTTATTTTACCGTAAAATCTTGGGATTTTACGGGTGGCTGAGAGCTCCGGCGGCGGAATTTTACATGGATAGAGCGGGCGGGCGCACGAGCTCATTTTCACCATACAATTAAGCAAATTCAAACATGTATATGGCATGGGTGCACGGCACATATATACAGCTGTACATTATGGACAGAGAAAAAAAAATAAACTATGCCATCTTTCTGCGTGTGCGCACGTGAAATTTCGACGGAATCGCGTAGCAACAACAGCGCGAGGTTGAATGGACGCGACACGGCGACACAAGGGGCCCGGCGAGCTCCGTTGGTGAGTGGTTTCTGTGCTTGCGAGTGGTCCTCAAGTGCAGGTACAGGCGCGGTGCATCCTGTAATGCGAAGACGAACGGAACGGGAGCTGCAGATCTGCGCGTTATAGTACTGGTAAGTACTACGCGTCGCGTTGCTGATGTGTCAGCGGGGTCACGTGCTTTGGCGTTTTACACGCCTGTGGTAAAATGAGGCAATAAAACCAACTTATGTGATATTTGAATTTGGTTTATTGTGAGTGTAAGCAAGATTTTAATAAGGTGAAGATTAATGGCTGATGGGGCCAAAAAATGGTTGTAACAAGAATGAATGTATTGGATGAAACGCATGTTATCCCATGCTATCTCACCAGTCTGCACGGAAGGAATGTAATAGGTTTCATTTCTGCTCCCTGTAGTCATGAAGGGGATTTAGGACTATTTCTACACTAACGCACCGGGTTTTCATGAAGTGATTGTGGGCTGTGATCTTGGTTGTTTATTGAGCCCATTATGAATATGTTTACGATGTACCTAACATCATATTTTGTAATTGATGATACCCACTGCAGAAGAACTATCGTTCATTCTCAGTTCTAACATCCTCACTGAAATCTGTGCCGAGAGAACACTATTTACATCAGCACTAATTTTTCCAAGTAGCTGAAATTCTCTATACCATCATAGCATACACATACATGGAGTAATACACAAGGCTATTCAGTCATGCAGGACAGTGTATGAATTAAATGTGTACACCATCACACAGGGGAAAGAAATTAGTTCGGCAATGATATGCCTGACATGTTCATGAACCACTCCTACAGATTATATGAAGTCATTCCAGCATTGAAGGAACAAAGACCCTCACATCTTCATCAAGTGCATGGGATCTACTAATCTCCTCTCCAGCTGCCCCATCAACCTTGTCAACAACGTGACCAACGTTCTGACCATCGGCATCATTGATATATTCTGTGCCAAGCCCAGACATGTCATCAGTGCGGTAGTCAGTATTCACCGCAACCTCGTTACCATCCAAGTGAGATGATATTTGAGTCCGAGATTCCACCTCACTGTTGGCAGCCCAGGTACTAATGTCACTGACAACGCCTGTATCACCAAAAGCAGGACTTGGAATGCTCTGTCCATCTGCAATTGTCTCGGATCTTGGCATGCTTGCATCTCCCTCAGACTCAGGAAATGTGAATCCATGCGGGTGCTCTAGGAAGTGGATGACCTGGATTGGGACACCTTTGTCCTGGGTGGACACGCTGTGCAATGGTTTGATACGTGCTCGTTCTGAAGTGGATTGCACAATGGGTGAAGAGGGACGATGGAAGGACTCAGTATGACTTGACCTGGATCGCTTTGGAAATCCTCGACCTCCATCAGCCTGTACAACGAATATGTATTTATTGTAAGCAATGATCATTTCAGCAGGGTTGCAACTATACAACATTACCTTAGGTGGTGATAATGCTTTGGACGTGGTCCTCTTCCTCTTCAGTACATCCTGACGGCCCGAGACTTCCGCTGAATCGTGCATACCAGAAATGACCATGTCATCGAGCGCCATTGATATGTATTCATCTTCATCCCCATCAGCATCCATGTCAACAGAATCAACAAATTCTTCGAATGGCAATGCTTTTAACCATGGCAATTGCTCATTAGCCATCATACTACGAGCAGAATTAGTCATGTGATGTATACCATGAAACTACATACCTAAGAACGGGAGTTGGGAGTTCTGGAAGTTGTCTCAAGTCAGGGTGACTACATTCCTGCCGACCCTCTGATGATGCCTTGCCAAGCTCATGAAACAGATGTGCGAGGTATTGTGGATGTGTGTCCACATGGGTGAGCGCGGAATAGAGATGTGTCATCCCTAGTGCCTCATTGAAATCTGCCTCGCTCTTGATGTGAAAGGACCTAGGATGGTCTGGAATCAGGATCCCATTGACATCTCCATTAATCGGAGTCTGTGTGAGCTGTCTGAATCGAACCAGGATCCAGGCCCCGAGTTTCAGGAATATCTGTGAATTACCGTTCTGGAACGCAATATGATTCCATTTCTCCCAGTCTTCAAATGTTGACGGAAGGTTTGTATCCTCGGAGTTAATATCCTCCTCCCTAGCATTAGATGATATCTCACATGTTAGAAATCTAGCTACGACTCACAGAGGTGGCTGCAGGGAGATTGGTATCAGGTGCATCACCACAATCATCAATATGCTACCAAAGATTGTATGAATTAAATAGTCATAGTCCGATAAAGGTGAATATAGAACCTACCTGAGGCTTTCCAAGATGCTGCTTACTCTGTCCACAGGGAGGGAGCTCCGGATTATCACCATCAGCCTTGTCAACATGGGACATTAATAAAGGATTGACTTATAGATTGCTCAACAAACCTCATCGTCAGACAGTACTATCGCCTTCCCTTTTCCCTTCCGGGCAGCTGTTTGTGGACCAGATTTTGGATGCATAGATATTGGTGAGGACTGTATTGTAATAATGCCATCCATATCCTGATGGGTATGATAAGCAACATGAGCTCCTTCTCAGATACGGTCATGCTTACCTCTTCTTGTTCAGTCACTGCAATACTGTATTCAATGGCTTTAGCATCCATCGAAAACATCTTGCGATTCTGCTGCTCACCATGCATGTGCAGTACTCCCTATGCTGATAGCAAGGTCAGGATTGTCATCCATCTCCTGTGAAGTCGCATGCCTGTTGAGATTCTGGTGATAAAGGTGAATCCCATAAACCGTGACTCTGGTGTTGATAAACAAACCTCATCATCAGAGATAACAATTGCCTGGCTTTTTGCCGTCATTTTTGGGTTTTTTGAAGGACGCTTGGAACAACCCTGATGGGTTGAATCCATACTCATCAATATGAAACACAGAGAATGTGAATACAACCAACCTTATCTTTACGACCACCTTTCCGAGTTTTACGTCCTTTCTGTCCATCCTCTTTCTCCTGGAATGCATTTGCAGTTTCATCAACCATATCCCCATCCACTGGGGACATACTGCGTGAATCCTGCATGACACATAACATTAGTAAATTAGCAGCACGTAGATGACACTTGCATTTGCTTTACGACCACGTCTGCTAATCATGCGCGATTTTCGTACATCATTACGTGTTTTGAACGATATTGCAGCCATATCAGTCACATTATCTACCCTGGGGGAGGCTATGTGGTTGGCCTGAATGACAATCAATATCATAATCAGTAGAGTTCCTTTATATTGACAGGCAAACCTTTGTTCGACGGCTGCCTGTCTCAGTTGTGTTAGAGCTCGATGTATCCTCATGGGTATCAGCCATATTGGCTGCCTCATGCATCCCATTGTCCTGTACATGAGAGGATGTGCTTGCAGATGTTGCGGAATCTATTGGCCCCAATGGTGTCTTTAAAATTGACATTGGTGAATTAGTGCACCACTCCCGATGCCCTGTAGCAGCACAATTGTGACGAACCTTTTTCTTTGCCTTATCCGCTTTAATTGCCTCTGCGAGCCGTTCATTTGATTGTTGCAGTATGGATGAAACCATATCTTCCACTGAGAGATCATGATGGGTATCAGGAACGCCACACATGTCCTTTCCTTTACAGAAATCATTGTGGTATGAGTGCATTGTCACTTCAAGACATGATTAGCATGCAGTAAGACATAAAGGCTGTAGTAGTAACGTACGCTCCACAACAGGTTGATAGATCTTCTTCTTTTTAAAATCATCCCAGGTAAGATCAATTTTTTTCAGCGTTTCCTTTTGCATGGGCTCGATAAAAGCGTTAGTGTGTATTGCCATGGTGAAGTGATAGTCCATATGTGCTGAGCGCCATGTCTTGCTCTTGCGTCGCCAGCCATCCTTCACTTCTTTAACAAACGCTAACAGTACCTCACAATAATAATATGTGATGGAAGTGTATGTATCCTGAGCGGCGTCCAGTTGTGGATGCTCCATTAGTTTTATGGCAGTCATTTGATATACGCGCAGATGATGAATAAGGAGCCACAACGCATCGTAGTATTGATGTGGAACATTGCACTATGGTTTTACATCTTATAGAACTCTCAAAGCGATCCTAAACATCATCACGTACTGATTCCTCATCAATAGTCATTTTGAGTGTATGTTTAGCTTGATCGACGTCCAACGCGATGGATTTGGTGATAACCTCGTGTGTCACTGTGGAATCATGTGACTTGATGTTCAGAACAATCGGATGTTCAGTAGAATATGCAGATGGATTCATGGTGGATGAATAGAAGTGATGTGCCACTCAGTGAAAAGACTTTGTTAACGGTCACACTTGGCATGTAATTGTCCTTATTTGCATCTAGTCATGTGATAGACTCTCTCAAGCAACGTCGTATTATTTCATTGATGAATTTGTCACTGGCAGAGGTGACTTCATTATGATCATGTGTATCAACAAAGAATGTGATTAAACAGGCATTAATATTGTTGATGTTTTGATGTTAAGGTTAACATAAATTTACCGGTGTTTTCCGCAGATTGTACAGTACATTTGAGGAATGGACTACACAGCACCGAATATGGAAGTTTCATATTCTTTCACATCCATGATCAACCTAAGCGATTTTGACAAATACATAGAGCCTTCCGCATCGGCGCTGGTGCAAGTATCCACACCAGCTTCTTTGCAAGCCCCCGCACTAGCTCCCGCAAAGGTTCGCACACCAACTTCAGTCAGAACTGTCCAAACTGTTGGATTAGCTGCAACGCAAGCTCTCACACCAGCTTCAGTCCAATCTGTTACATCAGCTTCCTTGCCGGCTCACCAACCAACTGCCTCTGAAGCTCGCGCTCCAGCTTCAGTTCAAACTGCCTCCCAAGCTCGCACACCAGCTTCAGTGCAGGCTGTCCCATCAGCTGCCTCTCAAGCTCACACAGAACTGTCCAAGAAATCTCATTCCACATCTGCGACTGAAGCTCGTTCACAATCTCTTCAACAGGCACCCGTACAAAAATATGGGAGACCACGACGAAAGGCAGCTATAGAAGGGGAGCTTCAGCGAAAGAAATCAGATGCAAAGTCCCTCAATTCACCATATAAAATGTTGACTCCGATTTTGAGCGAAGGAGATGATGGTATTGATATGGAGATCGACATGGAATGTCCTGTTACACCTGTGTGTGAGTCTACTGATATGAAGGATCCTGTCTTGGTATGTAATATAGTGTTCATGATCGGTATACATTGACCTTTATATCAGCATTGCATGTACTGCCAAGACATCGGCACATACATTTGGAAGTGCACAAATCCGGCTTGTGGACTATTGGCTTGCGTTGCAAAGGCACAAGGCGATCATGGGTGCATTGATGCGACCCCAGATGAGCTGACGAACCTCGTCAGTGTAGATGCCAGCACATTTCGCTGTCCGCAATGTTATCGTGCAGCTGAAACACCACTCCCAGTCTGTCGTCTGTTCCTCCTGAATACCTTCAAAATACTGATAATGAATGACACAAGTACAAGATTCGTGGATATTCAGTGAGACAGGAATTTACTTTCCGCAATTACTATCCCCTCCTCACCATATTCCTGTCATGGAGTGGCTTCAGACGCGAATATGCTTCAGATGTCATCCAGCGGACACTAATGGAACATTTCCATGGTGTCCCCAGCAGGGTAAGTTATTTGACACAAATATCATATTCAGACCTCAGACTTCCACCCGTAGTTGCGTATAGCATCCCGGAAATTGAAAGCTGGAAACAACCGTCCAAGTGCTCTGTCACACGATTTTGAATGGCTCAAAGACATCAAATATGAAGGAAACTTACTGATTTTTATCGACACCCATTCTGATACCGACACAGGGAACCTTGTGGTGTCTGGCAATGCAGCAGATTCAAATTCGGTTCCAGTGCATGAGGTAAATTGCTGGGCATCATACAATAGTAGATGTAGATCATTATTACTGATTTCTGCCTAGCTGCTACATAACTATCTAGGTGATAACCTTCGGTTGGCCACACAACAAATTGGGAAAATCAACACCACCTCAAGTGCCGGACCATTCATGCGTGGGATTGTGATTTCCTCCTGTGGTTCTTCTGGGAGAATAACAGAGAGTGTCGACCGCTTGAAACGGTTGGTCGAAATGTCAGTGACTGCTTGAATGACTTCGATGCTGTAGCTGAAGACAAACACACCAGGAATATCTTCGATTTTGTCTTCTCCTTTGCAGGGGTATCAACTGTGGATTCTCTTGTTGTCCCAGCACTAAGTCGCTTCATTGAAAATGTGTTTGTGTACGACATGGGCACATGGGCAGCGCTAGAAGCATCGTTTGGAGAAGACAAGCGTGCCCTGAATAGTACTCCCATCATGCTGTCGTATGCAGAATATCAGAAGATCGATGATGAGCACAATACCAGGGAACGTGTTGTCAAGACCCGAGTGTTAGCCTACTCGAACTTCAAGGACGCAAGGCCATGGGGCCTCGATATCTATCGATGTTCGAACGCTCGCTGTGGTGCTAGGGCTCACAACATGGTCTTCCATGCTGATGGAAGGCAGTTCTATGGGCAAAAGTGGCTGCAAACATGTATGAAGACAAGATGCTTGAGCTGCGGGGAGAAGCGCAAGAGCATACGAGCTCCGACATGGATACATCAATGTGGTGGTGAAAACCTTGGGCGTGTCTGGTACAATTGGCCTCTCAGCATTTCTCAGCGAATGGAGATTGGGATCACTCATTGATGTTTGTTAAAGTAGGGCAAACAGCATGACATCACTCAACCTTCCGTACCTGTATGTCTCATTTTCTATCAGTCATATATAGACAATCATGTTGTTTATATAGGCACTGCATTCATTCTTATAATGGTGATTTTTAACATGTGTACTGAGCACATGCTCATCATTGAAGTCAACGGGAACGCACGATATCAAAATATATGATGAGAAATTGAATGATAATGTGATGTAATATTCGAGCATGATACAAACATACACAGGCGGGTTGTGGCAACACTAAGCATCCATGACAACCTCCCAATATGCAATATTTTCTGTCCTGTAAGTAAAATGAACACTACAAATTATATACAGCACCCGCTGTCGCACTGCTTTTTGTCCTGTCGCGCATCTATACTTCACGCTGTAGATAGGAATGATGAGCAGGATTTTTCATCACCTCACAATTATATATGGTCTACCACAGGAGGAGAATGCAGGTGAGGAAACACATACATTAGTGCCGTCGCGCTGCATTTTGTCTTTTAGCAGGTCTGTACTTTTCATGTGAGGGTGGTAATGATCAGTGGAATTTTGTCACCTTGAATATGAGTGATTTTTGCATTCAATCAAAAAGAAAACTAGGAATTGCCTGTATCACCACTATCGCACTGCTTGTTGTGACCTCGCACATCTATACTTTCTGTTTTTTATTAGAATGATGAGTAGGGCATACTGTATTCAAACCAAGTGGCGTCTAACCTTGGGAACCATATGCCGACATGATTGCATAGTGTTTGACCCGAGTGTAGTTGGGTATGGAATGCAAGCAGTTGGAGCTGCCAGGTGGCGGGACCTTCGTTCACCTGTCATCGTAATAGTTTTTAGCAATGTCATTGTGTTACTCACGTTAATACCAGCGAGAATATATGTCTCATTTCAGACGAACCAAATTCTTTCGTAGTAGAAAGGGCACTTGCTTCCTCAGTAGCGAAATTCATAATCATAATCCCCAATACGGTCACATCCAGTTTTCTATCGACTCCAGTGTATTGTTGATGAGTATGTCGTAGTAGTACTTGGTGCCAAGATCTTTATTCACCAAAGGCAATCAACATCGCGAATATCAGCATACTATGTAGCTGTCAATGATGGGGTCAACGTCCTGTATCCAATATACCTAGGCGGCAGTGTGTTCCTCAATGGACCCGGTCATGGCTCAAAGCTGTGTGAATAGTGCAGCAGTGGCGATGCAAGGCTACTGGTGTGACAGGCCTTGCGCCAATATGAGGTGGATATCATGTCAATTTAACCCTGTGAGTGCGCCAAAAACAAGTCATACGAGCATGAGGAGAAAACTACGTCAACCCCGAGATATATAGAGGTACTAGTATACCCATCCTCTCCCAGCTCGAGACTGATGCTTTCAAAACTGGCAAGACTGCTATTTATACTGTCCCAGAAACGGATATCATCACTATATGGAGGACGAGACCAGTTTTGGAGCATGACCTGGAGGGACAAGAACGTGGAGGATAGTAGTTTGTTGTGCATAGTAATCTTGAGAGGACAGGAGGCAGGGGAGGACTCCGAGTCTGTCACGGTCGCTTAGCATGTGGCGATGCTAGATGAAGCAGAAGACCATAAACAGGATTCACAAATTTCAGCACTTGGTCTAATTTGTGTGATGTTCACTCAATCTATGCATCAAGGAGCTGTTGAACCTGTTAGGTGCGCTCACACTTAGTGCTGCCCTGAACAGACCGACCGATGCTAGGCGGAACCACCAACTTATCAGTGAAAATCGCAAAACAGACTCTCGCTTGTCCACTTGCTAATATTTGAAATGATTTTTTTTCTATTTCTGTCGTACTTATTTCCAGATTCGAATTTAGGTATAGGAGGTCCACTAAATACAAGAAGGCGGTGTAGGCCACAAGAGTGTCTGCAAGCAGCTTGACACCAACATTAGGCACGTCACTCTGTTTGAGGGGTACACGAGACAGACACTCTGATGATTCTCATTAAGAATTATGTCCTCAGCCCTCAGCAAAGCACGAGGGGAAAAAGAGTTGTCTTGACTGCGAGCAGGTACTAGAGGATTTGGAGTATGCATCAGATTACAGTGGTGCTCAGGGTAAGCGTCACATACCTTATCTGGTTTGAAGTTCTGTAGATAGTCAGTAGCTTCCTAGAAAAGCTTTGGGCCAATGGTTCGTGATATTAGAGTAGAAACTCCAAAGGGCCTGATGGCTCCAACCCCAACAAGTTACAGGTGGCATTGGAGCAGAAGCACCAAAATTGGGCCAGACGGCCTCAGTTCGTGGTGTTAGAGCAGAAGCTCAATGATTTGGGCCAGACGGCGTAGAGCAGAAGCTCAACAATCTGGGCCAGATGGCCTCAGTTTGTGGCGTCAGAGCTGAAGCTCAACAATTTGGGCCAGACGGCGTAGAGCAGAAGCTTAACAATCTGGGCCAGACGGCCTCAGTTTGTGGTGTTAGAGCAGAAGCTCAACAATTTGGGCCAGACGGCATAGAGCAGAAGCTCAACAATCTGGGCCAGACGGCCTCAGTTTATGGTGTTAGAGCAGAAGCTCAACAATCTGGGCCAGACGGCCTCAGTTTATGGTGTTAGAGCAGAAGCTCAACAATTTGGGCCAGACGGCCTTGGTTCGTGCTGTTAGAGCAGAAGCTCCAAAATTTGGGCCAGATGACCTCAATGATCAATCCCAACAGCTTGTGGTGTTCAAGTTTCAGAGCAGAAGCTGACAGCGAAATGAACCAGATTCCAAGATGTCACGTGTACATGATCCCCGACTCCCACACATTTTTCTGTACATTAGCTGTCGCTTACGTGTTCCGCATGACATACACCTGCTTGCTGACTCACCGTTTTCACTTGTTCATTGTTCAAAGTGAGACATGGCGGGGCGTATCAGTCTGAGCGTGCTTTTAGAACCTGCCTAAGAGTTCTCCCCCTTCCTGTCCATTATCTCTTGTTCCTCTCTCCATCATCAATCAGAGTACGTCCATTGTCTTCCCTTGTGTTTATGTTGTGCTCTGCTGACTTCTCATGCATGAACACCAGTATGGCTGTCTTCTTGACCAAAAAACTGTCCGTTGTGGCACACGTACTTGATTTTGAGAATTGTCCACCCCACTCTACCGTTCATGATATAGAAATGTATCCTGTTTATTATGATGCCTTGTATTTTTCACAGTTTCACGCTGCTGTATATGCTTCAGCCTTTAACTTTTGTTTGTGGTTACAGAACTCTTTGGTTCACTCTGTCGCGTGTGTGCGAGGTTATCATCTCAATCCTTACATTACAGTCGTGTTCAATGGTGTATTTTTGTCTGTTGGTGTTGGTGGTCTTCATCAGACTTTTGCACGGTCGCACTTCGAATCTCAAACTTATACCCATTGCAGCGTCTTTCGTCACTTCGGTGCAACTCATGATGATTTGTTGCGGACTGCTGCATCCTCAGCTGCGATGACACAACATGACGATCCTTCTTGGTTTCACTATGACAATGCCCATTATCAGAGTAGTCTGCAGAGCTGACTCTATTATCCCACAAATCATCCTGCCGCAAATTGGTGGTTTTGAACATGCCATCACGTGATCCATCGCTGTCTGATAGGCTGATTGTAAAACCGCAAGCCAGACCAAAACGTGAAATTGTACAAAATTACTTGCGCGGGTGCTCAGTACTTCGATCTACTTGTAATATACAGCAGCAGATAAACTTACATAATCAAGGGTTTAGGTCACACACATTGGTTCCGTGGAACCAACTGTTAACGTGTTAATCATTGACCTAATCTGAGTTGAATCTGAGCTGCAAGGAATTAACAAACTCATTCGGTATATAGACGTCCAAGTTCTTTTTTATTTTCAACCAACCAACCAACAAACTAACTCACTTCCAAACACCCAGTTCACCCAGATCTAGCCATGGGCCGCACAAAGGCAACTGCTAAGAAGACCACTGGAGGACCTGCAAAGCGTGCTGAATTACCGCAATTCAAGAAGGTCTCCCTCAATATCAGCACGCCGCATGTTATCAAATCTATTTTTCCAAAGTCAACCTTATCGCGCAAGAAGCCCAAGCCTTCAATCAAGTCGTCCCATAATACAGTAAGTACTTCAGGTTGCACCTCTCTCGGCTTTGTTCTGTAGCTCATGGACGGCTGGTACACAGACTATGAAAACCGCCGCAGCCTTCCCGAAGGCAACCTTACTGCGTGAGAAGCCCATGCCTCTCTCTCACAACATAGTAAGTATCTGGCTCTCTTGGCTCTGTTCTGTAGCTCATAAACGGATCACTAGTATTGCTTCTTTTGCCGAGATGGTGGTGATCTTTATGATTGCTCCCGCTGCTCACGGTCGGTGTGCGATGCTTGTGTTATTGTTCCTGCAGAATTTCAAGCGCGGGTCAAAGACAGCGACGTTCTTTTTATTTGTGCAGGCTGTCACGAAATACGTGGAAAGCATAGCGGGGATGATGGCATAAGGGCATACTTTGTAAGTTGTGTTTGCCCATCTTTCAAAACCCTCTCAACACCCTCTCTCGCCCATAGGGATTTGAGGACATCAAAGGGAATCCAATTCTGGGTGCTCCTGTCACCATCCATGGGCACTCTGAAATGACGAGTCGGTCGCAAATATGCAGCGACCCCATCCTGATCCTCCATTTTGTCCTTCAGACTGTGGACCCTCTTGGGTCCCCTGCAGGTGTCATGCGGGAGATTTTGCGGCCATATAAGCCCAACGATAAACTCCAATACCACGAAATCATGTTCGATATTGGAACAATGGAGAAGGTCGAGAAGCACAGGTTGTCAATGGCAAAACTGGTCGCAGAATTGGAATGCCTCCCCATCAAGTTTGAACGAGTAGAAGTCATTGTCTATTCTCACTCAGAGACCACACGGGGAGATATCTGGGGAGGGTTTGAAGATGCCGAGCCTGTGGGAAGGGGAAGGAAGAAAGTTATAAAACAGGGCGAACCTATCGCGTACTCCATTGATGATGTAAGTTAGATTCTTCTCTTTGTTGCGGTCTGTCATGGCTCTCTCCAGTTTTTTGCAGCCCTTTTTGTCGGTGGAATCGAGGAGTATCTCAAAGGTGCTACCCTGTGGATGCTCGTATGCGGGCACATGGTCCGGGAACTGGATGCGTTGAATGTTTACAAAGCATGCCTCAAACAGTAGGTGATTTTACCGAGTATGTGACCCTATTCACTGAGGTAACTCATTATAGCTATCAAATTGAGCACGCATTTGCTTTTAGTGCGGAGCTCTTTCATGCATGTCTCACCACCTCATTTATCGTTGCCTACGTCGACCGTGTGCTCGTGGAAGGACTCGAGGTACAAGATGTCATTCAAGATTTACTCATAGTTTCCCCTCGGCTCGCCATGCATGCATCCATCATCCATGTTCACGTCATGAACATCTTTCGCCGCCGCTTCCCCACTATTGCCGAGTACACTCAAGGACTGGCTCGCATTCCTGGTGCCGAGGTCTCCACGATTGTGTCTACGTACACTTTTTTTCATGACAATAATCGTCCCTTTGGCGGAACCCTACCCTATCAATGTTCAACATGCAAGTGTGTCCGCACTTGGGAACGCACCGCCTCCACACTGGATGAGATCCAATTCACTTGCCGGAAATGCAAGCATGAAATCACCTACACAAAGCATCAAGAGTCAAAAGTAATCTTGTATTCACAAGGCTATCGTGGAACTAGTAGCGGAAGCGGTCAGTTGGTGAGGAAGGGCAACACCGCTGGGTCGGGCTGGTTAGTTTCTGTAACAACCGAGCCTGCAACTGTCGCACTGGTGGATAGTACCCATCCTCCTACTGGTTTGTTGAACCACCAGTAGCGCATCCCACATTTTGTTATTTGTAATACACTAAAGCAAAGAGTATGGGAGCTTTTGGCACAATGAGCACATCAAACACTTGAGCACGATTATAAGTTGCTCACCGCTTGGACAAAATCACCTGCTGCGTCCGAGAAAGCAGATATGACTGCATTTGGAGTGATAATTCTGCTTGTGGGATCATTGATGCTTGCCTCATCAACTTCTACTGGAAGCAGCTTCGTTGCTAGTGCCCTGAGACACTTCACAAGTTCTATATAACAGTTAGGAAAAGAAATGAATACAAGAGTGTGTATATAGTTCTGAAAAGGAAAGTAACTCCGTTAACATTAGGTGGTTGTGTAGCCTTAACTTCTCACCATTGGTTGAAGTCGTGTCACGGGGTCTAGAGGTGTTGCACAATCTGAAGGATCTATGTGTACATCCCTGTTTCATCTCCGTAAACCCTACAGATCTGGATCGACATTCTTCTCCAAGCCCAAACAGCAGTGGAAGTTTGTTCAGTTTGTGAGCATGGCAAAGGGAAATCAAAGGAGAGCATGAAGAGGCAGTGAGGCAAAGCCAAGGGTACTGTCGACTCTGACACAGAGGAGGTAGAGCGCATGTGCGAATCCCAGGATGATGCTGATGCTCTGCCCGTTGCACCAATATCTGAACTTGTGGATGACACTCAATATGAAGGAGCTTCCTCTAGATGCTCTACCCGCTCATAATCCTGTGCATACCCCTCAACACTGAGTCCTACACCTGCAGCTGATATCATCCAACCATCAACTCCTCCATCTTCACCCAAGATGCAAGCTCATAGCTGAGATTGTCATCACATTCCCACCCTCAGGAAGAAACCCAAGTTTAAGAGTAGTTTTCCGACGGAGAGAGGAGAATATCCATAAGGATGCTCTGCACCTCGGCAGGCTCTGACTGATAGGTAGTGAAGGGAGATTGCAGCTGCTCTACCTCCACTCTGATTAGCATGCAAGTCTTGGTGCTATTCCAACCTACTATCGAAGGTAAGCGGGCCTGGCGATGTGTTTCCACGGTCTCATCGTCTCCTACAGACATTCGATCGCATCCCATGCACTTTCCATTGTGCTAGCAATTTGTCTGCACCACCACATGCTTGTCAGCACTCTTCTGCCGTTGTTTGCTCAGCATGGTCCTCAAAATTGCCTTCATGCCCATGACCTCTCCTCCCCCAATCATACGCTCAGGACATGTATCCTACCTTGCTGATTTTCTCGCTAAATGGATATCCAGAAACATTGACATAATCCCTTCCAATAACTTGCCACTATTCTCGGTCTCAACGTTTTTGCGAGCAGTTATAGATATCCTAGCTCTATCCGACATCTCTTTATGGGCAAGCAAAGCTATCTCTAGGTTCACTCACAGTGTCAAAGTGGCCGACATTGACTCATTTGTTACTTTCCAAGATTCTTTGGCCGAAATCATACATGATTGTCACCTGGTGCGATCTGGAATGGGCAAGGGGATGGAAACCCCAGGTATTGTGGATGTTCGTGACAGCTTGGGTGATTGGATGAACAAGCTCTTTGTAGTCACCACCAGTACCTCTCCAACCCTCGCAGAGGGATCTCACCGTCCCAATTTGGACTCCATTATATTACTCAACCAATGTCAAAACTATGGAATACATACCCTGAAGCTGGGTGCTTCACTTCCCCCTCCTCAAGATGAACTTCCTGATGCAATCGTGACACTCGCCACACACCTTCACATTACGTATCCACCTCAGGTTCCTTCTGTCTTCCTGTTTGCGGTCAATACCTGTCTGGATGCCAAAGATCTCAAAGCACTCCGTGATGAGCCTCAACTTGTCTTGCTCGATAGTGTCTCTATCAAACCTGACGTCATCCTACTGCTTGACACTCTCTTCCACATCCCCATTTCCATGGCAAAACCGTCACCCAATGGAGGAAGGCAGGCCATCAAGACCAGGATGGATATGAGAACTTCAATAGAGATACTCAGGTCTGACCTGGATTCTATACTGTAGACCTACCCTAGTCAAAGCGTGAGCTTCTAAACGCTTGATGAAAAGCTCGACAGCTTGAAGGCCTGGTCATGTAACAACCTGTACATAATGAAAAAGTTTATCACTTAACTAATTCATTTACTCAACATTGTTTCAGTACAATAAAATACAGCTTCGTACAAAGTTATATAGAACTTGTAGCATGTGTGATGTTGTGACAGTTGTATAAAGGTAGCATTGTAAGCAATGGACGCGTGGCATGGGAAGGTCACATGATGGTTCAAGTGGTTGATTTTTGATTTTCGTTCTCTCCTTCCTTCTTCTCCCATTGTACTCTTCTCAACCTGTTTGCCTTGTTGTAGCTCCTTGTTGGAGCTCTGAGCTGTTGCTCGGACAAGGCATTCTTGGTTATTTTATGTGTTGCGCACCTTGTTAGGTCTCTGTCTGTTGTAACAGTCGCACATTTGGTCTTTTCCACAACTCTCTTGTCCTCTTCCCACCTGTTTGCCTTGTTGTAGCTCCTTGTTGGAGCTCAGAGCTGTTGCTCAGACAAGACAGTCTTGGTTATCTTGCAACATTAGATTCTCCCCCACATCTTTTGCTGGCCCTGGACCACATTGCCATGGCGGTGTACCAGGTATGCGAGATGTGAAGAGTCAGTTTGAGACCCACCGATGATCATGATCATCTACTTCTGTAACTTACCTCAGAAGTGGTGTGTGTCCTCTGGCTACCCTCCGCTAGTCACTTGGTTATCTTGCAACATTAGATTCTCCCCCACATCTTTTGCTGGCCCTGGACCACATTGCCATGGCGGTGTACCAGGTATGCGAGATGTGAAGAGTCAGTTTGAGACCCACCGATGATCATGATCATCTACTTCTGTAACTTACCTCAGAAGTGGTGTGTGTCCTCTGGCTACCCTCCGCTAGTCACTTGGTTATCTTGCAACATTAGATTCTCCCCCACATCTTTTGCTGGCCCTGGACCTACATTGCCATGGCGGTGTACCAGGTATGCGAGATGTGAAGAGTCAGTTTGAGACCCACCGATGATCATGATCATCTACTTCTGTAACTTACCTCAGAAGTGGTGTGTGTCCTCTGGCTACCCTCCGCTAGTCATGGTTACTCTTTGTTAAGTGACCATTATGCCTCTAAGTCTTTCTTTGTGTGGGCCGATGATATGACAAGCTTAAGAGGAAAATTCCTCTGTTCCAAAATGCTACTATGAGCATGTGCAAACCCTTTCAAAGTTGTGCTACCTGTTATACAATTTGTACTGTGCTAGTCTTGAATCCGATGGCAGATTCAAGTTGATGCCATGTATTCGAGTCCGCTTCACTTAAGCCCAAGGTTTTGGTACTCCTTGATAACTCCAACTGTACACAGCTGTCTCTCTGGCAGCTAAAGTGCGGAGTATAGGATGTCATGACACCAAATTGAACCGTCACCAAAGATCCACCATACTGAATGCCTAGGTCCTCAAATTGCATCTTATGACAACACAGCGAGATTATAGAACCTCAGCAACAACCAGTGCATCAGTTCGCCCCTCCATCATGTATCTGACATGCAATCTATGTAGTTTTTGGCAGATGGAAAGTCACTAGTAATACTAATAGCGAGTCAATGGACACTGATCATGTAAAGGGGTGCTGCAATAGACGAGCCAAAAAGTCTGGAAATAGATAATGCGGAATATATGGCCAATATGGCAAGTCAGCAGGTCTTGTGACTTGTTCCCTTCTGAAATGACTAATGGTTGCCAGTGACTCAGTCTTGCTCTTCAAGTCGACCCAACATTTATCAAGCATGGATGACGCAGTGAGTAAAAACTTGATTGACTAATACACAGTGATTGATATGCATACTACCATGTCTGATAGGATATACGTGCAGCTGCATTAAGCGAGTTACTAGGGATTAACGGTATGTCCTCCCAGTTGATGATAGATGACCTACCAGATCTCCCAGTCTTACTCATCATGATATTGCAGAGTATACTGAGCTTACTATGGACCTGGTACCGATGGATACACCAAGGTCAGAGACAGAATGCATAGAGGATGATGAAGTGGAAGAAGGTGAAATTGAGACAATAAGGTCTAAACCATCCAAAGTACGCCATCAGTCTAACATGGCATCAGGATGACGAGTCTGTTATCAGGCGATGAGTAGGAAACTGCGTAAAGCACGCAAGAAAGCTGATAAAAGAAAGGCGGCTGCCGCTGCGGCGGCTGATTCAAAGTATGATGATGATCATTACATTGAAAAGGTGCGTCTGGGTGATCAATGATCATGATATATTTTTTGTACTAGTTGATATCATCTGATTGGATTATTAAAGGCTTTGGGCATCATTTACAAGGGCGATCATGTCAAACTTTACCGTGTTCAAAAATCACCGGAATCACTGAGAGCTGCTCAAGAGATCGAAGTAGCTAAAAATGCACCTCTTGATGCAGACGATGCAGAGTTCAAGGCCTTGAACACAACTTGGATTTATCGGCCTGGCATTCATATCGGTATTGATGGTAATAATGAAGTTGTATTTGCAGTAAGAATAACGTTAGTATTTCTCCAACTCTTTCAGAGTGACATTCACTGATATGATAACGGTTCTTACTAGTGCTTGGCGTGACATGAAGACTGAAGAAAGGAAAGTCACTCAGGCAAATTTGGGGGTGTTAATGGAGTGGACTACATGCGTCAATGATATAAAAAACAATGGGGTATTTATATATTTTCTAAAAATTTCAGAACTAATATTATCAATTGTAGGCTTCGAAAGGACCTAAACTCCATGGTGACCGGCGTATCAAGGTCTCCACAACTGGCAAGCCAAATCAGTATGGTATCATGGCGGCTGTTGGGTGGCATAGGTCATTTGACCCCGCAACTGATGTTGCATTCTATGCCACCAAACCTGGAAAAGAACAAATGTAAATTCCATTACTAAGCAGTGACTACAAACTAATATCTCATTGCAGCTACAATACTTGTCTCACAAAACTACCTGGTGTTGCTCAAGAGTATCGTGATCGGTTGTTCACTTTACTTCCACATGCTGGACGCCAAATTGTATCTGAATCTATGGAGTAAGTCATATATTTTCCTGGACGATTTGTCAATATTTTTACAATATCAATAGAGGCGGTATTCCTTCATTTGATATGGTGTCTCTTGACCAAGGAACAACACCTCAACGACCTTTCGCTAATTCCCTTACCTTAACTCACAATGATTTTGCAAACTACCTCCACACTGATCGTGATCACATCCCAATCGCATATGGGATGTGGTGGGTATCTAAGCGTGAAAATGTTAGAGGCCCATTTCAATTTCATCCCCAAGCCGATCATTATCGCATTCCTGGTGGTTCCTTTTTCTGGGGTGAGTACAACATCGGTGTAAACTTTTCCAAGTAAGCCTATTATTTCACAAATACTAATATCTGAACACTTTCTGACAATCTCTAACTGAAGGGCGGCTGGACTGGTTGAAATTTTCTGGAGGGGTCAGAAAGATTTTCATTGCACCATGCAGAGTCATAGCACCAATGATATGACAAGATGGGGCACTTCAGTACAGATCACTGCGGCTGGTGTCCAATCTGTTGCAAGATTCAATTCTTCTAATGACCCCACTCGGGTTCGTAATGCAGGGGAGAAGCAGAAACAAATGGTGAACGCTTCAAAGGTATGTGAATGACATGATGATATGGCCAATCATCTCAAATATCATCTTGTTTAGAAAAGGCAGAGGGCGGCATCGGCAACATCTACAAAGGTATGCCAAGATTTACAAACGTACCCAGTATTTCAATATTCTTTCATTCTAGGTGACCAAGCAGCGGAAGATGGTCTAACATTGTAACAATAACAAAGAAAGGAAGAAACTGCTGGTGAAGGATGTGTATAACATTGTACAATAACAATAAACTTGTAAGAAAGGAAGAAACTGCTGGTGAAGGATGCGTATAACATTGTAACAATAACAATAAACTTTAAGCGTGAGGGGCAATAAATCAAAGTCTATAATGGCAACAGAGGCGCTGAGTTTTTCCATCAATGGCAATGCGACGGCGGCAGCCCCTGGAAGGATGATGAACTAAAGACAAAAGTGAAGTACTAAAACTTACCAGAGGTTAGAGCGGTTGATGAGGCCGGATCTACATTGCGCATGTTCAGCACCACAGGTAGAGTTTCTCAAAGAGTTCAACAGCATCCTTCTAAGGTTAAGGACTTCTTCCACGTCAATATCCTACTGTGGCTTCAACAATATCTGGTGTAGATGGATATTCAGCGCTCTTAGCTTGAGTAGAAATGGGTTCACCACTGTCCTGTCTGAACTGTACCTCATCAGCCTCCGCCTGTTCTTTTTACTGCATGGGATTAGGGTTCAGCTCATCCTGCAGCAAGGGATTGTCCACTGGCACCACATCAGTGTCACTGGCCTCTGAGTTTGAGCTGCGAGGTGTGGGTGAGTCAGAGTCTCAAGAAGTCACTGTTATTCACACTGTTTTAGCGTCTTCAAGTCTCATCTATCAGAGTTGGTAGTATGGCCTGCCAGTGAAATACAATGTCAGTGGGCTGCAATGTAGTTGGATGAATCTAAGACATGCATACCGTGTTGAAAAATTTTAGGGTTCTTTTCCACATCTGTAATCACAGTTTAGGGTTCGGAATGCCGCAGCATGCATTCCGAACCCTAATGTATGGGTCTGTATTGATTATACATTAGTTCAACAATATAAGTAGGGTAAAGCGTAATTAAGTCCTTACCACTTGTTCACAGAGTTCAGATTTTCTTTATCTGAACACTAGAACCTGACAGTAGCCCCGTCTTTCTCGACCTGCTTGAGCCAATGAAGGATAGATAAGTACCTATATTTATGTCAGTAATATATGATAATGAACGCATGCCTTCAAAAAGTCTTAGAGTGTCTTGATGCAGCAGAAAAGAAGATCGAGAAGCTTTGCACCCGCAAGTGAATTTGAAAGCTTTCAGTTGCGCAGGTAGCTTGAGCTTGATTGTGTTGTGTTCTGCCATCATGATAGCATGAAACGACAACTCAGAAAATTTTTCAAAAATACTCACCTTCACCCAAGTCTACCGTAAAAAGAGGTCGAAAGGATGGATTTATGGATCTGGCTAGTGGTGGGATAACGAGTGTTTGAAGAGAATAAACCACGGTCGGGAAAGGTGTCACTGTGGGAAGTAAATACCCTGAAAGTAAGTGTGAGAAACACTGAATGACAAATCCCAGTGTTGTAGACACTGGAAAAAAAACCCGTTATTTTCAGTGTTCACGTCCGTCAGGGCTTAAAACACTGAATTACTTGATCAAATTATTCTATAAGGTATTGCCTTCGTCTTTTTTTTTTTCCAAGTCCGCGCGAGTCACATATATACTACGTCTTACCATAATTTCTAAAGGCCTTATGGCTTAACGGGTCGCGTGTCAGCCGGAATTCTCCGTGGTATTTCCAGTGCTTTGCAGGTTGTGAGTTCAACCCCACTTAATTGTATTTTTTTATTTGTGAATTTATTTGCGAAACAATACCATTTAATGTCAGTGTTTTTGACACTGAAAAATGTCACTTTCAGGGCTCTAGACACTGAATTCTGGCATAGCTTAACTTTTTGTTCTGACTATGACTGCGGTCATAATGCACAAAACCCTGAAAGTCAGTATTTTGAACATTGACTTTCAGGATTCTATACACTGACCTTCAGTGTTTTTACTTCCCACAGTGTGATCACCAGTCTAGACTGAAACTGGTTTGTTAAAAAGTTGGAATATTCAAATGTTTATAAATTTTAAAAGAGTTGGACTGAAGTACTTGTGATACATATCCATCGGCATGTTCCGACCGAAAATTGCGGGCTCACTACTAGTAGGACTCTTTTCCCTTCTCTTCCCCGCATTCATTCCCATTGTCTTGCTAAGACTCGACAAGGTCTTTAACGGTACCGATAAATCACCCCATGAACTCTGTCTCTGCGTTAGGGTCCATCTTCCGACTTGGAACGCTCTTGCAATTGCCCGCCTCACGCAACGCCCTAGTAGCCGCGTGCGCATAGTGCGCAGGAAGTATCATGACGAATCATTCGGATTCCGCAAAGCACGCGACCCTACCACCCCAGACTGCGTATGCTGTCTGAGTAGTTAGCACTTCACATACTCACCCGAATCCCTGATCAGATGCCTCGGACCATCTTACTGACCGTGCAACCAATGCTCCCCTGCTGAGGTATGCTGACTCTCTGCGCACGCATGGTCACAGCAGCGTCGGTCGACCCTCTTGATCTCCTCCGTCGCGGGCGGGCTGCCACACTCGATCCCATCCGTTATGGCCTCGACGACCCTGATCATACATGTGATATAGACGGTATCATCTGGACCGGTGAGGACCAACAGCAATGGACCCTTGAAAACATAACCTCCTTCCTCAACTCCGTTTACGTCGGCCGTATCGCATATGACTATATGGACCTCCCGAGCAAGACGGAGAGGCTGTGGTTTGCGAAGCTGTTGGAGTCTCAGAGCGCTTTAGAGCCAATGACTGTCATCGATGCGGGTAGACAGAAGAACATACACGCTTTGCTCGCCAAGTCAGAGGTGTTGGACAATTTCTTACAGGTCAAGTTTCCGAATTTGAAGAGATATGGTCTTGAGGGCGGGGAATCCATGCTGCCTGCATTGGACGCCCTATTTGAGGCAGCATCCAAGGGTCGGTTTCATTTCGTTCTTTGATATTATCGCTAACGCGCATGTAGCTGGCATAACTCAGCTTATCCTTGCTATGCCTCACAGAGGACGCCTTAATCTGCTTACTGGGCTCCTGGAATACAACCCTACTTCCCTGTTTCACAAAGTCAAGGGCGGTTGTGAAGTGGACGAATCCTTGGGTGTTTCCGGTGACGTCCTCAGTCATCTTGGTGCGCATCCTACATCCAATATCTGCGGAAGTTCTGACTATCACTCAAGTTGCATCCCCGACATTGCAGTACGGCGAAGCTGATGACATAAAAGTCTCGTTGCTGCCAAATCCATCCCATTTGGAGGCCGTGAGCCCTGTTGCGCTTGGAAAAGCCAGAGCGAAGCAATTTAGGTTGCTCAAGACCCTATCTGACGACAAAAATAACCAAGACTGCATGCTTGGTGATAAGGTATTGCTATGGGGTGTCTTTTGTTGGTCGAAGTGCTCACACGGGCCGCTAAGTTATGTGCGTCCAGCTGCATGGTGATGCCAGCTTCACAGGACAAGGAGTAGTAATGGAAACCCTTGGCTTGAGTTCGTAGCCTCAATACAGGTCTCACGAGTTGTAAAAGTTCAACGTGATATTCACAGGTGGTCTTCCACACTTCACAAGCGGCGGAAGTGTCCACATTGTCGTCAAGTATGTCTTTCAACTCTCTTGAATTACTGTTCTAATCTCTACCCACAGTAACAAGTCAATTGATACATACTTCCTTGAATTGATACTGACATAGGTTGTAGCATCGGATATACTACTCCCGCCTCCTCCGCCCGCTCTTCCTTTTACTGTAGCGACATTGCCAAGATGATCAACTGTCCAGTTCTGCACGTCAATGGAGACTGCCTCGAAGGTCCGTCCTTACCTCAATCATTACTCACAATCCCCATCTGAGTTCACGCAGATGTGGTTCGCGCTGTCGACATCGCCTTCAAGTACCGCAACCACTTCCGCAAGGACATCGTAATCGATCTCATTGTTTATCGCCGCTGGGGACACAATGAGCCTGATGAACCGGCATTCACGCAGCCGCTCATGTACGACAAAATTCGTTCCAGGAGTTCTGTCCCGAAGTTGTATGAGGATAAGCTCATCGTATGTCTGGTTCCGTTGTATTTTTTTTGAAGGGTGTGCTGACGGGTGTGTGTTCCAGTCGGACGGTGTGATCTCGGCTGAAGCAGCACGAGCTGTCCGAGACAGTTACAAAGCCTCGCTGAATGCTGCGCTAATGGATGTAGCGTCGTATCTCCTCCCTCCCGTGACTTTTGAGGGAGCGTGGAAAGGCATGGTTTGGCCAGCATCTCCTGCAGCACGTCAAGACGAGACAGGCATGAGCAGTACTGTGCTCAAGGACGTTGGCAAAGCCAGCGTACATGTCCCTGAGGAGTTCGTAAGTGCTGTGTATTCCATGTACGAGCAAAAGTGACACAGGCCCCGCCCGATGCAGGAAACCCATCCGCGGTTGAACAGGCATGTGAAAAACCGCCTCAAAAGCATTGAGGTCGGCGAAGGCGTCGACTGGGCAAGTGTGGAGGCGATGGCATTCGGCTCGCTGATGCTTGGGGGCTGCGATGTGCGTATCGCGGGGCAGGATGTTGGGAGGGGGACATTTAGTCATCGGTGCCGTCAATGCTACATTCGTGTATAAGGGAAACTGACACACCTGTAGCCACGCGATGTTGGTGAACCAGAAGACAGAGGGCGTGATTGTTCCGCTGAACCACGCTCTTACAGAGGCGAAGGGCAAGCTGGAACTAGCGAATAGTGAGTATCAATTTTTTTCTTCGAGATGTTGTCTTATTTTTTTTTGAAAGGCTCTCTCAGCGAGATGGCCGTACTTAGCGTAAGACTCTTTTCCCTTCCTAGTTTCAGTCTAACAGTATTGTAGTTTGAATATGGAGCATCTTGGGAACGACCTGATCTATTGCCCATCTGGGAGGCACAGGTACGTCATTATTTCCTTGCGACTGCCAAACTCGAAGCTAAAGAATTTTATTTTTGGTTCAGTTTGGTGACTTCTTTAACGGCGCACAAATCATTATTGACACGTTCATTGCGAGTTCAGAGAGTACGTCTTTGTGCTTGCTTGTTTTTCGTTAATGGCTTATCTCCCCACTCAGCTAAATGGCTGAAGTAGAGCGGTATCGTCCTGCTCCTCCCTCATGGTCTAGATGGTGCTGGCCCTGAGCATTCCAGTTGCCGTATAGAGCGGATGTTGCAGGTAAATCCGTTTCTCGGTTTCTAATGAATATCTATCAACACTTTGTTTTAGCTCACCAACGACTCATAAATTGCCCAAGGGAAATTGAACGTAAACATGCACGTAGTGTTCCCGACCACGCCTGCACAATACTTCCATATTTTACGCCGCCAGATCAAACGTAGCTACAGGAAACCACTCATCGTCTGCTCCTAAGGGACTACTTCGACTTCCTGTACGTGCTGTCCCAATGCCCTTCCTGCGTTACTAACATTAGACACGCAGGCCGCGTCGTCGAAGCTGACTGACATAGGCCCCGGAACAGTGTTCCAGCCCGTTCTCCAGGACCTGGCAACTGTCACCGACTCCAAAGCTGTCCAGCGCGTCGTGCTGCTCAGCGGCAAGATCTACTGTGACCTCGCAAAAGAGCGCGCAACACGCAACCTCCAATCGCACGTCGCCCTCATCCGCATCGAAGAGCTCGCGCCGTTCCCATTTGCTGCGCTTAGTGAAGCGCTTGCGCCTTATGTCAATGCTAATATGCAATCGGAGGTGCTATGGGTGCAGGAGGAACCTAGGAATCAGGGCGCGTGGAGTCATGTACAGGAGCGTATTGAGGAGGTATTGAAGGGATTGGGCATAGATGGTGGCGTGGCGTATAGGGGGAGGAAGGAAGACGCAGTGGCTGCGCCAGGGATTGGAAAGTTGTATGGGGCACAGCAGCTGGCTGTCATTGACAGCGCCTTTAAGGGGCTGTGAATGGTTGATTTGGCGTTTCGGGTTGTAGTACAAGACTCATTAATCCTTCAAGCCACTAAGTTCCCCAAGGGGGTCTTCAATGTTTTTATCATTCGAGCAATTCCATGTAGCTTAAGTGTGCTCATCATGCTTCAAGCTTCAGTCACGGACACTAATAAATTTGATGATACTACGATTGTTCGCGCAGAACTCTGCGTTGAGTGCATTTATTCCGTTTATTGTCACTTTAGGCTGGCTAAGACGTGAGTAGTGGTCACTGATCAAAAATTCATCACTTCGTCCAGTCAGCTCTGAGGGCAGTACAGCTAAGCTCTCATGGTTGGAGACAAATAGATTCTTTATGTGGCACGCCGCGACGTTCCTTAGGCTGACGGGCCTGTCGCTTCCAAATCCACATCAATAGGAAGAAGAAAATTACCATCAATATTCGGAGGGTTTACAACACAAAGAGATATACTACTATCGTTATCGCTTTTCATGATCCTGAAAAGAGGTAGTCGCGCCCGTTATGTGTGTGAACGTCGATATTGTAGCTGAGGTCCAGCGACGTTCGAACCAGCTTCAACAAAACTCTCAATTTGCAAGAGGTGAACTCCGAAGCGTGGCAGAACTTGACGAAGGAGACGATCTTGCAAGTAAACTACATGCAAAGTGCAAGACATGACTTCATAAGTCTATAGATGACGATTAGAGTGACTGAAAAACATACCTTGAACGTTGTAGTATAGTGTCCAGGGATCATCTAAGCGCTCATTGGTCGATAATGCAACAAGGCGAAGGAGAACTGCTTTCAAGTCGCCCGGCGATGGCTCATCCTGTCCATTGGGGAGGAAATATGTACGAAGGAGAGGGATTTTCTGACCGCGGCCGTCCCCAGGAAACCGCGGCTGGTTGACCAACCAGATGACTTTCTTTTTCCTGTTGAAGCAACCATTAACACGGAGAGCGCCTAGCGTCTGCTTGATCTCAGGGAGAAACACCGAGAGAGTGGCATGTACTGCAGCATCCACAATCTGAAGGGGGTTCGGTATTGATGCAGCAAATGAAGGGATCTTCGCATGATAACTCCCCACGTGAGACGGAAAATCTAAAAGCAATGACCAGTTCCCTGTGTACATCGAGGGCGGTGCGCTAAACGGCCCCCTGCCCAGTATAAGAACGTCTGCTTTCTTCGCTGAAGTTAGCCAATATGTTTCGCGAGACCTTACACCACTGAAGGCATGGATGTATGGGACAGAATACTCTGGTGCTTCAGGGTCGGGCAAGGTAAGAAGGGTATCCGACAAGACGTAATTATCCAGCGATGAACCAGTTTGCACGAGCTCTTCGACGGATGGCGAACTGATATAGCGCATAGGCTCCTCCTTAAGGAGGGGATTGTTGCGGGTGGCCCGTAAGCATAGATGGTGGTGGGTACAGAACTCCTTCCCGAGGCATGGAAATCGTTTGCCTTCGGATCTCTTCTGGTGATCGAGGAGGAGGTTGTGGAGGCGGTATACATGATTGCCGCCTACTATTGTCAGTCTTTTTCCTGCGAGGGAAGAGCACAGACACGAAATGGGCTTGATGGGAGAACCAGACACGTGGATCTGAGTGTCATCTCAAAGGGGCATTATCGATGGCAGGACAGGCGATGCAGATGACAAGGAGCATGAACCACATTGAGAGAGGTCAGAGAAACATTGTAGGAGTTCTTGAGTAGCTGCGTCGCATTGCTCGAGGAGGCGGGTCGAGAAGATCTCTCCCACTTGCACGGACGGATTCATAGCAGAACGCACGTAGTCATCCACAACGGTATCCAGTGTGTCCAGTATCTCTGCTGCCACAGTCCAGGCAGCGCTCTTGGGTTTCGAGACTGGTGTTGAAGCTGACCAGAGCCAGATCACAGTAGCACAGATGAATATGACCATTACCACACGATGTGAGAGTCCTCGCATCCTCCTGGGTCTGAAACCATACCAAAACATGATAGTCTTCGAAATCCTAGCTGGACCAAGTTCTGCAGGACGGACAACTTGTGAACTTGTGTCTGCCAGTAAAAATCGAACTCCGCGACACAATTCGTCTTACTATTAAAGGAAGAAGGTATACTGTATGTACGAAATGTACTGGCTATGTAGTAATCTAAAATGTGCATGATGGGTTGCCAGAGTAATACATACTATTGTCATTGATATCAATATGCCTAGCTGGGGGAGAGAAACACTTGCTGAAGATGTCGAGCTTTCAGTTGAAGGGCAGTGATGTGCCCGCAGTGCACAGGCTCCCACTACGTTCGTTCTGGACAAACAAAGACAAATAAATGACTCTTGATTCCTTCGACGTTCTGAATCTGACGAGATTTACATATGCAATACTTCACGTACGTGCACCGGCACCCGACGTCCTTGCTAAGGCCAGGGTATACATTCCCCGACGCATTTCATCTTTTACGCCCTACAAGTAACCATGCATGCTTAGAGATGTCGGTCCTGGAATGCTTTCAAGTTTCTCGCGAGTATCAACAGCCTATAAGCTCCATTATCGATATCGTAATTCTCACCCTTCTCCCCGTCCTCATCGCACCCACCGAACGCGATATACGCATCATCAATTAATGTCCTGAACCTACGGCGCTGCCACATCCTCTGACTCCACAGCATCACTGTCAGTTCCTCCCAAACTACGACGCGTCAAACTTCGCAGACATCAAGACCGTCGTATTCTCTCCTCCAACGATGATCGCTTTCGTATTGACCTGCCTTCGGAGCGGAAACGAAGACACCGTTACGCCGACCCTCCTATTTTTGCATTGGAGAGGATGAAGTGGGCCACAGAAATTGTCAATATGCACCACCCAATAACTATAATTTGCGACCAAGGACTCCGGACCTGCGTGCGTTAACTCAGACGCGCGTAGTAAGTGTATTATGAAGGCCCTCTCAACAGCTTCGTGAGTCGCAGCGACGCAGTCTACTTCTCCTAGCCTCATGCAATGCCACGCATCTATCACGAGTTCAATGCAGACTTATGGAACTCAATTGTAGATCCTTCTTGGTGACTCTCCAGAAACCCACTATCGAAGAGCTCCTTGACGAAGACACGTGTTGTGACACCCCGTCCGATATCACCCTCAAGTTAATGTCATCCACCGTGCTGGAACTTCTCATGTTAGCTCTATCTTTCTGTTTAGGCGTTTGTAGGCCTGTAGACGGGCAAGATATATAGTATAGATATCAAGAAACGGGTATGCTCGTTTGCCTAACTGGTATCTTCCGCCGCTGATTATATTTCCTGTAGCTCATTACTGCACCAGAAGTTATATCTGTTTTGCCCGAAGTTCCGATCCTTGGAGACCTCTTAAACAACCTTTACGACTTTGGTACGTTTCTTCGCGCCCACAATCCACTTCCGAGGCCCCTGTTTGTCTGATGTGATTGATAATGACTGACATGTCGTGCCCATAGCGACCCTCGAGCAGATGTATCTGCCCTCGCGACTTCTCTCGCCTCATACCCGTTACTATGTACGAGAGATGCCCATTTTTGCATACAGCCAACTTCTCGAGTCCTACCGCAGCCTCACTCTTGAAAGCCTTACGGTCACCTTTTGTTTACATGTAATTTAGGTCTGTGGTAGCGTGCCCTTGCATCAATCGAATATGATATCCACCCTGCCATCCCCTTGTGCCCACGTTATAAAGATCAACGACTAACTTTATCGACGTGTCACTATCACGCTGACCTTTGCAAACTGAAATCCTTCTGCAGAGAGTTTCTTTATTTCAGAGACATGTGCAACGGCAATCGATTAACCTCGTCTCTGGAAACGATCTCTACATCCCGCCTCGATTATAATTACTCTTACAGGAACGGAACTCCAAGGGCTAGTCGATAACCAAAATAACCATCCTGATTCCCTACCCAACACCTGTATAATATCCTCTCCATCTCCAACCCCAATGCTCATGGCACGCAGCCTTTTAGCGCCTCGCTTCTTCCCTCCAATCCCCAATCTGGGTGCCTCTCGCTCTCGGCATCTCCTGCAGCCACGACGATGGAAGGGAAGTCGATGGCAGGTCCACGCGTCACGGCGTCGTTGGTAAGGACAGTTGAAGTAGAGGCAATGAGTGTACCCCCAGCAGTAGCCACGGGGATATGGACGAGCTCGCCGTCGATGTTGAGTGGGCCGGCAACACTAAGAGGAATAGGGATGTAGCAGACGACGCACGAGCGGAGAACACGGGAGTAGTCGTAGTTGTGCGTGGGGATATCCGAGTACTCGAGTGTCTGGGTGAGATTTGCACGGGCTAGATATCATATGAGGGCTCGTGTCTATGAGGAATGATGAATGTGGACTTATAGATCGATGCGTGACGAATGGCTGGAAGTTTACGTCGATATCTGAGTCTGGTTGGTTGCAAAGTCCAAGCGTGCAGGACCCGGGATGGGATGTTTTGGGCACCAGTCGTGCAGTTTTGATGCGGGAGACGAACGGAGTGGAGCGGGAGCGAGCTGTAGGTCTGTAGAATAGGATGACAAAAGATTGAAGTCAGCCGGTGCTACGGAAAAAAAGTTGTGGAGGGATTACCTCCTCCTCCCCCCCTAAGCCACCCAGAGCGAAGTTTCCGGGTATAGCTCGAGCAGGTTTGAGCCGGGAAACGAACGGAGTGGAGCGGGAGCGAGCTATGGGTCTGTAGAGTAGGATGACAAAAGGTAGAGGTCAGGAAGTGCGATGAAAAAAAGATATGGATGGATTACCTCCTCCTCCCCCCCTAAGCCACCCAGAGTGAAGTTTTGGGGCATAGCTCCAGCAGTTTTGACCCGGGAGACGAGCGGAGTAGCGCGGGAGCGAGCTGTATATCCGTAGGGGTGATAGGGTGACACTTGCAGGGGTGGGCCCGACGCACCAAATATGTAGGACTTGGGTGCCTGATTTCCAGCATCTCCTCGGTTTGACGTTGACGGACACGTAAATGCCTGCGGGTATGCGGCTAGAGGGTGCACAGAGATTTTTTCCGCTAATGACTGTAAATAGATTGTGAAGATCGTAAAACAAATAGAACAAGGTGATACGGAGTGGCCCACCTTCAAGTCTGATAGATTGGCCTTCCGATGTACTGGCAGTCATAATGACACAATGAAGCAAATGGCACAAGGACGTGGATGGGCTGAGAGGTACGGAATGAGTGGTGGAACAATGATAGGTAGGGATATGAACTGGGGATCAAGCTTGTTGGAAGTGAGGGTATGAGGCATACTCCACGTGCATTTGCATACCACTGATGGTTGGTCGGCACGATAGACGCTTGTCCTGAGATTACACTGAGCGCCTAGAACAAAGGTGACAAGGTCACTGTATTCGCGAAAACGGGACACCCAGGCTACTCTTACGTAGGTGGTTGGAGTGATCACACCTCAGAGTACCTTCAGATGCTGGAGTCCTTGGAGTCTAGGTCGACTTTCCGGTGTTTGCCGAGGGTGAGCGCTTGAGCACTCACTTCACTCATACAACTGTCCATAAATACTCCGAGTCCGGAGGATGTCAGGACTCAGCATTCGGTGTCGGCGTCAGAAAAGGCACTCAATTTGGACCGAGTCATAACTTTGGATCGTTATCCGCGGGTCTTGGCTTTGGCATGGTGAAAGAACCACTATGTAACTCAAATGTAACTCAGAGTTGCTGATGGAAATGAGTTCCTCTACATCTCATTCCCAACTGCTACTGGAACAAGCGCGGATCGACACGACATTATATGTATCCAGACTACCCCCATGTCTTTTAGATCGGGACGCACACATCCTCGGTTGTCACTTTGAAGGGAATGCACCTGCCGGTACCATATCTCAAAGCGGGCTTGTCGTGATATGGAATTGCACACTACCCCTTCCCGATGTCCTGCTGTCAAACTTAGCCTGCGCTTTTCACAAAGCTGATCTCGGTCTTGAACTCACTTTCTGTCCCAGTTTCTTCTGGCTCGCCCCGATTCGTGGCATGTCCAGCATAGTGTCGTCGTGGCACTTCTCGATCGTGTAAATCCATGTTCGGCTATCGGTAAGGAATCCCAATGCGGGAGGGACTCGGGAGCCCTTTGTGTCCGAAGAAGCCAACGACGATTTCCACTTCCACTTTTCATCCTTCCCTTCCGTAGATACTGGATCCACAGATTAGTGAGATCACTCTATACTCGACCTCATAATTCTCATCCTCGAACAAGCCCGAAAGTTAAACACGCAGTCGTACCTTCATAACCCCTCAATTCTCTCCCACAGCCTTCTTCCGTGCCATAGACGAGTTCCGCTCACGGACAGAAATCACCGACCAAGGCACAAGCACAGACTCCTGGTACATTGGCTCATCACTCATATACGGCGAAGTAGTCTCCAGCACACAATCAATGTTTGATAATTGCGTCTTATTCAATCACGTCCATCGCAACACCCACTAAGACACCCCCAGAAACCCACCCTTCCTCTGTGCACTTCCCCCTCCCATCGTCTCCTTCACCACAATCTAAATAGCAGGACGCGGTAGGGGTGGTAACACGTGGCTCTCGCCTGCAGGGTGCTTGCAGATGTTGTTTAAGATCTGTATTGGATTGAAAGGGTCTTCGCCAGGGCCAGGTGAGACTTACACACCTCTTATTCATTAGTGTTCGATTATCTGATATTGAGCAGTACCAGGCCTAACAACTTCGTATCCATTCAATACCTCTATGTACTAGCCATCATCAACGCATGCCACGTAGACTTCACCTCCCGATGGGTCCACAAAGTCCGTCTCAAATGGCTAAACGACATGTATACCCTCTTCCCGTCCTCCAAACCAACATTAAAACCAGAACCGGGGAATTTTGGGAGATACTGGTAAACAGGAATTTTGCCGGGGGCGTGGCAGATGTGACAATCGGTACGGTACCGTCCATCCCCTTCTTATCGTGACCTACAGGCTAATGCTCATCGATAAATAGGAAGTGGCCTCAACGTCCTAAATGCACCACCCTTCGCCTCACTCGCCCAACTCGCATCTACACCTACCCCAGGGCTCTGTATAATCCGTAGCAGCAGCAGTTCTAACCTTCTTTGAGCGCATATGGAGTTCTTTTTTGGAGAATGAGGAACAGGAGTTTCACCCGTTCACCAATACCTCCGATCATGGTTGCATTCGTATGTCTCTGTTATGTTTTGCTTTACGTCCGTTTACTTACTCGTACTTATTCGTGGTTCGGACAGAGGCCAGCTCGTCACACTAACGAATCGGACTCCCCACCGAAGCGTCCGCATCGTCGTATCACTCCCGGTCATGGGTTGTTGCGCACGGTTCCAATGGGTGGAGGGGAGTTCATTGATCTACAGCCTGATGGGAATGGTTTTGATATGCTGAAGGCGTTGATATTGAAGAAGAAAGAGTAGCAGTGAAGTAGCTGAGTAGGCCTAGTATGAACGCGGGAGAGCACAATGCATCACAATAGCGCACTAGTAGCGCTCTTATCTTTTCGAACGTCAGCGCTGTCTTTGTCGTTCGCTTCAGTGAGTGACCGGATATAAACTTCAGGACGCACTCAGGCTGACGATTGGTTTCCCGCTTGAAGCACCCTTCGATGTCTCATCCAATCATATCAGAATTCGATATCATTTTTGCTGGAGGTGAGTGATATATCTTACATGGTGGCGATTCTCTTGACGTAACGCTGTATCGCGGTTCAGGTGGTACCACAGCTTGTGTTGTCGCAGGCCGTCTGGCTGCATGGGATCCCTCGCTTAGTATCTTAATTCTCGAAGGGGGCCAACACACGCTCAATCAAGCTGCGCATGCACAGCCTTACCGATTTCTAAGCCTTCGGGCGCCTACGGGTACCACCATGACATTCAATGTTGGAAATCCAAGTCCACGTCTCAACGGCCGTGCTCCGATCGTTCCGTGCGCCCATTGCATTGGTGGAGGCTCAAGTGTGAATAGTTCGTAGTATTCTTGCACTGAATAACATGGCTCTGATACGTTGACTTGGTCAGCTATGGCTTACACTCGTGCGCCTGCCTCAGATTTTGATGACTGGGGAGCCGACGGGTGGGAATCTAAGAACTTGATTCCCCTCATGAAGAAGGTCCTTCATTGAATAATCTCCATATTTCTCAAGCTGAACTATTCATTGCTTAGCTGGAGACATATGAGGTGAAACCCGATCGCCCAACCCACGGGTACAGTGGACCTATCAAAGTGTCCTCTGGCGGATGCAAACTAGGTGCCAGCGAAGAGTTCATCCGTGTTGGCATGACGTATCACAAGAGGCAATATATGGAAGACACTGATGATTTAGAAACATGTAACACATACAGTGTGCGCCACTGATTTTCTTTTTCCGTGTGCGGAGTCCGCTAACAAGATCCATTTCAGCCATGGGCGAAGTGAGCTTGTACTCGTCATCTATTGTGAATTGGGCTCATAGTTGAGAAGGTACATTGACGGGACAACTGGAAGGCGTTCTGATGCGGCCCACCACTATGTCTACAACCAAGCTCACAATGCAAATTTGCAAATATGGGTTGGCAAGCAAGTGAAGCGCGTGATCTTCCAGTGAGTATTGCACATTCAAGTTGGATTGCAACTGCTGATGCCTGTTTCGAATGAAAGAGATAAGCGTGCCATAGGAGTCGAGCGATCCAGTATCTTGCCCAGACGCGGGTCAGTCATCAAGCATCGTGAGAGCATCAAAGCTTGTTGTTGTCTCTGCTGGGGCGTTCGGTTCGCCGGCCATTCTCGAGAGGTCTGGGATTGGTGCCGAAGCGATTCTCAAGCGGTGCGATATTGAGCAACTGGTGGACCTACCTGGCGTCGTAGAAAATTATCGAGGTCCATGTTCAACCATTTATCTCATGATGTTAACCTAAGGTTAAGTCTTAGATCACAACGGCATCTTTGTTCCATACTTTGCTGGTGACGGAGCTGTTACTATGGACCCCCTCTGGCGTGGGAAGGAGAGTGTTGTCCAGGGTAAACATGTTCTTGCCATATTCCGAGCCCCTTTAACCACCCAAACATTATAGAAAACCTGGCACAATGGAAACTTAATGGCAAGTCACTTATTGCCCAAAAGTTGGTACAAAACCTTCGATGCCGGTGACGTATTGACTGGCATTTCAGTGGCAGCGATGTAAAAATCAAATGGCGTCCTGACAATGATGAGCTGAAAGCCATGGGCCCAGCCTTTCAACCACGATGGAAAGAGTTCTTCCAAAACCGCCCAGACAAGGCTGTTGCAATATTTTCCCTTTTTGAGGGGTGTGTGCACATTAATTTGCTTTGACGTACGAATGCTCACGATAACCAGATACGCTGAGTTACCCTTGAGTATCCTTCCTCCTCGCAATTACTTGGCTGCTTTTTATTGTACAGTAATACCCCCCATCTGCTACCCCCGCGATCTTGTTCTGAACTTTCAAATAGCTGTACCCTACATCTGCCGGCAGCGTTCATATCAAATTGGACAAGAACGGCCAGGAAGGAATCGACTTCAATGCAGGCTACCTGGATGAGTGAGTCGGCAGTTTCATCCCACCGATGTGACTACGATAATTCACAGTCCATCCGATATCATACCTCTTAACTTTGGGTACAAAAAGATGCGCGAAATCTGCCGACGCATGCCTTCATACTGTGGTGAACCCCTCGCCAGCCATCCTTGTTTCCAAGAGGGGAGCGCTGCAGTCTGCGGAGAAACATCCGGGCCGGTGGATTTGAATGCGCCTGACTTGATCTACACAGCAGAAGATGACGAGGCGATCGATCGATTCCATCGTGACCGCGGTATGTCGTATCCCTATCGTTACTAGTGTTAAAATACTGAATTTATACTCAGTGCAAACGACAGGGCATTCGGTATGTACAGCTGAAACGTTCATGCTTTCACATGAGGTACCTGAACCTTGCGTGTGTAGCTCGGAACTTGCGCCATGAAGCCGAGGGCAGATCAAGGGGTCGTTGACGCTAGGTTAAACGTGTATGGCGTGACAAACATTAAAGTTGCGGACATGTCTATTGCGCCGAAAAATGTTGGCACAGTGGGTACTGGTCAGGGACTATTGATGTGCAGTCTAACCGTCTCTCTAGAACACATATTCGACAGCGCTTCTCATTGGAGAGAAGGCTGCGATGATCATTGCTGATGAGCTGTGTATCAATGCAGACCAGCCTTGCAGTGACTCGGAGTCGTCATGGAGAAGTCCTCAATCACGTCTGTGATAGACGTCTTTGCAAGAGTGATCATTAGCATGTACTTTACGTGTCAATCATTGATACACAATCAACACGTATCTCAAATTTGCGAGGACAATATATGGATTGCAAGTTCAGGTAATATACATCAGGAAAAAATAGGGCTACAGATGGATATACATCGATGCCGAACGAGACACAATAAACACGACCCGCTGCAACCCACCACCCCGCCCAGTAGCCTAGCTGCCCTCCTGACCTCACTGCCATCCACCACTCCTCTGTGTCCAACCCAGTACATTCCTCTTCGCCTGGTCCAATAGTATTGGGACATCCTATTGTGGTGACAGAGGGCAGTCAAGCCAGCACTCGACACCATATTGTTTGAAACCCATAGAAACATTGTCGTACTACCGACAAGATGTCGGGCGAGAAATAGATGTTCGAATGATGCTCTTGCCAGGCGTGGCTTGCTAGAAACTCGTGGCCAGCACAGAGTGCTTGTCACCTCGTGCGGAGAATTGAGTACGTGGCAATGTCTGCAAGCAATACGTGAGATCCGGAGCAGCGGATGAAGTGGTAATACTGTGGTTCGATGTCAGTTTAGACAGATAAAGTACCCTGTTGCACATTTGTCCTTGTCAGAAGTCAGCAGATGCCTCATTTCATCTAGAAACGATAAGGCAAACAAGACGTAGACACCACTTACTGTGCATTTTATGGTCCAATTGCTCGCCGGGCATCATGCCCATAATTATACTGCTTGCCACAAGGGCGCCCCTCATCACTGTATCTCCCGCAGGTCATGCGTGAAGGTGCCTGGGAGAACGTGGCGGGCATGACCAGATACGTGGCGGGCAACAAGGAGATTGGGGGATGATGTAACATGGCGCCGGGCGAGGGCGGATAGACCTTTGGCGCTAAAATGTACAGCGGAGTCTGCACTAACCGCACCCGAAGACTGGTTAAATACCAGACTTTTGGTCGTGTTCGTGGTCTCGTTCGAATAGATAGTGTTGACCATGGTGGGAAGAAGTAAGTAATATGTACTGGTGTCATGTTGAGAAGGCACTCATACGAAGTTTCGTGCAGTAGACTGCAGCTGAGTCACGATGTGCAGGTCCAATGCAGGAAACACGGCCGTGAAAAATCTCGACAGGAATTGCAGTAAGGGTGCAGAAATGCTCTTCTTCAGACTCGTCGTCATCGTCGCTGTCACTGGAACTGTCCGTACGACGCCGTTTTCGCGTTTTGGATTTGGATTTCGGACGAGCTGCGTTTACGTTTCTTGCGAGTAGCTGAGTCTGATTCCGAGTCCGAGTCCGAGTCCGAGTCTGAGTCCGAGCTTGAGTCCGAGTGCGAGTCTGAAGAAGTTGCATTGTCGGAGTCGACTGTAGCGTCCCATGGCATTGTGAATGCGGGTAACTATAAACCAATCAATCAATCCATCAGATAACAAGTGGAATGAAGCGAAGCAAGTGACGAACCTTCTCAATCTCCCCATCCAACTCCAGTACTCTCAAAAGCATTTCGACATGTTCGACGCCCAATTGCGTCTCCGTGAGCTTGCTTTTACTTAGAAAATGTTGTATGTGCTGAGCAGATGGGTAGGTGGGTGCGGCGCTTATGGAGTAGAGTCTGTTTTCGTTTTGGGAGGAGGCTTTGGAGCTTTGTTTGGGGGAAGGACTGCCAGAAAATAATGTTGAAGTTTGAATTGTAGGGAGAAGGAGAGGGACGTACACGGTCACGAATGTAATGCAGACATGCGGTTGAGAGGAGCTTGATGAATTCCGTGTCAAGTTCGTTGTCGGTGTACCATGGCCCACCTGTAAGTTCGACTGAAGGTTCTAGGTGCGCGAGCATGTAGATCTTGCGCGTTGGGTGCTAGTGCAACCGTATATGAAAAAAGGTGCCCAGAAATTTGAAAGGTGAAACATACCTTGACGGCTTTGATAGCCTTCACGAGCTGCTTCTGAACGAGTGATTTGAGGCACCTGTCGATGACGGTTTGGTGCAGTTCGGTTTTAGTCTTTAAGTGTTTGGTCCAGATTCCTGTGCGTTACACGACATCAGATAAGTCTTGACGTTCGGTGTCCGATTCGAGGCGCAGAACTCACCTTCGTTTGCGGAAGCTTGGATATGACCGAGCACCATGGCTTCTTCACCGCTCATATCTTTTTCCTGTGTTCTGCATGTCAGGGGATTCTAGGGGAAGACGCGATGGAGATATGGTACATACACTTCTATCTCCTTTTTCATTACGGCTCGGAACGAAATAATACCTGCCGCGTTGGACAGGACTTTGAGCATGCCCTTCGGGTTTGCATATCAGGACCATAGAAAGAGATATCACGTAGAGGTACTCACGGCTCCCAGGAGAAAGTTGATGGCTAATGTTCTGAGTAGGGGAGGGTGAGTCACCCTAGGGCGGCGCGCCATCAGGTGCGCGGATATAACTTCTGCGTGAAGGTCTAGTTGTTAGGGGACCATAGCTAACAACTCAGATAGATAGGAAGTCTCACTGCGCCTCGATTTCTCGGTGCGCTGCAATCTTGGGCATGTGCTCACTGATACTTAGATGCATGAGCCAATCGAGACATCGTCCGCGATTATATACCTGACAGAAAAAAACTATATCCCGTGCTGCTGTAATGCAGCAACCTCAGTGGTAGCCATGACAGGAAAGTGGACTCGGACGAGTTCGCCATCGATGTTGATTGGCCGGCAATACCAAGAGGAAACCGACAACATTCTCACAACATGCGCCACGGACATCCATGAGAGTTATTGTAGTTGAGCAAGGCGACATCCAGTACTCAAGGGATTGGGTGTCATTTGCAGTGACGAGCTAGAGCACCGATATTTCAGGCTGAGTGAAAGTTCGAAGACGGTCACGTGACACAAGGGGGCGGCAGCTGCGTCATGACTCATGGCAAGGGGTACAACGGTCCCCTTGCCATGACCAGTTTTCCCTCAACACGCGTTCTCAGAAGGGTTTTTCATTGGACAACGACCTGAAGTCAGATAGTGAACATGTGCCGTGTACAGAGTGTGCGCAACTACGGAAAACGCCTCTTGCACTACTTGTGGATGACCTTGGCATTCTTCGTGAGGGGGACGAACCTGCTATCGAAGATGTATTGCGACGGCAGCTCCTAGACAAAGATCGCGAGAATGATAAGGTGAGCTTAATTAGTCATGAGCGACGATCTATGCAGCGAAAATGAGCTGAGTTGGACTTATTCAAGCTTCAATCAACGATATCAACGCCACAACAGGTTACAACAACTGGCTTTGAGGCCACCCATCGAAAAGATCCAAGAGCTGGAGAAAGAACATAAAAATCTTGATCTGATTCTGCAGGGAACTCAGAGACAGAATGAAAGGTGCATGGCAGAGCTGGACAGGTGAGCACATACGTGCATGCCTATTATTCATTCAAGACGGTACATTGTCATAGACCCTTAGGGTGAAGATTAGGGAGAAAATGCTGGAGCAAGCTTTGGCTAAATTCGCAGGCCAGAATTGGCAGGTTTACACTCCTGCTAAATAACATAAATCGTACAAATCTGATGTGCTCTCAGGCTGCGCTCAACATAGCACCATCTTCTTCAACATTCGCAGCTCCGGCACACCTCTTCTTGAGCTACGTCCATCGTCTACTTTTAGCCCTTCTCACTCGCTTCTCATTACCAATTACTTGTTTGGCTCTGACGCTTATCTCCTTCCTTCATTTCCGATCCTTCCTTGCCCTCTTTTTTGGTCCTCGTTTCTCTTTCCATCACCTGGATACTCGGTCCTCCTTCCTTGTTCCAATTGCGTCTTTCTCACATAATTTTACGCTTCTATCTACTCGTTCTTTTTCTTATTCTTATTCTTATTTGATTACACTTTGATCTGTTCCGATCTTGTTTGATATTCACTCATCTCGACCAATCGATCCCTTGATTTTCTCCTTCGACTTCCCAACCAGATTTTCGCTTCTTTATAATCCCGACCCGGGGATGCCTCCTTTCAAATGACATTCCTCCTTCCAAACATCATTCCTTTCAAACGTTAACTGTTGACACACAGTCAACACGACGCCGACGCTCGCACAGCTCTATGGCCTCTCTTCCGTTACCTCCTCTGGCACGACGTAGCGACAGAACATGCAAGTGCTGACACTAATTATGAGTATTACGAGCAGGTGCGTTCGTTTGTTTTAGATTTTTCGCATCTGATCATTTTTCCTTGCATCTACTCATCTACCGTGCATTTAATTGTCATGCTCACACATCTAATCATCACACACGCACATCTAACACTCGCACATCCAATCATCCTATCCAATGCTCACATCCAACCGACCATCTGATCTAACCCCCACATCAAACACCACGCACAAAAGGCCAACCTAGCATTCGCAATCCGCCTCGCCAGCATCGCCCAACCCGGCGACCTCGTAGTGCGTGCATATTTTATCATTTTGTATACCACACCTAACCCCTGTAACGCTACTCCCAACAGCCACCAAACTCTCAGAAAGGACGGATTCTACATGCTACTGAGCGCCGCAGACCTCGGAGTGATTATGCCCCTCAGGGATGGAATGAACACGACCTCGATGGAGTTCGTGATCGCACAAGGGCGCATGAAGTGCTCTCCGCTCGTTTTGAGCGAGTTTATGGGGATCAGCCAGCATATGGCTGATGCATTCCAGTTGAACCATTGAGATCTCGGGGTGCGTAATATCTACTCATTCAGGGCTTCTGCGTTTGGCGGCTGTGTGGCGGGTAGGATGTAACGGCTGCGATGAACCGCGGGCTGGTGATGTCGGAGCAGGAGAAAGCGTCAAGGCACGCGGTGTTACACAAGGTCATAACAACTCACACATCCCACACGTGAGCTGCATTCCTTGCCAAGATGCTGCTCTCTCATATCAACAGATAAAACACCATGCGTCAGACCCCATACATCCCCAAAGACAAGATCAAGGAGCTATACGATAACGCCGGGAAGCATTTCTTCTTGTTCGATTACTACATGAGTGGTGGGCGAGGGATATGGTGCTGGACGTTGACATTTGGTGGATAGGGCACGCTCATGCTGATCGTCAAGATGCCGTTGATGGCGCTTCCTTCCCCTGATGCACTCACAGTGCTCGCGAGACTTACATCTGACCCGAACAATATTGTGTACATTGTATCTGGCTGTGACCAGGCGTTCCTCGAAGTACACCTAGGCCTTCCTGCGTCTTTGGATGAGCATGGTGGATTCATCTGTTCGCCCGATAGTACCGTATGGATGAATTTTACTGTGAGTTTGGATATGGGCCGGATGGAGGAAGTGGCAGAGATTTTCAGATATTACACGGAGCGTACTACTGGGAGTCATCGAGATGAAGAAGAGCTCGATTACCGGTCGACTGATCCCGAGTGGGGGTGCGTGTTCCACAGTTTATGTTTCTGATTTACTTGTGATGCTTCTCACCACCTGGTTATTCTATGTCCCCCTTTTTGGTACCTTATTCAACCTCGAAGCTGTACTGGAAGCGTCATAGCATCCCGTTATGTAACCTGGTAAGTGCTGCTGAATCCTGGCCACCTTCACGGTAATGAAAGTATTCATGCTCAGTATCGCAACTGCGTTTTTTGATAACATCATCGTTCTGCAAGCACTGTATATCCCGATCGATCTCTTCGTTCCACTCAGGGCTGAGCAATCCGTCAGACTGATCACGCTCGGTGTATTCTTGGGCTTGACTCTGTTCACTTGCCAGTCGAAGGTATGCTCCTTAAACTGATCTACTACTACTCGATTCTGATAATCTGTTCAGTAATGACGACGCGTGTTTCGTTCTTGGAAGTGGGCAGAAAGCTGAGACACAATTTGTACGTTCTCTCACGATCATGCGATTGCCTTTGCGCTTAGCAAGTGGTTTCGGATTGGGAGCTCAGCTCCCAAGCCACTGGCAGATCTCCCGACCCTTATGAATTGGATCGGTTCGCAGAAGATCGAGCTTATCGGTTTTCATTGCCATTGCTTCGAGCTCAGGCTGGAGTGCGGATGGATTCATTCTCGACCTCTACCACTCCGATTTCTACCCTGAGGACAGCCTGGTTGTAGCCAGAGGAACGGTTGTTAGAGAAATTGTATCGCACCCAGGCTTTCTGACAGTGTTCTGAGCGTTTCGATTTGATGCTCTGAGTTTCGTTTTCTGACATCGCTGGCACGTTTGAACAGCTGTCACATGACTGAGAAAAGCACTACGTTGAATGGTATACAAATTTAGTAACAAGCATAAGTCGGACACCATCTGATTCCAATTCCTATTACAGTGGTGACAACGTCAATGGGTACAACAAGAGAACCTATCTTGATTGAAAACTAAACTTTTATCAGGCTTGATCCCAATGATCGAACCCCGGATCCTGAAAGGCTCCTCAGGTTTGTGCTTGACTACCTCATCATAATCGACACGAACATCCTCCCCCATATTAGTGCCTACTTTCATTCCACCGCTACCCTCAATTACGTTCGTGGCCTCCTCACATCCGGATTCGCTTCATCACCCGTGGGACTGGTTCCTCTCACATGTCCGTTCGCCAGCATTACGGTCAGTATATCTTCGCACATGCTCTTGCACGCCTGATCTCGGATATCGTCTCCACCGCAGGAGCGAGTTTGAAATAATCACCCGAGGTCTTTCTGACGCGCTTGACTTCAGCCACACGATAGGCGCTGACTTAGGTAGGGAAAGTGTATCCCTTCGACCGGGGTGGTGGTCGAGGTGTTCTAGGCGAGGTTGACTTTTATACAAGGTCAGCTCCCTGATGGCATGGTATAGTGTAGTGGATCAAGTTAATGGTATCGGAAATTGCAGCCATGAAGGTTTAAAGTTGGACTGGGAACAAGCAATGTCACGGGAAGTCGATATCACTGGGTCAGGATCGTCTCTGAAGGAAAGGGGTTTCTACAATACTTCCGCCCACTTTCTATGGGTTGGCGACCGTATGCGACAACTGGATGGCGCCCATATTGAATATTTCCGAGGTATCCGCAATCCCATCGGCATCAAGGTCGGACCTTCATTACAAAACGAGGAACTAATCAGGCTCCTACAAAGTATGTTTAATTCATGGCGTACGTCTCGCAGAACGCACTTATCACATGCGTCTTCATAGTCGTAAATCCAAACAAAGAAAGTGGTCGCGTGACACTCATCACAAGATATGGAGCAGGAAAAGTGCGTTGTTCATTCCCAACTGTCTCAAACAACCTTTGATTAAGCTGTCAAGATCGGGGACCACCTCGCTGGCCACATCGAAGCCGTTAAGTGCTCTCAACACCCGGTCGCATGGGTGTGTGATCCCATGCATGGAAAGTACGTTTATATCCTTGATGTTGTGGAACGCGGACTGAGCCATTCTGAGCACGCTTACTTCCAGCAGCGGCTTCAAAATACGCAACTTTGGAACTGTCATAAGTGAGCTGACTTCCTGCATCCGTATCCATGCTGCATGTGGTTCTCGGCTTGGTGGAGTTAGTCTTGAGTTCACAGGCGAGCTTAATGACGAAGGCTTCAGCGTGACAGAGTGTCTTGGCGGAAGCATGGAGCTCAGCGAAGAACAACTGGGGCTCAGATATCATGTGTGCCAGACTACGTTCGTATTCAATTGCTCTTCTTACCCTCAATCTTAACGAAGTCATTCTGTGACCCCCAACTCAATTTCGAGCAATCAATAGGTATGGAGAGCCAAATTTAAGGAAAGAATTAGTTTCAGCTGACACATTTGACAGACGTCGCCTTCCTTATATCGAACTACTTCAAGGAGGAAAGGCTTGGTGACAAAGGAGAAAACGGTATCTATGCTGCCCTTGGAGGAAGAAAAATAATCTCATAGTAATCCAATGGAAATTGTAAAATCCATATCATACAGCTGTACAAGCGAGAGGTCTTGTCGGCCTTTGCTGCATTCATTTCCGAATGTTCGCCTGCATGCTCTTCCGAATTACGTCTCGCATGCATATTAGCTAGCGACCATGCGTCGTTTACGCAGCTGAAATTGGCAAATATTGATGGTAAGTTATCGGTGATGGCGGCCTACCCGAGAGTGAAACGACTACCAGTTCGCCGCTTCTGTCCGCATCAGGATGTTCCAGAAACGCCTGCGCATTACGCACAAGTTAAATTATGAATTTGTTGCAGGCGGTATGTGACGCAGGCCTCTTGAGGTTTTCGCCATGCTGATATAATAACACTACGACCTGCAGGACGTATATGGTGGTTCCGCTTTGTTATGGACAGTCAGTGGAAGTGGCGCATCAAGTTTGGCCTTGCTCCGCCCAGCCTTCCAGCTTGCCCAAAAGCTTCTTTTCGGATAGAAGACGATGGAGAACCCGGCCGCAAATCCTTGCACCTAACAGACACTAAGTTCGTCGAGACGGTTGTGCCAGATGTGTAAGTTTGTACTTTATCTGCTCTGACTCATTCAAAGGTACTGATGGATTTACGATTCCTGTGGGCTATTATTTGTCCCCGTGCCGGCTGCACAGACCTTATTACGATATGATATATAGCGGGGTAGCTGGCAAGGCTGCCAACTGCCTTCAGTGGTCTTTGGGCGATTGGGTGATGCACGAGTAAGTCTTTAGGTTCCTTAGCTCCGAGTCGCTCCATGTTATATGATGTGCTTGGAGCAATCGTATTAACGACATATATTGTGACTCCTTCTTTGTCGAATTTAACTGACTGTGTTGCGGCAGGAATCCCGTTCATGTGGACCGCGATGGCGCCCTACATGTAACGATGGAAATGATATGCAAAAATTGGTAGTTTGTTGTGGCACTTGTTTCTTGCATCAGGAACAAGTGAACGGGCCATTATTGTTGAGCCATACGAGCAAAAATATGACTTGGAAGAATATTCGTTCCTTACGCCTTCGGACGTCCCTTAGCAGTCTTATTTTAACAGATGACTCGAATGATTACAATAATAGATGTTTATAAACCACATTCGCTGTCGCCTTTTCCTCGTTCTCTTCTCCGAATAGTGCGCGAATGTCTCTTCGACAACGCACTCTCGATACGGCGGTGTATAGTTGACCATGCGCGAACGAATCCGTGCGCAAGTCGAGCACTCCTTTTTCCAACGTCAGCCCTTGACAACCGTTAAAAGTCGTTGCATATGCCGGTCGCAGTGGAAACTGCTTTCGATTGACTGTCCAGCTTGAGCGTGGTGGATTGAAAGCAAATGTGATCCGAGGCACGCAATATATCTCGCCAGTGTTAGGAATCTGTACCTCTACAAATCTTCGATGAAGTGCAGTGATGCGCACACGTGCGTTACGCACAAGTCCATTTTCGACGGACATGTTGCGCTGTATTGCACATACGGCGTTGACTTTAAGATCCAATCGATGAGGTGGCGTGTTTGGATGAGTCAACATGGCGAGATAGTCCAGAGTTTGTTCTGGAGCATCTGGAGGAGCTTGCTCAGCTTCTTTGAGACAGTCGGAGCTGAAGTAAGATTCTGTGTTCTCCCTGAGTTGGTTCGTTGCGGTTGGCAGTGATCAATGCTCACCAAAATCTCCGGGTAAAGCTTCCAACATAATGTCATTGAATTCGTCGACGAAGATGTTTAGCGGAGAAAGGAACGCGCGCTGGATGCAAGATGCGGGATCGTCGAGAATGTGAGGAGGGAAGAGAAAGTCGATGGCGTCGTTGATGCCGTGAAGTTTGGGAATGAGATCGAGAGATTGACGGGCACCTGAACAGTCTTCCCCCAAGGTATCGACGAAGTTAGTATAACACGGGTCGCCGATGCTTCGAATGGGAGTGGTGAGTGTGAAAACGCGCATGAATTTCCATAGAGGAGACGATTTGACGGATGCTGCTAGGGATGCAACCTCCCCTGCTCCACTGACGACGGGTGCCACTTGACGAAAGTCTCCCAAGCCGATGATCGGGATACCACCGAAAGGTTTGTCGTATACATTCATGATTCGACGGCACAGGTCGTCGACGCATTCCCATGCGGCTTTATTTGCCATTGGCAATTCGTCCCAAATGATTGCACTTGCATTGCGAATGAGATCTGCTCGTGCTGAAAAGGGATGTATGGTGGAATGTAGGTCGACGTTGTCCTCCGTGACGGGAATTCCGAACAAGTAATGAGCAGAACGTCCGCGTTTATATGCAGTCGCACAAAGTGCACTGCTTCCGACGATGAGTATGATATGACCCTCAGCGCGCAGTGTCGACGACAATGCATTGACCATGAATGTTTTTCCCCTACCTGGCCGACCTTCGACGAAGAACATGCAGTGCTGTCGTGATTGAATACCATCACATATCGATCGAGAATATAGCGAGCAGCGTTTTGAATGCCAATGATGCCGTGATAAGTGCATGCGGATGCCATGGTAGTCAATGCTGAAGAAAAGATGGCAGTGAACGGAATATATCGCGAAGGAGAGACAGGAGAGGTGAAACCGATGCTAACGACATGTGATATCGACGTCGAGCGTTGAAATAAACGGGAGGGCATGTGACGCTCAGGTGGAGCACAGACAGGAGAGAGACGCACAAAAGGCAGGCATGTGATGCTCAGGTGGAGCACAGACAGGAGAGAGATGCACAAAAGGCAGATCAGGTGGAGCTCAAGTGGAGCGCAGACAGGAGAGTCACGCGTTTTGGTTCCGCGGAACCAAACGTTTCGTACATACATATGTTAGATATATCCGTGGTACAGCGACAACAATGCAGTGGGTGAAATCGGTGATTGTAGAAGGGTACTATGAGAGATCGAAACCAGCACCAGAGGAGATTGCCTTCAGGAGCTTGTCATGAAGCTTTTTTTCGCTGATATATCCGGGCAGCTGATTCGTAACCAGTCAGTCACGCTATAAATGTCAGTACAAAGTTATTTCACCTTTAAAAGATTTACGCAGGTGCTTGAAGTTGGTAATCGGTCCTCATCACTCCCTGCGTCGCGTATGGCAAAGAGGGGGTTTAGCTACTTGAAGCCTCTGGAAAATAATGAGCGCCTGCAAAAACAAGTATCAAGGGGAAATAGCGGAGGCCATGAACTCACAGAAATGGCGGTCGACTACAGTTTGTCACAAATCTCAGGAATAGCCGTCGTTGTTCCTGATCGAAATCCTCCAAAACCTGCAGATGAAGATTGATATCAATAATGCAATCGCAGTCCTTGAAGATACTGACCTTCCAAAAAGTCTGTATGGTGGGTTCGTTATTATCATACAAGCCCCCGTATTGGGTATGTGCTCTCAAGTCCTGCACATCCACAGGTGCGTTCACGACACCTAGCAATATCTGAAGTTCCTGCTGATTGAACATTCTAGAAGGAACTACATCAACAATCCAGGGCAGAGTTAATTTGAACCTAACATACCGAAACCATTTGGGGTCTATCATATCAGAAAGACCCTCAAAGAACGCCTCGCTCTGGAGCTTGATCTGCTTGCTCAGCTTGTAGTGAGAAGTGAGGTAGATGTATTGCAGTCGGTTCTCCCGGGTGACCGGAACATTGCTGCCGTCTGGTATGAGGTCCACAGCTTTGGCAACTCCAAACTCTGGCGACATCCCGCATCAGAAAAACCATAATTCGAGCACATATGACTAACCTTCGATCGCAACTGTGAAGTTCAATGCGAGGGCTTCCACATCTCCGGTGTAGTTCCTGAGGAATATCAGACCCTGGTACAAATCAGGATCGAGAGAAGCAAGGTCATCCAGAAAGCTTTGTTTGTCTAGCCACTTTATCGATAATCAATAACGTGGCAGCTTGTTATCAAATACACGGCGATTACCTTGGCCAGGAAAAACCCTGCGAATGCGACCTCGACTAGGATGCCCTTATAAAGTGCCTTGCCCAGAATTCGTCCGATGAAGCGATACCAGTTCAAATTGTGCGCTACATCGGATATGAACGTGAGTGTGAGTATCAAAGCACAAATCTGCGGACAACCTACGTTCTGTGGCGTACGAGTGGGGATTAGGGCAAATCTCATTCCTCTTATTCGCCAGCCATAGTCCGCGGTCTGTGTCAAATACTTCCTTGCACAAGGAAGTAAAAAACTCCTTGAACACACCACCGCCGTCAATTCCGGCCATAACGAATGGTCACTCCCATCGGTATGCATCTGTACATTGAATAATTTTATGCTTTATACGCACTCCAAACTGATCGATAAATGTTATGGCGATCGGGACCCTTAGATCTACTTCGGCCAGTCTGTCATATCCATCTTGCCCGATATGGACTCTTCGAATGGATACATCGATCCGCCCACTTGTGTCCCTATTGCAGTTCCACTTATCGTTTTCTACGAAGCGCCGGAAAATCAATACACGAGTCTCGAATTGGATAGCAAATGGAATATCGTTGAGAACCCCGAGACGAGGGGAAAAGTGTGAAAGCTGTCTCGTCGTCATGGCCCGCGGCACTGAGGACTCATCAAGTTGCTGTTCTTCGAACCTGTGAAGACGTCGGTCAGCACAAGTTAGGGATGATAGATTCATAAGTGCGACGCACACAGCAGCATCTATGAAAGAGTTCATGTCGATTTGAGAGCTTACATGCCAGTGGATCTCGGGCATGAACGGTTTGCGGGAGCTGGAAGACACCAAGTTGATATGAGTTACTGAGCGACTGCGATGATATGTACGGACTTACTCCCGTGCATGTACAGCCTGTAGATATTTCGTTATCTTGTCTCGTACACCTACCCAACGGAGATTCAGGCCCGGTACACCGCTCTCCTGAATCTTCGTTTGGTCATCCCGCCAGTAAAGAATAAACGCGACGTTAAACAGTGCACGAGAAAAGGCCACCAGTTGGTCCAAAGTCAACGAGGTCCGGGAGTTGGAGAAAAACTCGTCATCACCCATCGTCAAGAGCGATTGAGTACAAAGCTCGGTGAGCAGTAGTAGAGGTGGCCACGCTGATGCCAGCAAGGGGTCTTGATTATGATCAGTATGATTCACCGCAGGAGGTACAAAGACGAATCCATCAAAGATGACATATTTTCATCTTTCCCAAGTGGAGAGTTCCATACATAGACACGGTAAATCTCACACACAAGCCCACCCCCTCCATATAGCAGCAACGTACTGAGTATTTTGTCCTTCCGGGTAGGCCATACGGTGCACAAGTTAACAAGCCATGATACGAGATCGGGAAGTGCGCCACGATCATGCTGAGCTGCCTTCAGCAAGGCATTCAAGTGCGAAGGACTCAGAAGAGTCTGGAGGCGTTTCTGTGTCCGAGCATCCAGCGGGGGCAGCCTTTGCGTCGGTGCAAAAGATGTAACAACTGTGACTTGCGGTTGCTCTGATTCCGAATCACCATCGTCGGCCCAAGACATTGCGGGGGCGCGAGTATCGGATGCTGATGGTGGATTGAGCGCGTGCACAGGGAGGATGCTCAATGAAGCAGTCATGAGCTGGAGATATGTTTTCAAAGACGAAGTAGGCAGAATCGCATATCTTGGGGAGGTAAAAGCGTACAGGTTGGCTATGAGATGCACATGAGATTGGAGAGGGATTGTGGAGACAAGGTCAGCAATAGAAGTCGACAAGACTGACAAGAAGATAGAGGAAGTTTTGCGGAAAGGGCTGAGGACATCCAGGAAATGGCCACTCCGGGGTCAGAGTTCGGGGCACGTGAGTATTTTAGTCGGAGTTTAAATTGGTGAGGTTGACGTACCACGTAAGCAATCGAACGGCGGATGATGTCATCCACTGCGCCGCCCTCATGTCAGCCACTGCGCCGCCCCCATCGATGTCGGCGCCATTGACGACAGCTGCAGACCCACCCGACATCAGTGAACTGTTTGCCTCAGTACAAAGTCATACATTGCTGGCTAACCTCTCATTCAACAACTTCGCCACCTTCCTTTGCCGTACTAAGATACTCAAGGAGGACATCCTCCAACCTCAGCCATACAATGTCTCAATCTTCTGTGCTCCCAATTTTCTTCCACAAAGTGTTAAAGCCTTCCTTGCAGCCTCTCTTGACATGCCGTTGGATGTAGTTGATGTCCTGTGGTCTTTTACAAAGGACATTGTATGGGAGCTCCCAAGTAGCGCTGAGGCAAGTGCGGATGATGAAGATGCATTCAGGACCTATGGTCATGAGCTAGGACTCAGTAAGTTTGTTTTTGTTTCGCACTTCTTGATTTCTCTGACGTGATGAACAGCAAAACGTACATTATACCCTCCCATCAAGATATGCGCCAACCATGAGTGCGCTGCATGGCAGCGTGGATCGCTGTTGAAGAAGGAGGAACCACGTCGCATTGTTTTGTTCACTCATGGTGAGGGTGCGAAGCCTGGCTGGACAGTACACCTGAAGTGCCGAGGTAAGTCCACTGTACTCAAGTCCATGCGCTAGTCGCTAACTTTGATGAAGAATGCAATACGAATTATCAGGCCAACTATAGCGTCAAAGGCGGCCTCCAAACATACTACTGAGGCATGCTGCAGTACATACAGGTCACTGATCATCAGTTTGTCGAGCTACAGCTCACCATACACTGGAAGGATCTGATGCAGATTGCGTACGTCTTTGCGTTTACTTCTTGGGGGTGCAGACATTGACTTGTGATTGGTCCATTCGCTAGTGTATCGGTGACAAACTATGCCAACCTATATGCAATTGCCCAGACCCGTCACAACCTTTGCAACAATGATGATCATGATCGCTGGCAGTTTGGCAACGCTCTGACAACAGAGCAAGTCTGGGACTGTTTTACGCTTCTTGCCCTGCTCAACGATCATCAACGACGTAATGAATTGCTTGTTGTGCCTCATGATGGCGAACAGAAAAATCGATTCACAGGCGCTATGTACGCACGCAACACTCGGATGGTTCTTCAAGGACAAGATGAACTCCCTCATGCTTGCTTCGGATGCATGCGCGTTTTCGAGTGACCAGACGGTACACTGCACCGTACTGAGGTCATCGTCACCGATGGCGTGACCGTCGGACGCCCCTGCTGTGCTATTCCACGGTGCAAAAGCCCTCTCGACAACAATCGGCTCCGGTTCTGTGCCGAGCATCATCACCTTGAGGCTGTCTGTGCCGTCGATGGCTGTGATTGGCCAGTCATGGTTGATACTGAGACCAGAAGAAATCGCAAGGCATGCGACGATCCAGTTCATCTCCGCATGGAAGCTGCCAACATCGACTCATCACGCCATGGAAAGAGCAAGACACAATGTCAAAAACTCACCAAATTAAACGATGCTATCACCGTCCACCTCCCTGCGACTTCAGCAGATGAAGATGTCCCTCTTCAAGATGTTGAAGAATGGTATGAGCATGATGAGGCCTCTGGCGCTGTGCTTTTCGTCAGGCACCCACAACAACCTCAACTGGAGTATCAGATCATTGTGTTGCTTCTGATTTGGATGCCGATGGGTGCAGCGCCAAGGACACGCCACCTAAACTCAAGGCTACCTTTCGCCGTCAGCATACGAACAACGAACAACTTGTTGTTCGCCCATGCAGAGTCATCTGTGGCTGTGGCACAATGTACCACCACGAGGCTGTCTCAAATGTGCTGGTAAGTTCAAGTCTCATTGTTGGAGAACTCATGCTGACCAAGGTTTCGCCAGATCATGATCAAGAAAATGTTTACCCTCCCATGCGCTTGTAAACCCCAGCATATGATTTATGACTCCAATTGTAATGCATTGCGTGAAGTGGAGAGTCGCAATATCGCATTCTTTGAGGGGATGGGTATGTGTGTAGACGCCTTCCATCACAAAACGAAGCACAAGGCTAGCGATATGCTCTGCCGTGAGCGCTGTGACATGAAGGCATACCCTGAACTCCTTGATGACAATGGGAAGTACTATTTCAACTCATCAATCGCAGAGCAAATGAACATTTGGTTTGGTGGTTTTCATAACATTTGTTGAGAGATGACGCCGGTCAAGTATGATTTTTTCCTTGACGAGATGATCCTCCGTCAAAACCATATAACTGTTGCTACCCTTCAGACACAAGGTAAACTCCCCCACCATCCACCTGTCTTGTAGTTATCTCAATATTTTCTGTATCATAGCACAATGGCAGTCATTTATTCACACCCATTCCTCACCTTCCTCAGGAGGCGTTGTTAGAGCCGAGATGACAAAGGTCTGTTCCCTTTCTTCAGTCCTTACACAACAGCATGGACTTCCCTTTCTTCAGTCCTTACCTGCAGCGCAACGGCATGGACTTCCCTTTCTTAAGTCCTTACCTGCAGCGCACGGCATGGACTTCCCTTTCTTCAGTCCTTACCTGCAGCGCACGGCATGGACTTCCCTTTCTTCAGTCCTTACTTTCGCATTAAGAGTTCTGCCTCAGGCTCCACCTTCAGAGTTTTCTTTGTTAACTTCCCTTTCTTCAGTCCTTACTTTCGCATTAAGAGGTCTGCTCTGACAAATCAATTGATAGCTGTGTCACGAATTCCTAACACAAATCACTATTCTTTCTTGAACACTCGTGAGACCTCTAGAGACGTTAGTAAGACACCCGTTAAGCGCCCATCACAAGCACCCGTCGTTAACGCTCAGTCAGCGTCTGTACCTATCACATTCACAAACCCTAACCCGAACCCATCCTTTACATACCCGACCTTCTCTATTCCGTTAGTGCCTACTACCCTTATCTCCGACATCCCTGATTTCGACTTCCTTACTCAAGCGATCAAGTCACGTGACTCTAGAACCCCCGAGAACACTTGCACAGCTGTTACACGTTTCATGACATCATAGGTAGTTATATTTAGATCATCGTACGATTCCCTTTTCTATTTTATGATTGGCTAGTTAGTTCAGATTCAGATTCAGTCTCCGCTTCAATGTATGTATATAGGTAGCCCGTTGTAGTCAGTAGTTCTTTAGTTCAAACCTCTTTTGTATTAGCTCACTGCTAGCAATCCTAGGACGTCCCTGCTCACTATCATCTTTTTGTTGTGATACCTTTCGTTTGAGTCCTAGTCTCTGCCCCTGTGTTAATTCGTTAAAAGGGTTGTGACATTAGGTTTGAACTATAGGGGACTCCGACTCGCATTACCGCTTGCACACCTTTATCCTTTGAAACTTTGTCCAGCCAAGTTAGGCTCGATAAACGTTCAAACGATCCGTTACTCTTCATCAACATTTCACGTGTTCTTTAATCCTTGACTGCTATACTCATAGAGTCAACGGTTAAACGACAAAAACCATTCTATATTGCCCGGCTTAACAACTGCAACCTTTGATTTCATCATTCTCCCCTTTGCTCGCTTGAGCGCATTCATACCTATCCATTTTCGTAGTTAGTAGTCCTATACCAGGCCCTGCCTTACATTGCAGCCGCCAGTATACGGAGGTGTTCACGACATTAGGCGTGTCACTGCAACTTTGAGTGCTGGCCCAAGACCCTGCCTGCTCAACGTTACTATAACTTCTCTTTTTACCTATCACCTTTTCTTTGTATGATACGTAGGCTACTCTACCCAAGTTTAGAAGAGTTGTCTAGCGATAAGTCCTACGCACAGATCCTACCGAGGATTTAGAAACGCATCTAGTCGAGAACTGTCGCTTGTAAGCTTTGGCTGGAAGAGCGGACGTGTCCTTCTAGTGTGTTCCCTTGGGAAGTGTTGGCAAAGGCACCTAGTTTCTCTCACTTGGCGAGTATAGTTGTTACGTACACATCTTTGTAGTTAGTATCTAGGGAAGAGTCAGTTGGGTTTTACCAGGACCCTTTGACCCTGAAGTACGAGGTAGATCCGATCAGATATCGGGGACCGCTTCAGTTTTCCATTTACGTATTACTTTCTCACCTTCCGTTTTCATCACCATTCCCTTTCGGATGAGCCGTTACGACTAGCTCATCATTCATTATTCCTTTTCGGGTAGACCGTTACGACTAGTCTACCACCAGTCATTTGTGAATCGTGTTCCAGAATACAGCTGGCACAATGACAAGAAGAACGTATTCCTTGCGAGAGTTCAATGCAATGGGAGAAGCGCTCAACGGAGAGCCCTTTACATGTTACCGTTGCGGAAAACCAAATCACATTGCGAGAAATTGCAGAACTCCGTCTCCACAGAGAGAGACAACAGTACGACCTCATAACATTCCCGCGAAAGAAGACACCCTTCCAAGTTGGTTCATAGAATCCCTAACTCACGGAGAAGTTAGAGGAGAAGCACCTAAGTGGTTCAAAGATTTGGCCGCTTCACCACAAGGCAAAGAATTTTTGGCAAAAGAAAAGGCCGAAAGAAATCAACCGCCGAAATGGTTTAGAGATTGGGTAGCCACTAGGAAAGAAGAGATCCTAGAAGAAACAGTAGAAGAAGACGTGTCTGGAAGCAGATATTCGATCTTATCAAACTTTGCGGATGTAGAAGAAATATATCTATGATCAAAATCAGAACATTTCTACATTCCAATAACGCTGAAAGGAAAGAAGAAGACTGTGGACGTTAGAGCCCTTGTAGACTGTGGGGCATCTACCTTATTTATTAATAGGAAGTTTGTGTTGGACAATGACGTACGGTGTCGTAAATTATTAAAACCTATTCCGGTCAAGAACATAGATGGTTCTTTAAACGCCGCTGGATCGATGACTCATTTCGCCGAACTAGGTCTAAAGATCGGTGACCATGTAGAAGACAAAGCAGCCTTCATGGTTACAGACTTGGGAAGCGATGATGTTATTATCGGCATTGACTGGTTAAGATATCATAATCCAGAAATAGACTGGAATGCAGGACAGTTTTCGTTATCTAGATGTCTGCTTAAATGTATTACGAAAAAGGAGCAAAGACAAAAAAATAGAGAAAACAGAAAAACAGAAAAACAGACAGATGTGGTCCCAGATCTGATTCCCACAGAAGAGGATGACGATGAAGATATGAACACGAGGAAGGCGACCTGTGAAGAGGTAGAAGACGAGGATAGTCCTGAAAGATGGATTAGATACAAAGCCTCGGTTGCCACGGAGCAGAAGGTAGCAGAAGAAGCTACAAAGAAGAAGAAGTCTGTTGAAGAGATGGTTCCAGACTGGCTTCATGATTACCTGGGAGTGTTCTCAGAAGAAGAGTCCAAACGATTCCCTGAAAGAAAGAAATGGGATCATGCTGTGGATCTTAAGGATGACAATGATCTTCCTCCGAATGCGAAACCTTATCCCTTGTCACCGAAGGAGATGGACACTTTGAAAGATTGGTTAAAAGCTGAGACTGCACTAGGACGTATTAGAGATTCACAATCTCCAGTTGCAGCACCTTTCTTCTTTGTGGCCAAAAAGGATGGCAAACTGAGACCTGTTATGGACTATAGAAGGCTTAATGAGAAGATGGTTAAAAATGCGTATCCGCTACCGAGATCTCAAGACCTGATTGATGCCCTTACTGGTGCCACGATGTACTCCAAGATGGATGTACGATGGGGGTATAACAATATTCGGATGAAAGAAGGAGATGAGTGGAAGGCAGCTTTCAAAACGCCTTTTGGTCACCACGAACCAACTGTAATGTATTTTGGGTTGACGAACTCTCCAGCAACTTTCCAGACCATGATGAATGAGATATTCAGAGATTTAATAGACGGCAAAACAGTGGTCGTTTATATCGATGACATCTTGGTCTTTACGAATGGAAGTAGAGAGCAACACCAGAAAGTCGTGCGAGAAGTACTCAAACGATTAAAAGAGAACGACCTGTTCTTGAAGCCTGAGAAATGTAGCTTCGAGCAGTCTAAAGTCGAGTTCCTTGGGTTGATTGTGGAAAGGGCAGTGTGTCTATGGAACCCGTCAAGGTAGAAGGAGTATTGAAATGGCCTGTTCCCAAATGCGTAAAAGAAATACAAGCATTCATGGGCTTTGCCAACTTCTACCGAAGATTTATACTTGGGTTCTCAGACATTGCCAGACCAATGAATGATTTGCTGAGAAAAGATGCCAAATGGGATTGGACAGAGAGACAGCAAAACGCCTTCGATGAGTTAAAGAAGCGTTTTACAGAAGCTCCCGTCTTAGTCATGCCTGACGTTGAGAAGAAAATGAAAATAGAAACAGATGCTTCCGATTACGCAACAGGAGCAGTTCTATCTCAATTGATGGAAGATAATCTATGGCACCCAGTGGCTTACTACTCAAAGTCGATGAATGATGCAGAGAGAAATTATGACATCCACGACAAAGAGTTATTAGCAATCATTCGAGCGTTGGAAGAGTGGAGGCACTATGTGCAGGGAAAACCCCAACATGTGGAGATCTGGACGGATCACAAGAATCTCGAGTATTTTATGACGAGTCAGAAGTTGACAAGAAGGCAAGCCAGATGGAGTTTGTTCCTGGCGGAGTATGAATTTACGCTCCAACATAAGCCTGGTGTAGTCAATGACAAAGCCGACCGTCTATCTCGGAGAGAAGACCACAGAGGGGGGGTAGAAAACAATAATTCTGACCGCATTTTGTTGAAACCGGAATTTTTCAAGATCAATGCTGCTAAACGAGGCCAAATTCTCATAGAAGGAGAAAGTTCACTCATGAAGAAGATAAGAAAGAGCACAGAACGAGAGCCCGAAGTAATGAAAGCGCTAGAGACACTAAAAGCAGCACCGGTACAATTGCGCAGAGGAATCGAAGAATGGAATGTTGAGGACGGATTGGTGTTATTCCGAGGACTGGTATACGTTCCAAACGATAAAGAGATCCGCCGAGAGATATTGGAGTTGTTTCACGACTCTCCACCGGCTGGACATCCTGGACGTGCCAAAACCTTAGAATTGATTTCCAGAAACTATTGGTGGCCTTCAATGACGAAGTATGTCCATGATTACGTAGACGGTTGCGATCGATGCAAGCAAACGAAAGTGTTCCCCAGTAGACCAACGGGACCTTTACAGCCAAATGAAGTCCCAGAAGGACCTTGGCAAACGATCTCATGCGACCTGATAGTGGATTTGCCGAAGAGTGAAGGATGTGACAGTATATTCGTTGTCGTTGATCGATTTTCGAAACAATCACATTTCATTCCCACCACCAAAGACGTAGACTCGAAGGGAATTGCCGAGCTATTTCTACGAAATATATGGAAACATCACGGTACACCAAAGAAAGTGATTTCAGATAGAGGAACACAGTTCATCTCGAAGTTTATGGGACAAGTATCGAATAGATTAGGAACGAAATGGTCTGCGTCGACCTCCTATCACCCCAGAACAGACGGACAAACAGAACATGTAAACCAAGAAGTTGAACAGTACTTGCGCATGTTTGCCTCGTACAGACAGAATGATTGGGTATCTTGGCTGCCAATAGCAGAGTTTTCACACAACAATGCAGTCACAGTAACCGGTCATAGTCCGTTCAAAGTCCTCTATGGATATAATCCTGAATTCACAGTATCTCCGAACTCTACATCCCTTATTCCCGCCGCCGATGAGAGAGCAAATCAGATGAGAGAAGCACGAGATGATGCGGAAAACACTCTGAAGATGGTTAATGAACGCATGAAACACTTCTATGACCGAGGAGTTAAAGACGCACCTCAGTATCAAAAGGGAGACAAGGTCTGGCTAGACGCAAAGAATATTAAACAACGTCGTCCAAATCAAAAGTTGTCAGATCGTCGTCTTGGGCCCTTTGAAATACTAGAGAAGACCGGTGAAGTGAACTACAAATTGAAATTGCCAGAGAGCTATAAGATTCACCCGGTTTTCCATGTGGAATTGCTTACTCCATACTATGCATCTCAATTGATCCCTCATTCTCAACCCACCCGACCACCTCCAGACATTGTTGACGAACAGGAAGAATTTGTCGTAGAAGAAATATTAGATAGCCGACAATTCCGAGGAAAAGTGCAATACCGAGTAAAATGGGAAGGATATCCGATAGAAGAGTCGACACGGGAGCCAGAAGAGAACGTTAAAAACTCCCCGATTCTAATTGCAGAATTCCATAAGAAGAACCCCACGGCTGCCAAATCCAAAAGAATTCTAGGATCTATTCTCGACACAGAAGAATTCGCTCAGTGGAGAAAGAGAAATATCCGACCATCTTACATTCGCGATGACGCTCATCCTAGAGAGGGGGTAATGTCACGAATTCCTAACACAAATCACTATTCTTTCTTGAACACTCGTGAGACCTCTAGAGACGTTAGTAAGACACCCGTTAAGCGCCCATCACAAGCACCCGTCGTTAACGCTCAGTCAGCGTCTGTACCTATCACATTCACAAACCCTAACCCGAACCCATCCTTTACATACCCGACCTTCTCTATTCCGTTAGTGCCTACTACCCTTATCTCCGACATCCCTGATTTCGACTTCCTTACTCAAGCGATCAAGTCACGTGACTCTAGAACCCCCGAGAACACTTGCACAGCTGTTACACGTTTCATGACATCATAGGTAGTTATATTTAGATCATCGTACGATTCCCTTTTCTATTTTATGATTGGCTAGTTAGTTCAGATTCAGATTCAGTCTCCGCTTCAATGTATGTATATAGGTAGCCCGTTGTAGTCAGTAGTTCTTTAGTTCAAACCTCTTTTGTATTAGCTCACTGCTAGCAATCCTAGGACGTCCCTGCTCACTATCATCTTTTTGTTGTGATACCTTTCGTTTGAGTCCTAGTCTCTGCCCCTGTGTTAATTCGTTAAAAGGGTTGTGACAAGCTGGTACATATGAGAAGTGTATAGTATGTAGTAGGTGGCTAAGGCAATCGGACAAACCAAGATGCACATTGAGGAATGGATGAGTGATAATGAGTAACAAGTGACTGACATAACGAAAATTACTTCCGCCCACTATGCTTCTTGCTGCCCAGACCCAAGGCAGTGCACCGTGCTGCAAGGTAGTTTGCCCAGAGGCCATCTTCAGTGCGTCTGGCTTGCTTGTGTGTCTCAAGGATGGTCAGTTCCGTCTCGCGCCATGCCTTGTGATTATCATGATATGTGGTCTTGACAAATGGGGTATCACCAAAGATTAGATGAAAGAGCTGCTCCTGACCATAGAAACCACAAAGCTTTGTGATGACCATCTGCTGAAAGCCAATGGCCATATCAATTGTGTACATCCCATGTGGCCACCTTCGCTGTGGCTTGGCCAGATCATATATCAGTATATGCATGGGAATGATGCATGGAGCAGCCTGAGCCAAATGGAGGGTTTTTGAAGGTGGTGCTGATTGCCGACGAATGGGCATAGACTCAATGGATGAGGATGAGGACGACGCTGACATGGTGAGTGGTGGCGTTGGTGACATTGAGTTAGCACAATGAGCATTGAAATCATCCTCTGGCAGTTGACAGGCATCAAAACTGTCTTCTGAGTCTGATAGTTGAGTGGGTAGTAGTGATGGTGTTGGTGACATCGAGGTAGCAAGATGAGCATTGAAATCATCTTGTGCCAGTCGTGCCCGGGTAGCAATGTGTGTCCCTTGCTCTCGGCTGGGGCTTTGAACCCAGTGTTACAATCAAGTACGCCCCTATTCATTTTCTCTTCACATTGTATTACGTCATGATCCCTATCAAAGCCATCGCTAGACTCGTCTCTTATCATCATTGTATTCCATCACGATCGCATCATGCCGTCGCTAGATGATCTATTCTTGTTATCTCTGACTCTGTCTTATCTCTGACTCATTCCGACTTCACTGTACCGGCCCTAAAGCAGTTATTGTTCACTATATAAACTCGCTTTGTACTATGTAGTTCTTTACTTTAATCTTACTAGGTTTTACCTGGAACTTCCTTCGCTTAAGACCTCCAATATTAAGTCGTATTGAACTTGATTCAAGTTGAGGACACTCTCCTTGTCTTGTCTTATTTGAATATCAAACTCTGGTATACGCCAGAGCCATGAACCGACCTTGGCTGATTACTCTTATCGAGTAGCCATACGTCAGAATCATCCTAGTTCGTAACACCCAGTGGCGCTTTCCCAAGGAGGGTTTTGGTGTGAGCTGTGTGTCGTCAATGATCTCAATGTCTGATGAGGAAGCAGTAGCAGATGCTTGTCGCTGCTTTTTCATCTTGCGCAAACTATCATGCTTGCCTTTCATGTTGAAGCACATGTGGGAGGGGCGAGCCAACAGCTTGGAAGACTTGAATAGGTCGTCAAAGTCGTTGCAGTCAGTGATGCTGTGGCATCGGATGAAAACATGACATCCTGAGTCAAGAGTGAAGGGGTGGGTGAGTGCTGATAGAATCCACCGCATAAAGCTTTCCTCAAAAATATCAATCTTCTGGATGTCGGTGCCAAGGGATGCGATGAGGGTGGGATCGTCTGAGAGCTGGTATTGCAGGAAGTATGGGCAGTGCACAACCCACTGCATCAACACTGGCGTATCGTCCTAGATATCAACTGAGTAAGTGCCATAAAAGCAAACCTAAGAACTGACTTACAGCATCAAACCAGTACAAGACAAAGTGCTGTTTAGCTGCCTGTTCCATCTCCTTGCGACGATCTGCCACCCTCTTACTCTCAATCTCCTCTCGTGCGCGTGTATTTAGATCACCTGCCCATAGCAGATCAAGTTGATCCGTTATGTGGGGGGCCTTTGATACCTTATGAACCGGGAAGGCGTGCATGGCAGAGGCATTGTCGTTCTGAGAGAGCATCGGAAGATGAGGGGGTTGTGACAGTGGGGGCAGACGAGGGGGTTGTGACAGTGGGGGCAGACAAAGGGGTTGTGACAGTGGGGGCAGATGAGGGGGTTGCGACAGTGAGGGTAAACCAGACTGCTGTGATGGTGCAGGTGGTTGCGCAGGAGCTGTCAAGATGTAATGGAATGATGGGAACATAGGCTGTTCAGTGCCAGCAGACTGAAGTGCATGTTGAAGCGCCCTCAACCCATCATTCATCTCAACTCCAGTGTCGAGTGACGAATCGTGCCAGTTGGTCTCCAAGTCAGCAAAACTCTCCTGATCAAATCCCCAATCCCACTCCTGCTGCATATCAGCCTGAGGGTGCTGGTTGTCTGCGCTATCAGCGACATGCACCGGACATCCCCCATCCTCAGTAGTGCAATGGGTAAGACACTTTCCATGTGGGTATCGCAGCGCACGAGCTCGGCGATAAAAGGCACTGATGCATGGGGCACCTCACTTGCATAACTTCTTGCTGTTGGGTTGTAGCTGAGAACCCAAGGCTAGAGGCTGTGTTGAAGGGAAAGGAGCTGCAGAGGCTGCGCCAAGAGTCGGAGAACCTCCTGGGATGAGAGCCATGATATCTGGATGCGATAGAATCTGAGGAAACCAGTGGAAGAAGGAACAGGATGGATGCTGACAAGGAAGGTTAACATGATGGCCGATAGCACAATATACATATCACATACCCTGACCATTGGCTTCCCTGAGTTCCCATTCTTATCACTCCGACAGATGGTGAGCGGAAGAGTACCTCCACAGACTGCACAATTGAAGGTGAGACCACTCAGGGATTCACGCACAGCTATGTAAGCTGGCCAGAAACACGATGTCCGCTTGCTGCAAGGAAGACATGGCCATAACGAGAGATATGATGTGCACAGAGGGGGCCAGAGAGAAGAGTAGGTGGGCGGGCAAGAGACAAAGTAGGCCGGCAGGAAAGATGAGGTGGGATGGGCAATGAGCAACCACAATATGGTGGTGCATTTTGATCAGAGCACGAATATAGTGTGCCATCTACATGTAGTGGGCGGGATGACGAGTGCATCAGCAGGCATCCGCAGTGGGAGGAATACTGGTGGGAGGCAGGATGGTAGTGGTGGCATTGCAAAGGTATGTCCGAATAAGTTAAAGCTCCGCTTAGGTCAGCCGCACTGGCCGAAGGGCCCCAAACTTTGGCCCCCGAGTGGCCAGATCACAGACATTCTGAAAGGGCTGTGAGTGACGAGATCAGGATTTGATTTGGAAGAAGAGGAATTGTGAGTATATGGATGGTGAACAACTGAAAACACAGCAAAAATGCCTCTGACAAGCGTTCCAATGTGTTTAGTGCTGCTGTGGTCCAGTCCCGAACTGCGGTTTGAACCTGACCAATGGTCAGGTTTGTCCTTGGTTTGGTCCACAGTTCTGCATTTTGTGTGGACCGAACTGGAGTGAGGTTGGTGGTCTGCTGTCTCTCGGACAGTTCGGATGTAGGTTCGGACTTTCCCGAACCGTTCTGAACCGCGAACCGAAGCTTCCTTGTGACATTGGTGAGGCACACACTTATGGTCATTTTGACTTCTGGATCCTCGAGATTTGCACTGACTTTGAATTCTGTCTGGTTCCCCATGGTCACTTTGACTTCTGGGATCCTCGAGATTTGTATTGACTTTGAATTCTGTCCGGAGGCTTGCATCCCACACCTCCTGCTGTCCAATAAAGCTCCAGGTATGAATTAACCATCAAATCAACCGCAATAAACTCAATAAACTGATTGATATATTACATTGATATATTTTTTAGGATGCTTCAATGCATATGGCTTTAGAGATTGGTTGTTTGCTTTGTTTGCACATAAAAGGAGCAAGCCCCACCAGCCTGTGAGTAGTGATGTGCATGGCCCGGCCTCAGGCCATGGGCCAGCCCAAGCCGGGTCTGAATAGGCAAAGCCAAGCCAGGCCAAAGTCACGGCCTTGTGACAGCTTTGGCCTGGCTTGATGTTATGAAAAGCCGAAGCTGCCAGCTCAGGCAGCAGCTTATTTCATATAAATCTTGCCCATACCATTCTCCCGCTTTCATCATGGATGTCACAATTACATGCTGTACTGTACAGTGAACACTTGCAATGAACTACATGTTTCATCATACCCTAATATTATCTCGGATTTTTCACCCACTTTGAATGTACCCCGGGACTTGAACGACTATGATGGATGACCGTAACATGTTGATCCTCCTTTGAGCCAGCCTTTCTCATGCGCAACCAACCACTTTCACCCCTTGATATCGCCCAAATGGATCTCTCTCGCCATCAATTTGCATTTCTTTCTGCCTGTGAAACTGCAGTCGGTGACTTTAAGACGCCCGACGAAGTGATACACCTTGCGGCTGGCCTGCAATTCGCTGGGGTTAAGAGTGTCGTTGGAACATTATGGGTGGTCAACAATAGTACTGTCCAGCGCTTAGTCGAGGCATTCTACAGAAAGTTGTGCGGGGATGGCAAAATGAATCCCAAAGGAGCTGCCCAAGTGCTGTACCAAGTGGTCCACTCATTGACTCATGACAAGGACATGCCCCTGGACCAGCACATAGTGTTCGTGCATATTGGCGTATGATCTCTGTTGAGCTCAAGCCTCGCTGACTGAATGTGTCGCAGATCCCTTGACAGGATGTGAGTGTATTGATCCTCTGTGCTCAGGCCTCGCTGACCAAACGAATTGCTGATCCCTTGACAGAAAGTGAGTGTGTTGATCTTCTGACGAACTCGGGCCTTGCTGACCAAACACATTGCTGATCCCTTGAAAGTCTCGTGCTTCATGTTCCCGCTACCTGCCACTACTCATTGCTACCCATTATGTTCTTGTTTACTTGTATTGGGCTGCGGCTCAGGCCGAGCCAGGCCAAAGCCAAGCCGCCATTGATGGCTTTGGCCTGGCCTGCAGTTCTTCAAAGCCAAAGCCGTCTGAAGCCAGGCCAAAGCCGTGACTTTTAGGCCAAGCCAGGCCAGAACATCACTACCTGTGAGTGATATTTCGACTACTCATACAATGTCTGAATCTGATGCACAGTGTGCCCTCAATGTGGACGGCTCTCTTAAGGATGCCAAGGATATGGTCTTTTACAACGATCCTGACGATACTGTCCCACTTAGCGCTCCCTCCTCTGCCCAGCCAGCCTCATCTACTAGTACTACTCCCACAGGCTTAGACACCTTCTCTGTGCTACTGCAGACTGGGCGCAAACCGGCGCCACTTACTGCAGGTTCTCGATGCTCTATTTGCACCTCCAAACCTTCTGCTTGCCTCTGTGATGCCGACAATGCTTGTTCTTCAACAAGCCGCAAGTGCGCGTTATCTAGTGCAACTGAGCAGCTAGTTAGGAAAAAGGTTGTGTTACAGCTCTCAGCTCCATTATCTGACAATGAATTGGCTGGTGCCGACACGGATATTGATACTGATCTTGGTGCTCCTGGTGCTGGTCAATCAGATGAGGCCGAAGATGAAGATGCACCAGATAAACCTGAGGACAAACCTGAAGATCTTCTAGACACCACTCTCCGAGCCGCATTGTCAAAGACTGAGCGTACCGCTGATGTTCGCACCATCTTCACTTGCGACAGCAAACATTGGGTATACAAACCTTGCAAGTACGTATTTAGTACTACATGTGGTTACTTGCTGATGTTCGGTGGGGATGCTGGTGAACTTGAAAGCAAATACAACCTTTCACAGAGGTATCTCTACACTACGCACGCACATTTGTCGGTAAGTTTATGTCTTCTTTCTCTCAACTGATCACTGATATGATATATCTATCAGTAATAAAGGCCATTTTCAACTTCTATTTATTAGCTTCACTCGCTACAGTACCCTACACTTGCATGCATCGCACAAGACTATCTACCTATTCAAGGCAGCTCCGTTCTCTCCGAGCAGGCATTCTCAAGTGGAGGAATCACTTCCACTGTGTGACACAATGCACTCGCGACCTCCACATTCATGGTGTAACAGGTGTTGAAGGGAGCATATAGGAATGGGCACCTTTCTGCAGCAGTAGAGGCTGAGGGACATGCAGCTTTGTTGGACATGTAGCTATTCGTACAAATACTCTGTCTATGTTTTTTCTGGTAGCTGTAAAAAAATTGGGTTTGGTTCACGTTCGAACTGAAAAAAAACGAACCTGACCGTTTTGAACCATTCACAAAGGTCCAGTTCGAGGTTCGGCGAGTCTAGTAGAACCAGACCTAGGTTCAGTTCTCAGTTCTTGCTCAACCCTCTATGAACCAGATCAAACCAGACCGCAGCAGCACTAAATGTGTTGAGTGGGTGATATATGAGTTCCATAAAGAAAGGTAGGGTTGAAGTATTCTTTGTCTCCAGCCCCTGTGGACGATATAAAAGATATAGAGAAGATGGGGCCAAGGAAACTCACAATGATTTGTATTAAGAAAACAGCGAGAGCAAGTGAAAAGTATTGCAATATCATTTTTCCAACTTTCGCAAACTTTGCATGCAGGGAATGGTTAAGTGATACTAATCTAAATATGATGCTTGATATTATCTATGCAGGCTAGGACGCAGTATAGAAGCATACCTTTGAGCAGACATATTTTGTCTCCATGCTGTTGATGGCATACCATGACCGTGCCCAGGGCACCTATCTCTCCTCACGGGAGACACAGTGCCTTCGCAATGCTGCAGAGGGGTTATTCCAGGATTGCCAGCATGAAACTCTTGCATTCCTGTGCAACATCAACAACAGTCACTGGACGGCAGAAAAATGTACCATGTCTGTGTTCACAAAGATGAACACGCCTGCAAGAAATCGTCAACAAGTCCGCACCCTCATTGATATGACACAATTTCGGCAGTGGCACATGTATGATCCTGAGGTTAGTCTTGTGTTGAGCTAATTCAAGCTGGAACCAACCATACACAGAAAATCGCAGAAAGACGGTGACCTGATGTTGCATTCTGTGACATCAAGTCTTTAATTTCTGCACCTACTAAGTCCCCTGTGGACCGGACAGAAAAGCATGGATCAATAGGGAGCTCTTTATCCGTGGACACCGCTGATGGAGAGGAAGAGGTGCTTGATGAAGAATACACTTGGCTGGATGAGGTAGTTGCATCTGTGCAAGCTCAAGATTCAGCCTTCGAGGTTGAGGCCGAAGTGGATATCCATGCACCAATTGTGACAAGGATCTTGTCAGATGAATGTGAGAGTGTACCTGACCAGGCTCTAGAGAATGATGGCTGTAGTACTGACAGCACTAGTGACTTGGAGGATGCAGACACCGAGTGGGCCAACTGGTAGAGAAGAGGCTCAGAGAAAATTTTGAATTTTGGGTCACATGTTTGTTAACAACTTGTTAAGGCTCTGGAGTCTGTTTGGACATTGAATTCAAAAAGAAATTCGCAATGAGAATTCAATTTATGTGTCAGGTGACCTACTCACATGACCTTTGGCAAGGAATGCCAGCACACCTCTTATCTCTGATATTAGCCACTCATATCCTATATCCTTGAGAGATGCTCATGTCTGACTCAGACTCATCTATTGTCGGCACAATCTAACCCTTACGTGCACTTATGACATTGGGTATGTCACTTATTACTCACATGACACATCTGCATTTTTTTGATTCATTCCATCCACCATATCAATGGTCTCCTTTTTTCAGGTCCTTTCCTCCTACATACCTGCTGTGACATGACTCGGACAAAGATGAGCACAGGTGTTCAGCCTCAGTTGAATGACCGAGAGACCACCACTCTGCAGTCCATATTGAGGATTGGGAGAAGGCAAGTGGGAAGGAACAACAACTGATATTCAAAGCAGCCGCCAGGGAGGCCAAGGTCTTGGCTCCAAAGATGGACAAAGAGCTGTTGAAGGAAAGGAAATATGTAAGTGTTTAGTCTTTGATACCGAGTCATGCTGCATTTCAGTCACCCTTGACAGAGATACCGACAGTGGTTCCACAATCACAAGAAGGTCCAGACCGATTCCAAAGCACCCACCAAGCCAAAAGAGAAATGGACGGCACGGTGAGTCATTGAGGAAGAGTGCAAGGCCAAGATTCTTCAGCAAATTCAGGAAGAAATTGAGGAAGAGACTGGAGAGAAGCCTGCTCACAAGGAAGTACTGAGGAGGTATCAGCCGACCATGACAGCAATCATGTACCAGCTGGACAAAAAGGAGTTGCAGGAAGCTGAGGCAAAGGCTGATAAGTGGACAAATCAAGCCCCCAATGCTGCTGTCCAGGCCAAGACAGCTAGGAAGAAGGGTGAAAAAATGGTCAAGAACTTTGCCAAAGAAATGTTTACTCAGGCCGGTATGAGAGTCTTTGTTTTGGGTTCCTGGAAGGATGAGAAGGGGGGGCTGCTTACATCTGGGTGAGTTCTTCCAGTCACTCGTTGGTTGGTTGGTTGGTTGGTTGGTTGGTTGGTTGGTTGGTTTGTTGGTCATTGTGCTAACTTTGTTTGTTGCAGGTTTGACTTCAATGAGCAGCTTAGTAAGGGATCCAGCTTCATGAAAGGCAAGGACTAGCAGGCCATCCTACCAGTATGGGAAGATTTCATTGGTGATGCATTTGGTGAGTCTCTCCAGTCCTTTCAGAAGGACTTGTATTCAATCCATGTCTCCAAGGCCAAGATCAAGACCAGGACACCACACTGCTCAGAGGCACTTGGCGGGTCCCAAAACCATACCATAAATTTGAGCTGGACTGTTCGGTTCACCAATGTTGCCTGAGATGGAAGATTTATTCCTCGAGACCAAGAAGGCAATAATTTGGTCATTCCTTACCATTCATTACAGTAAGCCAGATGACCAATACCCATTTCATCATCTGATGCTGGCTGGAACAGGAACATATTGTGGAAAGCCCAAGGTCCCAGTGCCCTGGAGCAACATCATGAAGGGGCAGTTCAAATTTATCTCCAGCATATACCTACCTGATGATACCAAGATCTTGGAGCCATCCAAAATGCTCCACACTGATGCCAATGCAATCTTGGACTTTTGGTGGGACCGACAGGAAACCCAGGTTGGACCAACCTTCAAATTCAAAGCCTGGATGGATGAAAAGGGCTGAATGCGTTCTCCTGTTGCCAAGGATGAATCTTATGGCGATGCTGATGATGTGAGTACCAGTGCAAGGCCGACAAGAAAGCCATTGGCAACCACAACATTGTCACTAACCTCAATTCCCAAAGGGTAGCTGAGTTCCACCAAGCGACCCTACATCAGTTCAACTGAGGACAAATCTGACAAGACCAAAGCAGGGGCATCTCTGCCTGCAGTTGAACAACACCTGCATGGCCGCACAAATGCTGAAGACACTGACCGGTTTGATGATCGACCGGTGCCAAAAGCTTTGGCAAGCGCACCAGAGGTCATGAAGACCAACCATCAGTCTCCTCAAATGCCAATGCCAGCCATAAACCTTGCCCCAAACCCTGCACGTCCTTAGGTATATCTATGCATAAGGTGCGGGAAAGTTCTGTTCTGTGCCGGTTTCGTCACTAATCCTTCTGCTCCATTATATGAACTGTTCTCATGGTTTTCCCCTCCCCTCCCTCATCGTTGTCTGTGATCTCGAGGCAGTCAGAGCTCTCCACTGATATGTAGGCTTGGTCCCGGACATTGCCCTTGATGGGCTTACCATCATTTGTGGACTTGTCTCCCTTCAACGCCCATTCCTCAACCTGGAGCTCACCGTTGTTGAACCATCCTTCAAACCTGGTGCTGGCAAGGTACGTCGCTACTGTGAAGCCTATATCTAGCTATCTACTGACTTTGTATTGTTCAACAGTCCTTTCTCCTCTCCCGCTTCGCAGACGACACCTACACTGAGAGTTATATCAGCACTATTGGTATGTCGCTACTCTAGGGCCTATACCTACCTATCTACTGACTTAGTATCATTCAACAGTCCTGTCTCTGGTGAGTATGAAGCTTTTGAAGGTCTATCAATGCAAGTTGCTTCCTTATCACATGTGTGAGTATTGTCAGTAGGCAATCAATTTTACTTCTCATTTTCATTTTCAGTCGCTATGTTGATCCTCGCACAAGGCATGATCACATCGAACTTCAAACTGAGCAATGGCACAACCAAATCAACTGATTGGTTGATTCCTATCTGGACTACTGTTTATGCAATTGTAGTGATGGAATGCCAAGCATTGCAGATGCTGCCCCAGCTGTTGAGGGTAGTGATTGGCTGTCACTGACTGGTATTGACCTCGTTGATTTGTTTGGTATGTATTTGTTTATTCTGGTATGCTCACCTGACCTTCTGCAGGTCATCAATGGATGTCATTGGAACCTCAACCATGCCATTGCTATCCCAACAAGATGCTCATCTACCATGGTTACCTGGGGTGCTCCCCTCTATATCTGATGATTGCAATTTCGATTTGTACCCTTGCAAACTATTGTCAATGCCACCGAACTTGTCCTTAATTCAGTATTGAGGCACAATGCAAGGCGCTATGCCATCTTCATAATGTATGCGCTTGTATGTGTCATTATTTACATCCGAACCAATATTTGTATTATAGATGCCATATCGACCATACCTAAATTCTCAGTTCTCCAATGCATACAACATTTATCTTGAAATTTTGCATCACGTTGACCACCACTTGAATGAAGCACTCCATCGCAACACGCCCAATTGGCGTCTACTCAATGGATGTCCATGTTGTACTTACAAACTCAAAGATGAGCCTCCGCTAGCACTTCAGTGGCTTGTCTCTATTGATGGCAACAACAGCCTCAAAAGATGGGCATCTTCAACATATGGTGTTACTCCACTGCAAGATTCTCGAAAGCCTTGTTCTGACTACTGGGTTGATCGCACAAGTGTTGATATATTCAAGGATGAAGGTTGAAGATCGGCAGTATGTATTATTCATATGTGTAGCAATGGTAAGCTAACTCAAGTAGCTGAGCCAATCAAACTCAGATCTACAAGATGACTGGGAAGATTCAGTAACTGAGACAGTGGAGTCTGAGGGTACTTTCAATTGCACACAGCAGTGGCGAAATGCTGGGCCCGAGCAGCGCAAGAAAATGTTTTCTGTTTTTGATGAGTCTGGCATCTTCATTGCAGCATGTTGGCATTGGTTTGTACTTCTTGCTTGCGATATGGTGCAGAGTGGTGAACTGTAGGTTCCAGTTTCGTTATCCATGCATTATGCTAAATTTAACCTTAGTGCAAAATACCCCTTAGCTTTGATAAACCAGTTGCTATCCATTTTGGTACGAATGGTGGATGTGCTTACAATATTGGGTGTATGTTCACAAAGACTCTAGCTAACAGCAGTGTTGGTCCCCTTGCCCCAAACCTCAATTTGCGCATGATGGTTGGCACATTTCACGGTCATGCTCATAACTGAATGTGCCAACTAGATTGGCACCCTATGTACATTGAAGGGACCGGACCGACCAAGGGTGAGGGATGTGAACATATATTTTCATCTTCAAACAATCTTGCATGGAGCACCAGACATGTGTCTCCATTTCATCTCCATCAAATAATCGAGGAGCATTTCACCTTCTGGGACCAGGATAAATATGCAGCGTTAAGTACATCTCATTTCACACACTGCCAAACATTTGGTCAACTAATAGTGTTGATAGGCATCCTTTTACGAAATCATTACAGAGAAGCGCTAACTCTCATACATGAAGTCTCCACTGAAGTGTCGGCTGTTAAACAAGCTCTCAACCTGACTGATGCTGACTTTGCTCAGTTCCATACTGATGAAAGATCCTACCTCAAATCTCTGAAAGAGCAGCCTCTCAATGACAGACTTCAAATTCGCTATGTCAAGGTTCTTGATGATCTGGCTGAACAGCGGTGAGTTTGACTCTAGTAGTCATCGCATATTCTTCCTCCTTTACTAGATTCATAAATTTTAGGTTAGAATGGGAGAAGGCCTAAGAAGCTGCCAATCAGGTGCTGACGTGTATCCCTGTTGGTGACTTACACCAAATTAATAGCACACTGAAACTTTCACTGCCCATATTGAGGGTCGGCTTAGAATTGAAGAGTAGTGGACAATCGGAGGCGATGAATATAACAAGTACAGGGATGAAGTGGCAATTCTCGGCCTGAAGCACAGCGAGGGCAAAGAATATTGACTTTGAATTAGTGTACTAGGCAGACCACTTCCAGCACCCAGTGCTGCAGACCACTGTCTCCTAAGATAAAGCGCTGGTAGGTAGGGCATCGAGAAGCTAGTAAAGCAGTAGGGCAGCAGTTTCGAGCCTGCGAAAGCTCTCGTCAGGGGGCTACCACTGCTCCGACTGCTTGTACTTCTAGTTCTATGTAGGAAGCTCCCTTTTAAGCCTGTCGAGTGGGAGTAAATGGTCCATGCACGATATACCTTCCTAGCATGGTGTAGGCAAAGCAATCTGCCATCCGAACTCATGACCCACCTGTGGAAAGGTCCAGCTGATGGGATATATTTATTCACAAGCTTGAGATCTTGAGCCCAGAGCCTTTAGCCCCTATGAGCAAATAAGGAATACAGCAGATTGTTCTTTCAAAACAATCTCGGACTTCTAGGTATCCATGTAGGTAACGACATCCAAAGTCATTGCTCCAGAAGTATCGTGTAGCTCTTGATGAGTTAGAACATCTTGTTGTCATGCACTTATTCGAGCTATCCAAGCTCTCACTTTCATTGATGAGTAAGTAAATGATATTGTGTTTGAGGGAAGCTGATCACTGTTGGCAGGGTGCAAGCTACAACAACAAATAGGAAAGGTGTTACAGAGACACTAGGATGCAATTCGGAATGCCATCAACAAGTACAATGCACAGGCTACTGCCTTTAATCCTCCGACCACACTTATCATGGAGGGATATCACCGAGTATAGCTTCCTAGGAGAATTTGATGTTCTCCGATATTCATGCACTGACACTCGTGAACTTGACTGGACCAAGCTGATGCATAGAGAAGCCCTGGTCAAATTCTTCAAGCTTCATGGTGTGCATGAAGAGGTTAAGCACCTCAACATCAAAGTTTGTTGTCTGTGGACTGCCATTCATGATGAAAGCGCACAAATGTCTACAACCATCAGTAAACTCCTTCACTCAAATCCTCCACTGGGTAGGGAGCTGCAGAAGCACTGGAAACTGCACTCTGCAGTTAACTCAGTACATTTGTTCTGGCTAGATGAAATTAAGTTGCAATCTGGTTTTTTCAGGTATTCGAGGTCATGGACAATGGATTGGCTCCTTGGTGGAGGATGAGTCCGGTGCAGTAGACTGTTTGAATCATCCATTCAGAGTGTTTGTCTTTCAGGTATTGAATATATTTTGATCAAATCAATCCCAGATCACAATGACACTGATGCCACCGCTTCAAAGCATGCTACAGAACTCATGAAATATGAGGAGCAAATACAGACTACCCAGGCCATTGCAGATTATACATATATCAACTATTGTAGATTAGTAGACTCAATGTTTGGAGTACACAACGTCAATATCAACACTTTGGTCACCCCAACACTTTGGTCACCCCCTTACAGACACCTCTTAGGTTGATTGTCACCTACAGAGGTTTTCACCTAAGAGGTGCTTTTCTGCTGGTCTGCCGGTGTTCTGTGGTCTTTCCCTGTTGTGCTTGGGGACCAAAGGCCATGGACCATACATGAACCAAAGACCATTGGGAATTATGTTATGGGAGTACCACAGGATGATTTGGACCACTTGAATTCTATATGATACAGGGGTGTCTGGGGTCCTCAAATGCCAATTTCTTTGGAAAATTCTCACTATATGTATTGCATCTATGCTCTGCACCCTCCATAAACCTAACAAATATTCTTATATATAATTGAACAATATATCTGGTGGGTATATGGAAAAAATGAAAGTCATTACTTTAATTGAACTTCTTAATGAAAGTTGTAGTATGTGTTAAGGCGAGTCTATATGTGATCATACCTTATCAAAATTTTGAAGGGAAGGTGAGATATGGCCATAACAAAAATTGTTGTCAGGCTTGTTTACAAAAAACAAAAGTCATTATCCTTGATGAAAGTTGTAGTCCTAGTGAGGGTAGGTCTATACCTGCACATATTTTGTCAATTTGCTATCATTTGGAAAAGATATAACCTTTGTGCAAAAACAATAAACAGGGAAGACCACATGCTTAATGGGAAAGACCATAGGCATAATATTCATCTAATAGGGAAGACCACAGGTGTGATATTCATTTAATAGGGAAGACCACAGGTGCAATATTCATTTAATAGGGAAGACCACATTTTTAATGGGAAAGACCATAGGCATAATATTCATCTAATAGGGAAGAACGCATGCTTAATGGGAAAGACCACACTTTGGTTAAAGACCACAGTAACTCACTTGTGGTCTAAAAGACAAGCCGACAACAATTTTTTGTATTGCTTATAACTTGCTGAAATCACATGCAATTGCTTAGATAATACAACATACATTCCCACCCCAAGTAGTACTACATATTTTATCAAAGCATCAGACCATGGGAAATTATTATGTTATGAACACATAGTCTATTTTTGCCATTCTTATGAGTCACCTCACAGTCAGGGGCATTACCACACAGCAGATTTCGAAATTTCAGGCACCTGTGGGAATTTCTCCTTAATTTGTCATTCCCCATAGTTTCATAAGTCACCCCACAGTCAGGGACATTACCACACAGCATGATTATGCAATTTCAGGATCATTACATCAGATTTCATCAGGGGGATCTACATAGTTATAGCTATATGTAGTTGCAAATACTGTCCCCAGCATCAGTTCAACATTATGAACAATGTATCAGCAGCTCATGACAGCAGGTGAAGCCTTTGTGGTGCTGTGTGACCACCCTCTCCTGATGGTTCACTCCCTGGGAAAAAATCAAAATTGCGAAATGGTCTTCCCTGTTTATTGTTTTTGCACAAAGGTTATATCTTTTCCAAATGATAGCAAATTGACAAAATATGTGCAGGTATAGACCTACCCTCACTAGGACTACAACTTTCATCAAGGATAATGACTTTTGTTTTTTGTAAACAAGCCTGACAACAATTTTTGTTATGGCCATATCTCACCTTCCCTTCAAAATTTTGATAAGGTATGATCACATATAGACTCGCCTTAACACATACTACAACTTTCATTAAGAAGTTCAATTAAAGTAATGACTTTCATTTTTTCCATATACCCACCAGATATATTGTTCAATTATATATAAGAATATTTGTTAGGTTTATGGAGGGTGCAGAGCATAGATGCAATACATATAGTGAGAATTTTCCAAAGAAATTGGCATTTGAGGACCCCAGACACCCCTGTATCATATAGAATTCAAGTGGTCCAAATCATCCTGTGGTACTCCCATAACATAATTCCCAATGGTCTTTGGTTCATGTATGGTCCATGGCCTTTGGTCCCCAAGCACAACAGGGAAAGACCACAGAACACCGGCAGACCAGCAGAAAAGCACCTCTTAGGTGAAAACCTCTGTAGGTGACAATCAACCTAAGAGGTGTCTGTAAGGGGGTGACCAAAGTGATATCAAAAGTATCTGGCAGTCCAAGTCCCTGTGTCATCCTTTACCTCTATCAGTGAACCAGAACAACAGTGAAATCCTCAATTCACCCCCAAGACCATGTTCCACTTACACCTTCACCTCTATCATGGATGATGCACATGGGAGGAAGGAAGAGGAAGCAGAAAGGATGGGAATGGGTGACCAAGTTTGTATGATCCTAGTTTAGATGATCCTAGTTTAGGGTTCGGAGTGCAGGCCGCTGCACTCCGAACCCTAGACTAGTTCTAGTGTCACAGTTCGAGCATCACAGTGTCACAGTTTTGTCCACCTTTAATATCACACTACAATTACAGGACGTGTTCATCATGACATCGCCTTTTCATTGCAATCTGGCTATTGTTCTCAGTCCCACTGAGGCCAACAATCTTTTAAGGCTGTTGGAAGACAACATACCTCTCTCCGGTGAACTGCATCGCCTCCATCGATATATGGTTTTGCAGGCTCGAGATCCAAGACATGTGCTTCCAACCCCGGAGCCATCTCCCATTCCTGAAGTTTACAACCCCACATCAGCTGTTCGCCGTAGAACAAGCGATGACGAGGGTTCGGATGATAATGATTCTCCTCCCGCAAAACGCCTTAAATCAAGGTTGCAAACTCCTGAGGAACCTTCCGAACCTCCCGAACCTGGTTTCAATCCCCCGCTTAGAGCAAACCAGGACAATTGTCCTCGAGGAGCCCGCCCTTTGCGTATACGTGCTAACGGTGCACCTGCCAGTGCATCTGAGCATGATATTCTGTACCCTGAAGAAGAAGAGGAGGAAGAGGAGGAGGGGGGGGAGGAGGGAACTGGACAAGGCACTTGGCGAATGCGGGCTTCTGGCCCCATGATTCCATATAGTGAACAAGCCACCACAATTATTGCGGAACTGGCTTCGGCTCACTCTCTGTCAACAGTCCACAAACCGCTTACCTGGTTGAGGGATATTGCCCATCATGTGCAGACCCCGCATGTGGAAGATGAATCACTAACATCTGTTGCTGTCAGATGTAGAGGGGTGGCAAGTAAGGACATTCGAATCAGCTTCCTGCTCATGGTCAACTGCATGGCCCTAGTCTGCAAATGTCAAATGTACATCTCCCGCTTTATTCGCTTCACTGTTATTGATAGGGCATCTTTCACAGCATGCGGCTCAAGACTGGATGGTCAGTAAAAGAGATATACGATAATGAACTCCAGACTTGTCCCGCAACTACCAACATCACATACCGCACATTTGTGAACTGGCATGCCACGGGCAGCAAGTTCATTGCCATAGCTAGTGGCGGTTCCATCTATGCGCTGGTGCTTATCGCTGGACTTGGCCTCCGGGTTTCCGTTGCAACCATGGTTGGCACTGTTCATTTGCAGTTGGCAAACATGCTGCGTTCGCCTCCAGAAGGTAAGCTGCCACAGTTCTTCAGCATGGGATGTTCAGTGACACCATCACGCATGCAGGCTCTCCTCAAAGGAAACTTGTTACAGAATACATTGCACCCACCATCGCACTCATGTGTCACACATTCCCGCTCAGCATGAACTCCATGTTCCATAGCGCAATGATTGAGAAATTTGCGGTCCGCAGGCACATTGACTGCACGAATCTTGAAGTTTCAGACCGCTTCTTCGACACCATTATACTAAAGTGCGTCTTTGATATTGTGGTATAGCAGGTATCAACTAATACAATTATTGCTTAAGTTCTTTTATACCACTCCCACGCAGTCAGAGTGTTTGGGCTACCTGCTCCACCCCGGTACTAGCGGATGTATGCAGAGTTCCACTGCAGAGCTTGTCTGACATTGCAGAGGACGAAATTGACGAAATTGAACACATCATCATTCATACATCATATAATCCACAATCTCCCTCCAATAAGCGCTTAAAGGCACCTCGAGATAAAGCTCTCAATGCCGAATGGACTGTGAAAGAAAGGTCATATGCTGAGTCAGGTGAGAAGGCGGCAAGCATCAACGACTTGCGCGGGAAGGTGTGTACGGTTCTGCTCAGGTTGCAGTGTTTCGGTATTCTCAATCTATACAGCTTGCACAGATGTACTGCGGAGGTGTCAAGAAATCACCTGACGCATACTTGCGTATCCCAATGTCAATTATTCCCAAGTGTGTAACCGCTGTCTCAAGCCTTCCCTCATTGACACGAGATATTCAGCCATCACTTAGAGCTAAGGAATGCGGATGGGTCGTTGATGGCATTTGTGTCAACAGGGCTTCCCCATCATATCAGATCCTTGCTCGATGTGAACCTGCTGGCCGCTCTGGGAAATCCTGACTTACTGCAAGGGAACGACTCAAGTTTACCTGGCGGCCAACCATTTCAGGCCATGCACCTGTCATGGTACAATAGGCACTGCACTTCTGTAAGCTTCCTCGATCCCCCCAATATTATTGACAGCTGATGATGATCAATGATGTATCAGGGTCATGACGCCCCCTCCCATGTCCAGCCCTGGTTGCTTGAGAAGGAGGGCATGCGCACCAACTACAGCCAGATGATACCTTATGTTTCTAAGGATCTTCAGCAACACCAACAGATTTATGAGACCTTGACAAGGGTATACGCTCAACTGTTTGAGTGGGTCCGAACTCTGGTAAGCGGTTTACACTTGAGCGCAACCAATACCCTGACACTATCTCTGTAAGATGGAAACTTACTTAACGGATGAATTTGAAATGCTCATGGAGGTTGCAGCCACCTTACCAGGCAATTGCACGTCACCCACTATCCCTTTCATATCTCTGGTAATCAACATCAATGTCTGTACCAAAGCCCATCGTGATAGCTCTGATCGACATTTGTGCCTGGTCATACCTATTGGTCAGTTTGAAGGCGGAGCCCTGTGCTTGCTGGAAAACGGGCTCGTCCTTGAGTTACGGTCTGGTGATATCGCCCTCTTCAGGTCCAGCGAGGTTACTCATTTTAATCTCAACTACAGGGGGGCAAGGGCTTCCCTGGTGTTCCAGACCGATAGAGAATTTGCGGCCTGGCTTAGGGATCACAATGGATGGGCGAACAATACCACTATGCATTCTTTTGTGTGATATATACTTTTTACCGTTCATTACCCTAGCACTTCGATGCAGCAATCCTATTGTTCTAACCCTGCCATAGCTTTTGACATTGCAGAAACGGCATTGGGACCCGATCGAAGGTGGCGGGCACAATGAAGCCTGCCTCGCGCATAGCCTTGTTCCTGGCATCTGCAGTCTCGCTATCGCTGTTCGTCATACTCCCTGCCTGTCCAAACTGTACTTGACACCATAGTAGAAGCGAGCGCCAACATACAGGATTGGCCAGGTAATAAAAAGGATGTAGTTGGTGACGAAGGTTACAGTACTCCAGAGAAAGACGGTCCATCCGCTGAACTAGAGAGTATAGGAATAGTCAGTCTAAGCAGTATTAGCGGATATGAAAAGTTAACATACAAAACAGATGGTGATCGTTAAAACGACTGCCCACCACGCTGCGTATGGCTGGAGATTTGTGTAATAAGGGAGCGTCTTGCGGTCGATGCCTTGGACCTGCATGCCCTTGTAGAAGCGGAGATATGTCATCGAAATACCAAACCACGATATAAGGCCAGCGACGGCTGTCATGTTGGAAAACCAAACGAACACTGAGCCCGCACTTGTTGACACAGCCATGAAGGCAAGAAGGGAAAAAGTGGCGCAGAAGAGGCCAGTAACGTAAGGCAACCCGTTGCGTGTAGTTTTGAGGAAGACCTTCGGAGCATTTCTTGAGGCTGCAAGACCGTCTACGAAGTGCATTAATTTCAATGAGTTGGCTGCCAGATAAGTATACGTACAAATTGCACGAGACGCAGTGTACAAGTCACTAGATGAGGCGGACCATGCCGAGGTCAACAAACAAGCATTGACAATCTGGTTCGAATAGCGATGAGAAATTTCGATGTAAAAAAGGAGAGACATGTGCGGCTTACTGAAGGAAGATATTGAATTCCGGCTAATTCGATAGCGATGACGAATGGAGACCGGGCAGTGCTACCGGTCAATTTGAGTAATGGGTTGTTGGATGGCACAAGCAGACCAATGACGAGTGTGCCAGCGATGTAAAAAACCAATATACAGATATATACTCGACGGATGGCTTTGGGCAAGGTACGACGAGGATTCTTTGCTTCTCCAGCAGCAATCTAGGTGATATTAGTGATCAATAGATTGATAGGCCTAGAATACAACGTACAGCAACAATCTCAGTTCCAATGAACGAGAAAGCGGCCTGCGTCAAAACAGCGCACCAGCCAAGGAATCGTCCTTTGGCACCTTCGATGCCATTATACCGAACGAATGGTCCGGGATTTTTCCAGTAGCGGAATCCAATACGGTCATGGGTTGGGCTACCTCCCAAATCGACGACTATACCGAGAATAATAAGACCGGTGATTGTGATGGATCTGTAGTAATCTCAGAATACGAGATCGGGATATAGTACTCGGTACACACGCGAAGATGAATTCCGTCTCGCCGTAAGCGCCAGCACCGAGCATATTAATGGTGAGAACGACGACAAGACACATGACAACCCATACTGAGTCATTGACAGTATCATTCCAATAGTTTATCAATAATGCAGCAGCAGAAATTTCGGCTGGGACGATAACCAATGTCAGCGGACACGCTAAGAAGATGCATTAAACCTAAGTACTAGGTGCTAAAAAGTAAGAGGTCAGTAATTGCGAAAAATGAACGAGGAAGAATGGAATGTACAGGTAATCATCCAGCTATAGCAGTAATTCCAACCCGTGGTAAAAGAGAATGCAGGGTCAACAAAGCGCTCGGCCAGTTTCATTTGACCACCAGGTATAGGCAGGAAAGCAATCTGCGCCTGAGACGTGCAGCAAGCATACCATTTCTCCCAAAGTGATCATGACGCAATAGACGATGGTGCCCATGAACATGTAGCCGAGCAACAGACCGACGGGGCCCCCATACATCAGAGAGTCTGCGGTTCCAACAAAAAGACCAGTGCCTATGACACCACCAATACTTGACAGAGGTGAGAATTCACCAGGAGAAAGAAGACCAGTCAACACACCTGATCATGGCGATGTGACGATTCTTGAGTTTACGTTGCAGGGGGGCCTGATTAGAGTCATTAGACTCTTCATCGTGGTCTGAGACATCAGGTATGTAACGAAGGTGTTCAAGATACGGCCGGCTCTCAATAAAGGTCTCCAAAGCGAACACAATAATGATGCTTTAGCCTACCGCGAGTCAGCTAAGCCTTGTCCAAGCCAATACCGGTGTGGATCGCCTGCCGCTCTTGATACTTACATGGGTCAAAGGAACGAGGGAAGGTCTAGGAGAGGGGCAGAAATGAATACACGTGATTCGAAGACAATCAAAGATACTACTAGCCTTCCATGGGCGCATTGAAATGAAAACGCAGTCGCAGCAAGATGTCTCACAAGGCGTTCACACTGTTCCAGTGATAGTGGATCGTTGAACATGACCGCGCCTGAGTGATCAAGTAATGAGTAAAAGTGTATCGAGAGCACCTTGACGTCAATACCTCGACACGTTTTTGAGTTGATCAATCCAGAAGCTCCTGTGGACACCAGCGAAGAGCCTTGAGCCACCGCGACTCGTCGTCCTTGGTGTTATCGGCATCTTTTTGCTGCGATAGGTTAGGAGGGGATGATCCCTCGCTTTCGAGAGTTCCCAGGTAGCCTTTGACAAGATCTCGCAGCTCGTCGTTCATGAGTAACTATACCACAGGATAATGAGCCCGCAACACCATGCAAATATTTGCACGTACCTTGTCGCCCACAATCGCAGGTATTGCTCTAACGAAGACCTGCACATACCCGTTACTTGCTTCATCTCCCGTACATTCCGATTCCAATGAGGTCAACTTAGCCAATCCCTCAAAGCGTACACCCCGGTCGAATGCTGACTGTACTTCTTCGTAGTGTTCCGTGGAAATCCACCTGGTTATCCACCGATGTAGATATCCACCCAGTTATCCACGTGGATAACTCGGTGGATAACCCAAGGCCAAAATAGGTGTGGGCCATGCGCGAGCGAGCATGTGGACATCAGCGTCAGTGAGATGTTGTGGGTGGGGGAGTTTTGAGGTCTGCGAGAGCGGTAGGGCGGGCGAGGAAGGGGCGGAGCTCAAAGGACGATGGCCTTGTGTGGCAGGGCACATCCTCATAGTCACAGTTCTCGATGATCGAGATGTGCTCTAGCTTGGTGCGTGTGAGGATAGTGAGGAGTTCGGACCAGATGCTGGTAGGGCTGCATCTGTGTGCGATAATGTAAACTATTTTGAGGTTTGGGCATCTTGGGGTATCGGAATCCGTCCTGGGGATAGAACGCAGCAAAGTTGTGAGATTATCGCATGATATATGCAGGTCGGTGAGTGCCTGAAAAGCCTGGGGTGCATGGAGAGGCGTGCTTTTGAATCCTATGTGGAGGGTGAGGTATCGGAGGCGTGGCCATAGAGCGATAGCTTCGAGCAAGCCGTTTGAGATATCGCCACCGAAGGATCTGGTGAAACCCTCAGGATAACTGAGCAAGAATGACACTAATTCCAAGGTGTCAACCCCGTCTACGAACTCAAGAGCTTTGAGGCGTGCCGAGGCAGTACAGAGCTTTAGAAAATGGCCTTGCGAAATGGAGTGTCTGAGATGTTCAGGGCGGGTATCGACGGTGGGCAGGAGGAGGTTGAGGGCGCGGATGGATGCAACACGAGAGTCGTACCATAAGAGAGAGCGCAGCTTTGAAAAGAGCGGGGCGTCTTTGGGTGCACTCGCTAGGAGCAATGCGTGTGCAGAGGACTGATGGACGGAACTGGTCGGGTGAACCGGGGAAGGACTGGGTGACAGGACCAGTTCATTACGCAGGGACTTGATTAGAAACTAGATTTCACTCATGTGTGAGTGAATGACGTTTAGTCTTGGGTCGCGACAGGTGAGTGCGAGGTTGAGGACGGAGCGTTGACCTTCAGTATTAGGAAACGGTAAGATTACAGACACCAGTCCCAAATAATAACTATCATACCTCAATGGACATAAATTAGATTTTTTTTAAATGATACCTGGCGAAAACTGAGTCAACAAATCGAGCATTGAACGCAAGATGATCTCTGTCAGGCGAAAACGGCAGTGCATGACGGTCAATTGCAGTGTGGCATGGTACGTTTCTTTTGTAGCGCTAAATTCAGCGCTTCTGTAAGATAATAGAGAGATACGAAATGATTGGGGGAGCCCTGTGCGGGTATGAGGATAGAGGGAACTTTGAGATTTTTTTTCGCTCGTGACTGTAATAACAATAAGATTATATTCTGAGTCGGAGAGGGTGGGCCACCCTAGGGCGGCGCGCTATCAAGTGTGCAAGCAAGCGATTGGTGATGATCCAATAATTGGCTTTTGAATGTATCCGCAGGCGAGACGCGCCCACTCAAAAAGTCCATCAGCTTTTTCAGCCAGGGTTGCGAATTCTCTGTCCCCAAAACGCGGGAGCCCTTCCAGCTCCTCGATACGTAAGTGCGGATGTCGCGCTCTGCGGCAGCTGATGAAATATCGTCCATGGACATCCGTCGGATATGCTGAGCACCTGAAAGCTCAGCCTCGATATCAGGAAGCGGGCGAGAAGTGATGATGATCCGGAAGTTGGCTGGGAGTTCTGTGATTCGTTGAACGCCTAGTTTGCCCGCAAGAATTCGGAGAAGGCGGAGCCGTCTCTCGACTGCACCGCTCTCTTCCAGTACATCTATTACGATGACGACAGGTCTTACAATTGACCCTGAGAGCTTCCCCAGTGGTTTCATGAGTAGTTTGTCCCACTGCTGGACGATATCCGCTGTAGTCTTGAACGAACTCGCATCTTTGACTGCCTCTGCCAATGCTCGTCTCATCTCCGGATCACGGTCGGCATCTCGCTAGTGATCGAAGTAGTAACATAAACCGAGCCCTCCCACATCGTTGAACCAGTTAGCAATCGTGTGGGCGATGGCCGACTTGCCCTTGCCTGCAGGGCCAGATAGCCAGAGCACACGCTGAACATCATCTCCGGCGGTGTTGACCCAGTCTGTGATCTCGGATATGATTTCTGTGCACGTGCCTGGTAGGCATTGTTTCCCAGTATCTCATCCCGCGCCATCCGCATACGTCATGCTGCTTAGATCTAGCGTTTCGCCTGGAGACGTATGAATAGACGTCAAGTCAGAACAACGTACAAACCCTTACCTGTAAGATGGACATAGATGGCTACATCGCGAGTAACTTGCTTCTGGAAGTTGTCCATCAGCTTATCCAACATTTCACCGTAGCCTCGAATTGCATCATCTGTTTCCTGGCCTATGTTCTTTCCAGCTCTACCCCCTACGATAATAGTAGAACATTGAGACTGTGAAAAGCGCAGTGACTTGCAAAGACTCACAAAAGTTCATGGTCTCCGAATAATCTCTGATAAAATGGGCACATTCAAGGGTCTGCTCAGAAATCTGTCCAAGGATAATGTGCATCGACGAAATCTGGTGAAGCCTCTTGTCTTCTGTAAATGAATGTCACCCAACTTCTGGAGAAGGCCGCGTATCGCTGTATCGCGATCCGCTTGAGCGAGAAACTACCTGCACGCATAACGACTGAGATAAAGATACGAATGAGACCAAACCAAACATACTTTAGCGGCCCAAGACAACACGCCCAGTGCCATCTTTGCATATGGATGTACCTATGGAGCAGGAAGTTCGGTTCCATCGAGATATATGGTCCACACCTCGGAGTCCGCGAGCGTCCCGATAACACTGTCGAATATCCTGAGTGGTTGAAGATATCTATCCTGGAAATTATATGCAGCCTCGAGGTCCGCTGATGCATTTTGGACGGTGGATGCTCCAGATGTTACATGTCCTGAAAGTAGCTTTATGAGTTTTACGGCCCCTTCGGTGTTCTGAAGTGCCGATTGGGGATTGGCGCCTCGTTCTGCACCAGAGGGAGCATCCTGAACCTGTGCGACGACTAAAATTTAGAGAGGAGAGGCAAGTAAAAGGTGAGAAAAAAAAACAGACATATTCAAGTAGACGTCGTCTCATCCAATGAACCCTGGATTATTAAGAGTAATCTCCAAAATTCCATCCGAAACATTGGTCAGTGTACCAGACCACGACTACTGCGAGTACGAAGCACTGAGATTCAATGCGTGTGAACGAGCCTCGCGAAACTCACCGCTCGGTAAGTATTGTTGCTACAGCAATCAAGAGGTCAGTAAGGCGCGGCGTTCCAGAGGAGGTAGGGGGCGCTCCTCACCGATGTCGTCCAGCAAGCAGGGATGCATCGTACCACCTGCAACTAGAGGCGTGTTCAACAAACGAGAGCGGCTCATGGCCCTTGCGTGCTAAGGGCGTGGGTGTGGAGGAAGGGGGCAGTGAAGCCACGCTCACTCAGCCTGGGGCAGGGACGGGCCATACCAAGCGTCGTGGGTGGGGAGGCGGACAACGCAAGGGGAGCTCGAGCTATTAAAAAAAAATGCTCACCATCGCAACCACCGTCCTGCGCATTCATTGTGAATCGATTTGGCGCGCCTGGGGCTCGAGGCCAGGTTGGTAGATGAGTCGAAGATACATGGATCGATCGATACAAATAATCACAAACATCACTTCAACTCCGATGGGCCATCTTTCCCGGACTGTAAGAAGTCATCATTGTTTCCGTTTCCCGGGGACCAACTTGTCCCGCAGGCAGACTTTGAAATAGAATGAGGATGGTTATTCGAACGTTCATTCTTCATCACGGGACCAAGGGCCAGGTGAAATTGACGCGGTCCTGCCGTGCCTGTCGCGGTCGTGACGCACCTGTGACGCGGCACTGAAGTGGCATATGTGACGTGGCTCCGTCACAAATACTAGGGTACAGATTATGTTCAAACACTACCTTATGTCGCTCGAAATGAATTCCAAACACTTTGTATCCTCGCTAATGATCAACATATGAATGTTCAGCTGTGTACAGGCCCTGGAATGCTGCATTCACCTCTCACCAATTTCACAGTGCTTGTCCTCTGTGTTCGTACTACTGGGAATATTCTGTGCATCTTGTGTTTGTATTGTATGGTCTCTAATCATTGATCCAAAGTTTGTTTTCAGACAGCAGTGTGAATTATTGTATCACTGTGTCAAGTCTCGACCCCACCTTATCAAGTCCGGCAGCCCTCCTCTGTGCTCTGTACTATCACGTCAAGCCCCAACCATGCCATGTCAAGGCTTCAGTAAGGCTGGATCAAGCACTACTCACACTACGACAAGTTCTCCCCAACATATTCGCAGCCTCCGCACTAATGTAAACCTCCACACTTATCTATGCTGCGTCAAGGCCCACTTGCATGCCGCGTCAAGCATAGCACATGCCGCGTCACAGGCGAGTCAAGCAAGTTGTGACGCGGCCATTCCTCGTCAATGCCGCGTCACTGCCGCGTCTCACCTCACCATGCCGCGTCACACTTCACCCATGCCGCATCACTGCCCGCGTCACATCTATACATGCCGCGTCAAACCTCAGTGCCGCGTCAATAACTGTCAGTGTCACTTAGGGACATAATCTAAGCATTTCTACGGGCAGTGGCACTCCAAAAAATTATTTCTCCACCCTCAACTCCTATGGCCTAGAGCAGAACCGGTATCGCGCTGTTGGAAATCTATATATACCATGCCTATCGTGAGTGCTTTGAGATACAGAGCGCACTTGTTTTAACCATACTCTAGGAATTAATCAAACATATATTCAATTTTTTCTATCCCAGCGAGAGGGGGGATCAAAATCGTCCAGCTCAACCGCTGGTTGGGGACCTCATTCCCTGCTATGACCGCTCCGGTGCGCCGTTCCACTGATGCTCTTTGCGAACTCAAATTCGAACTGTAGAACAGGTAATGTAATAGCTTATCTTCCAGCCTCTGTGCAGACCGCTCGGCCATCACATGCTTTAAGTGAGCAATGCTTCAGTGACTCTCTGCTTGCCTCCCTGACACTATAGCTAACACATAGGTGCTCCACACATTCCAACGACTCCTATCACA